TATAACTTTATAGTACAGAGTTCAGGTATAACTTTATAGTACAGTAGTCAGGTATAACAATATTATCTGGAGTATTCTGCAATACTCAGTCCAAAAAGGACAATATCTTGGAAATCAACAGAGGAACAAGTTTTCAAAATAACTTGCGGCTTTTTAACATTGATGATTGTATGCAATACTATTCTATTCAATCATATTTCATAATGTAACATCTTGCAGAATATGTTTGAAACGAACTGTGTTGCATATCATTATAAATGTTAATGAAGATCCATATTAATCCTTATATTTACATTCAAAACAAAGACAAGTTTATTTGATTGTTCTTTGTTGTCGTTTTTGGTTCAAAATACATTTTAAACAAACTGTTTTCCTTTTTAATAACAGCAGAACAGCTTTTTGTGCAACTTTGTGTTTCTATGGTCTCAGTTCCAAATTTTAACAGAAATTCTGAATGGTTTCTATTTGACGATAGCCACTAATGTACCATTCAGAATTTCTGTTAAAATTTGAGTTGACATCTCTTGATGATTGGTCCCTGATTACTCAAACAGTTTCATGGAGAGACCCAAACAGTTTCCAATTGGGAAACATTCACATGTTATGGTTCTTGCTTTTATTGGAATATTACAGCAATATTTTTGGTTGGTATGTTTATCTTAGGACTGTACAGAGGAAATGTAAATACTGAGTAATGAATGTATACACACAAGATGAGTTTCTCCCTCCTCACTGGAGGAGAAATCACTGAGAATTAACAGGAGCTCCCTACCTTGCGATGGATGGCCCAAATATAGTGCGAATGTTTTCAACGTGTGTAGAGTTGGCTGGTGTCCGAACCTCCGCAGTACTCTCTCCATGCTGTAAAACACAATCAGTTATATATAAACCTTTTTGTCCTTCCTTTTGTTTTCCAATGTCCACCCTGCAGCTCGGAGATATAACAATAAGAACATATATATATATATGTATATCATTGACATTAGAACATGCAGCAAAGATCTGTTTATTAAACATACAACAAAGTCACAGAATTTGGCGTAAATGACTCACCCGATCGAAAATGGAAAGGTTACCAGATTTATTAAATTATTCTGAATAGCTTGTTCTCTTAAAATCATTTCTTTTTTTAAATATCTTAATAACAGAAGACTTGACATAAAACATGTTTTGTGAAGGTGCGGCAAATAATACAGCCACTAGGGATATCTCTGATGCCGCCGTCACCCAGCTGTTTATAGGAACAGTACTGTCACTTAGCACACTAGGGATATCTCTGACGCCGCCGTCACCCAGCTGTTTATAGGAACAGTACTGTTACTTAGCATTGGTCATTTTTTCATAATTCCAAGATGACTAGCTACCTTGCAGCCACCATTATCTTGTGATTGGTTCCAAAATAAACATACACAACTATTAAAGTACCAAGGGGAACTACCTAGTGAAAAAGAAATAATGGTAAAAAAACTACAATTGTCACCCTTCAACATGGCAGTCTAGCAGTTAGTTTGTTCTGCCAATCAGTCTCGTAATTGAACAAACATTTCTGTTTTTGTTGTTGTTTGTTTGTTTGTGCTATCCTTGCAGCAGGTAACTAAGGTGATATGAAGACAAATAAATCAACAGGACTATACTTGTGAAATTTCATAAAGATCTCTAAGATTTTAACAAACTTTAAATAACTTTTAAAATCCAAGATGGCTTCCATGCAGCCAACTTGATCTTTAACCAGTCTCAAAATTACACATGCACAATTTATGGGACCAAGAGGAGCCTGCATAAGAAATATAAGAAAGACCTGACATGTAACTTCTTTAGAAACGGAAATAGCAAACAAGATTCTACAGGAGTACGGAACTTTGGAGAACTTATATAACAAAGATAAACTACGATATTTTACTATAACTTACGGTCAGTAAACACGATACCATGTGTGAGCATTCTCAGATAAATGAAGGATAATCTTTCAAATAGTTTTTTTTTCTTGACATACCTTTTTCAAAGTGAATCCTACTTTACAATTATGCACAGCATACCTGAAACAAGAAACAACAGGAGTTATAAGTACGACAAATCTGGTATACGGAAAGGTCTTAATTCTGTGGAATCAGTGTAATACATAAACAATTCACTACTCTTTTTGACATTTTGGAAATTAAACTAGGGTTGTTGACGGTTAACCGGTTACTTGGTATGAAGACCGCAAACTGGTTACTAAAAATTAAATAACCGAATAGTCGGACATGTATTTACTCCCATATTTATTTATTATGCCCACAAATTCTCTATCGATGCTCCGGCTGACCCGTCAGGGTGTTGTCTTTATATTTGATAGTAAGGATTAACAATGAGATGCCGACCACACCATAAAACAAAAGGCCCAGCGGGCCTGTATCGCTCACCTCAATATGTTCAAATTAATTGGTAAGAAGTAAAGATATAGCATTCCATGCAAGTACATATGAAATTTCAGAAAGATCCATCCAGTACTTAAGATATACCAAGAACAAACTTCAAACAAAGCCCGACCTATATGTCCCAAGGATGCTCCAGACTAAATAAGAATAAATTCCCTTAATCCCAATGGTCGAAGAAGGATTTTAAAGGTTTAACCTCTATTTCTCCTATTGGGCCCCGCCCTTCTGCCCCCTGGGAGACCACACCCACCGTTTATACAAAATGGATTCCCCTTGGCCTAAGCATACTCCAGACCAAATTTAGTCAAAATATACTTGGCCGTTTAGGACTAGTACGCTTTAAAGGAAAAGTTGATGGATGGACGACGGACGCTGCTGAATGGCAGAAGCTCACCATGGTCCTTTGGACCAGGTGAGCTAAAAACCAGAACAGATTTTAAGAGGGAGCCAGAATGCAAAGTTTTGAAATGGAAAATTTGCTTAACATATGAGATATTTATTGTTGTTCGTGTTTGATTACCAAACTGACCGATTAACCGATTACTTGTTCGAAACTTGTTTTGAGTACTTAACCATTTACTAAAATTTGCCCGGTTTGATAACCCTAATGTAAACATTATCAGTTTTCTATTGCTGAGTGGCACCACCTCTTTGACCTTGACCTCTCACCTGCTGACCACTTCTATGACCTTGGAATGCTCTTCTGATGGACTCTTCAGGGCCTTTCGTCGAGTGCTAATGTTGTAAAATAAATCCTCAACCTACAAAAAGGAGGAAAAGATAAATAAAATACTCCTGATCAGATAAATGTTAGCAGAATGGTACGGCAAACTGATTTGAATTCATTTTGATGTCGTTCAACAATAATAAATTATTGCATAAATGACCGACAAGTTCATTGGTACACATTTTATATATAATATTTATCTAGCTAGCAACCTGTTTCTTTGTTTTTTAACTAGACAAGAAGTTGCAATGCTTCTGAAACTTGAGATCTTGGAGGTTATCTTTTCTAAATTCTTGCTAATGTTTCTTAAACTCTTTTAATACATAATTTATATAGCTATGTTAAAACAAACAAAACAATATATACTGACACATATCACGTCGGACATTCCGTGTCGTGATATGTATCTTTGTCATCCTTCTAATTTGTAACACTCTATCTTGCCGAGGTCTATAAAAGCATGTGCAAGGGGAGAAAACTCAAACTAAAATCTTTCTTTATAACAACAAAGATGGCGTCCGACACACACACAAGCGTTCGAGGTGTGCCAATCATTCACAGTATGAAATAGTCTATTTAATTGACAACAAATTCAACGAAACAGACAATAAGGGGGCCGTTAGGACGCTTATTACAAAGATGGTTGTGTATTGTCTGAAATACTGCCGCAAAAAGTGTTCGGTAGGAGCTATAAAAACCAGACAGGATCTAGGAGCCTGTAGACGCCTCCTTACCCAGAAATAACTAATAATATACTTACTATCTAATTCTTCCCAGCCCTGTTTGATATCATTTATAAATACAAGACCGCAGTGACATGATATACATGATGATATGTATCAAATCTGACGTCCATACTTTGAGCATTGGCCATTATCTGTTTCAGAGTCTCAATCGGAAAGACACATGGACACACGAAATGAGGTGACAACTATACCCGGCTTTGTTCCAAGCAGCCGTATGAATACATAATTCAGTCCATGCGAAATATGCCGATCCAATGGACATGTCCGATAAAAGTTACTGCCAATCATCACGATTAATCTAGCATACGTTTTCTACCTTAGAGTCGTCTAGAGTCATGTCACTTAAGCGTTTTAAATACCTCTGTAACATTCAGTGCAGTCAAGCACTGCGGTAACCTGTAATGACATTGATTGTGTGAAGAATAATGCTTCTTTACGTGACTGGGGCAAAACCCGGCAAACCACTACCAAATCCAATTATCATTTTCATTTCATTATTGTACACATCAAACAATGTTTGTAAGTTTTTCCTTTAATTTCCTAGAATTTTTTTTTTAATTTCCTAGAAAGTATTTCAAGCTAACCTGACCGAAATGTCCTGTAAAAGTCGTTCCGGCCTGGCAAGCTTGGGACAGTTAGTCAGTTACCTGACCAAATTTCCGGTATGAAAATGTGTATTTCGTATGGACTGACAATACATGACTGTAGGCTCCCAAAAGTCAACAAAAATAATCTGATGTAAATAATTTGATCAAAATAATCATATTTATGCTTGAATTATGAAATCAAAACACAGTTGACATAGTGAAGATGACAAATAATTACTGAACTCGAGTACCAAATGTACACAATGTACGGTATGCGTTGGAAGTCATTTCTAGTTTTGGTTGGTGTTATATGATTGATGTTAATGCTGAAAAAAACCCTCTAAAACAGTGTAAAAGATGGCTGTAACATTAGGACACCTAATGTATAGTGATACTGCAGGACTGGACTGGGTTGGTCGCTGGTGGCTAAGTAGCTCACCGTCTTGAGTTTTCAGGTCCCGGGTTTGAATCCCTGCATGGCTGTATTTTTCCTCTCCTTTTACAGTTTAACAACTCTGTCTGTCGATGTTACAATGCATTGTCTAAGAAATAATGTTAACAAATTTTGCATGCAAAAATCAAGATGGATTCTATTTCTTTGGACTAGTGATGTTTAAGACCAAAAAGTACTTGGACATTTTTGTTACTCGAGTAGAACTGTTTGTATACCGTTATCTGGGTCCCGACGTTGCCAGCACACGGCTTGACTGCTTCCTTCAACTTTCCATCCGTGAATTGACCTCTGTAATCAAACCAAGAACATATAGATGATTATTCCATGTACACATACTGAACAAATCCTTTATATCATCTAGTATATGCCACTGGAAAATATGAAAATTCTTCACTCCAGGAGTAGAATTTTGGTATTCTCCATACCAACAACCGCTTTCCAACACCTCTTACCTTGGTAAGCCTCAACTGACATTGTGAATACAAGAATAACAGGACATCACAGATGATCCTTATATCCTCATGATTGGAAGAGATTAGAAATACTAACTGTTACAGCGACTTAGGGTCTTTGACATCAAATATCTTAGTTACAGTAACGATGACCTTAATCAGATTGAAACGTCAACAAAGTTTCATGACAATCAAAAAAGAAATCAAAGTCTGTAGGAGGCGGACACTAGCGTAATATTCGTCGTAAACATGACCTTGTATTGTCTTGGTGCTTTTCTTAGTTTTAACCTCTGACGTTTGAAACACAATCTCATACAAGTTTCACGACATTTGGAAGTAAAATGAAGTTAGTAGAGCAATGACACCAACATTCTAATTATAGTAACAGTGACCTTGTTTTTGACTCATGAATATCTTACCTATAAGCACATTTTGAATCCACTGTTCTGGTTGTTATGGTAACGTGGGCCACATGACTTATACTTGCTAAAGCTTCACCCCGGAACCCGTAAGTTGCGATGGAGCTGAGATCATCAAATGATTGTAGCTTGCTGGTAGTAAACCTCTCACATACAATGTTCATATCGTCTTTCTGTAAATCATCAATAGTTATACTGTACGTACACATAGTCATAACGTTTGGATTTGGATTTTTGTTGTTAAACCAATTTTTTTAAGCATAACACATGGACATCTATCAACATTCCATAGTGTCAGCATGCGAACAAAAAAAAAACACAAGTAGAAAACCTTCCCTTATTAGGACTTTCAAGTGTCAGCATACAGCAAGAGGGCTAATGGGCCTGTATCACTTACCTGCTTTACAATCACATTTATGAACTTCACAACGGGTTGAAGCAGGCCTAATGTGTACATAATACTGTTGTCATACCTACCCTGATCCTTGACCCGTCATTTTGACAACTGTTTTGTTGTCATACCTACCCTGATACCTGTTCTGTTGTCCTGACAACTGTTTGGTTGTCATACCTACCCTGATCCCTGTCCCGTCGTCCTGACAACTGTTTTGTTGTCATACCTACCCTGATACCTGTTCTGTTGTCCTGACAACTGTTTGGTTGTCATACCTACCCTGATCCCTGTGCCGTTGTCCTGACAACTGTTTGGTTGTCATGCCTACCCTGATACCTGTTTTGTTGTCCTGACAACTGTTTTGTAACTGTTTTGTTGTCATGCCTACCTGAATCCCTGTCCCGACAACTGCTTGGTTGACGTACCTACCCTGATCCCTGTCCTGTTGTCCTGACAACTGTTTTGTTGATGTACCTACCCTGATACCTGTCCCGGTGTCCTGACAACTGTTTTGTTGTCATACCTATCTGATCCCTGTTCCGTTGTCCTGACAACTGTTTTGTTGTCGTACCTACCCTGATCCCTGTCTCGTTGTCCTGACAACTGTTTGGTTGTCATACCTACCCTAATCCCTATCCTGTTGTCCTGACAACTGTTTTGTTGACGTAACTACCCCGATCCCTGTCCTGTTGTCCTGACAACTGTTTTGTTGTCGTACCTAATTATCCGTGTCCTGTTGTGCTGACAACTGTTTGGTTGTCATACCTACCCTGATCCCTGTCCCGTTGTCTTGTATCTGTAGAAGCTTCAGTCCTCCCTGTTTCACAATCACCGTGATACTGGTAGCCTTAGCGTCCAGGCTGACAACATACATGTATAAATATCATTTTAAAATATAATCCATTTACCTGATTCACTAACTTCAAGACACCTGTCTGACTTATTTCCTAGTTATACTAACAGGTACCTTGACCTTTGACCTACTGATCTGAACAGAAATCCCAAGTCAGCCCTTCAGTATAGAAGCAGTTTATGAAGTTGAGTTCTTCGGAAAGTCAAGTTATCGTGGAGACACTAAAGAACCATATGAAAAATTCAATATGATATCATATCATATAAGATATCATGATAACACCCTTCAGAATCATATATATTAATATGATTCTATCTTTTGACAAACAGGGTTCAAACTTTATCATACAGTACATACACCTAAGTTCTCATTTATTTAATGACACCACATTCTGATTACAACATGAACAATTTCAAGTTCAGCACTTTTAATTCATGTCATTATAAAACTGATGCCGATTTTTACCTCGATTCCCAAAACAATAGATCTTAAAGACTGGTTAATAACCATAACAAAGACAATCACTGCATTTCTATTTACAAATATTAATTAGGACACCACTAGAAAACATAATGTTTCATATCAAACTTACCAATTTTCCATCATTTCCTTTAAAGCATTAGCCGGCCTCTGTATAACCTCCCCAGCCGCTATCCTGTTCACAACCACCTCGTCAAGTTTACGTATAGTACCTGCTAGACTTTTGTTTGAAGCCATTATATATCTAAAATTACAAGAATACATAAGGCCACTTAGCTGATATTTTGATAACCTTTTTTTATCAGACCCTTGACAGACTCAATTATAGTAATCAAATGTGACATGTGATGTTAACTCTGGGCGAATACAGAATTTACCATTGTAGGGGTAAAGTTTCCCCGTTTACAATAGTCTCCCCTACAACAGTATCTGCCATTTTATACATTCACATCAACAGGTACCTTGGAGGAATTCAACACCAGTTGAACAGCAGGGTGCCTAGCATGATAAGTGTCTTCTAATAAATTGTTTACTTTCCTTAAAAAATATGTTTGACAAAAAGCCTCTTAAAAGTGATGGTCTAGCTATTGTAAACTGACAACACAGATCAACCTAACATCTTCATTTCAGAATAATCATTTGGTTGTATTTCTAAAGTTTTGAAGAATCTGTGATGAATAAAATCCTCTAGAAGCATTTTTATGATATCATTATTTTTATTTTCTCAGAACTCCATTTGGATATAAATTAATAACCCGACTATGTTATAGACACAATGAATGGCTTACATGTTTGCTGTGATGTAGCTAGGTTGTGTAAGGGGAGGAAATTAGAATACACAATAAAATAAAAAGTATTAATACTGCTGTTAATTCCTGTTTGCAATGGATGGCCCATTCACCCAACAATGTTTTTGAGCATATTGTTCACTAGACAAAAGCCTTTGAACAAGACAATTGATACCAAATCAATAGAAGAGAGTAGTGTTTACTTTTTCTTCACAAGAAATTCAGACACTGCAACAACCTCCTCTTACCATATATTAATTTCTTTCAATAGTTAATTATTGAAGTATTGACACAAATATACACAAATTAAATACCTAGAAAAAATATGAGCTCACTACATAACTTTTTATCATACCTCATTTTATTTACATACATTTAAGTAACGCTGTTCGTACTATTCTAAGGTTTTTCAAAAGGTAATGTTTGTTCAGTTCAACAGGTCCAGTACACTCTGCTGATTGAACTATATAGCTGTAAAGACCTATAATAGCTCTATTGACCTAACCGAAATAGGTCTTTTGAGCTATTAAGTATTTTCATGTGATGAAGTTTGAAATCTGAGAAAATATAGCTCAATACAGCTATAATTTATAGGTGAATATATATAGCTATATAGTCTGTAAGTACTGCCTACTGGACCTGTTGTGGATGATGTATCAGTGCATGTAGACAAGTGGCCTGGGCTATATATATAATACTTAATCTTTCACAGCAGGAAATGTATCATAGTATGTCTAACTTTAGGATACCTACCATTCGGTTTGTTTGACACTAGGTGCGTAAGGCTAAATATTGACAGGTGTCACGTGCGTTTACGCTCTATATATGTATACATTTTCTCGCGGGAAATTCCCTGCTACATTTTCATCTCTATGAAAGGAGAGTTCCGACCTTTGTAAACTTCCGTCGGCGGAGTTATCTCCTTGGAAACGCAAGTCTTGAAAAAATAGTTCGCAAATATCTTATTTTCGTATTTAAACTAATACATATGTCATTTTTGCTTGACTTGTGACTAAATGTTTAATTAACACATGACTTTGAATTAACTGCTCTACCAATCAGTAAATAAAACGAAATAACTGCTGTTTTCATAGAACTATTTTATTACATTCACCATATGTAGTGATACGGTCGTAAACAACATGGCGGAGAGTACTGTTCCAATATAGGAGAAAATCATGTAGACAGTACAGAGTTATTTCACTGTTTTATGATGGTGTATTAGCTACAAATCGAAATGCCAGCTGTTACTACGATGAGCAGGGCCTTTACGGACCCAGTTGGTCTGTCTGGCGAGAAAGGCCTGCTGATTGACACCATGCAACTCGTCGAGCCACGGAAACAACAAACAATTCCTAATCATCTGTTAGAAACAAGTATGGTTCGATTTAGTTCGATGACAAAATGGGGAAAATCATTGTTGACTTGTGGTGTATATATTACGTGTGTGTGTGTCGTAAAGTACTTTCAATTGCATGAAGAAGAAAATAAATAAAATAGGAAAAACTGAAAATCACTAATATGAAGGTGCTAGGATCTCCAACACCTGTGTATCTTACCAATTTATTCATGCATTTCCTCGGGACACGTGCATATGTCACTGTGGAAAATGTGTTGATTGGTCCTAATTTTAGCTCAAAGGCAGATTGAGAAATTAATGATTATGTCTTAGGTTCAACAAGTGTCATAAATGATGGTATAATTGAAGACCAAAATTAAACATTCATGTTAAATTCCACTCTGTTTTCATGTACATAAAACAACCCAAACATCGACATGATCTTCAATATAATGAAGTGGGTCGATTAACAGGAAGAAAGTACCAGGTAGAAATATTTCAATTGAATATATTGAAAATGATGCAAACTTCATTAGTGAATTAAGTTAAGTCTTAAATAAGGCATTAAGGCTGATTTCTTTATAAAATAGTTTACCAACAGTGTAATGTTCCATTTAAGATTAATTTATTCAATGTTATTTAAATACCTAAATTTCAAGTTCAATATATATATTGAAATTGCATGAATCAATATCCGTAATTATAATTGGGGTCTTTGAAATATATGACTTACCATTGGGTTGAAATTTATACAGCCCAAATAATTTTCTCATCTCCTTTTTAACAAAAGGATTGAAGCAGCTTACATGTAGATCATCAGAACATAAGGTCTATGTGAAAAATGTGCACATATTGTTGTGTTTCAAATGAATACAGATCTTTCATTCATTAAAATTAAATTGTTTTGTCACTTTTCACAGTGTACTTATTTATATTGCATGGAACTTATTTTAAACATAGCTTCATCATTTTACTTGGCAGAAATCTATTCAACTGTTGCCCAGAATGCTATGATACAGGCCAAACCTGCTGTGGTACACTTTGGAGGTTACAGTCTACACAAGAAACATGTCCAAACACTCAGTATTGTCAACGCCTCGACAGAAGTCATTAGGATGCATATCATTCCTCCTCAAACTAAATACTTTTACCTTAAATATAAGAAAACAGTGAGTACATACATTTATAAATATTTCTCATATTTTAATTACATGTACTTTGCCGTATTTGATTCTAGCGTAAATATATGGAATGAAAACTGATATAGCGTGAAACAATATGCAGAGAAGCTCAGTAAGAAATTTAAACATGGCGAACACCTGATCTTTTGGAATTTGCAAATTGTAACATTGAATAAATGTACCTTATTAGCTCACCTGGGACAAAGTGCCTACAAGCTTATGAGATGGTGCTGTACTGTCTATCATCTGTTCAATAAATTCCATTAAAAAAATGCCTTTTTTCCCATCCTGTTTGTTTACAATTTGTTTATCTGTATTGCAGGAGAGGTTAGTTCCTGGCCTTACAATAGAATGTACCATTGAGTTCACTGCGGATGAATGGCGCTACTACTACGACTGCATCAGGATAAATTGTCCTGTAAGTGTGAGAGATTTGTAATATTTCCTTCCCTGTTGTCATCTTTTACTCCAATAATCTTAATACACTGTTTCAATAATGAAAATTGTACAAAATTTCAGTTATAATAGATGTCTCCATAGTGAAGTATTGTGTAATATGACGTATTGTGATGTCAGACTTCTGCACAATGGAGACAATAGATGTGAAATCAAGATAAGAGAATTTGTAATAATGATGTCACGGAAATGGTGGTTTTTTTTTGCTTTGTTCACAAAACTTCATCATTTGATAAAAAGAAGATAAAATTTTGATTCCATTTTGTTTAAGATTGATGAAACTCATCACTGGATCTGTTTCATATATGAATTTGCTAGCTAGCTATAGGCTGACTAAAATTAGTAAGGCTTTTTTGAACTTGATTATTTTTTTATGTATATTTGTACGTATCTATGTATTAATACTAAGGCTAAGGAGAACAATTAGACAACGCGTTATGTTTAGAAAAAGAAAATAAGGTGACATTAATGATTATGTTTATGTGTAGAAGAATAAGATTATCTTTTTATGTTTATGTGAAGGCGGGAGGAGTATAAGTTCATGTTTTGTTTTAGGGAGAGGAGAACTTGGTGATCCCTATCCATGGCTAAGACAATGTGTTATGTTTATAGGGAAAAGTATAAGTTGATATTTTGTTTTAGGGAGAGGAGATTTTGGTGATCCCGATCCATGGCTAAGACAATGTGTTATGTTTATAGGGAAGAGTATAAGTTGATATTTTGTTTTAGGGTGAGGAGAACTTGGTGATCCCTATCCAAGGCTAAGACAATGTGTTATGTTTATAGGGAAGAGTATAAGTTGATATTTTGTTTTAGGGTGAGGAGAACTTGGTGATCCCTATCCAAGGCTAAGACAATGTGTTATGTTTATAGGGAAGAGTATAAGTTGATATTTTGTTTTAGGGTGAGGAGAACTTGGTGATCCCTATCCAAGGCTAAGACAATGTGTTATGTTTATAGGGAAAAGTATAAGTTGATATTTTGTTTTAGGGAGAGGAGATTTTGGTGATCCCGATCCATGGCTAAGACAATGTGTTATGTTTATAGGGTAGAGTATAAGTTGATATTTTGTTTTAGGGAGAGGAGATTTTGGTGATCCCGATCCATGGCTAAGACAATGTGTTATGTTTATAGGGAAGAGTATAAGGTGATATTTTGTTTTAGGGAGAGGAGAACTTGGTGATTCCTATCCATGGCTAAGACAATGTGTTATGTTTATAGGGTAGAGAATAAGTTGATATTTTGTTTTAGGGTGAGGAGAACTTGGTGATCCCTATCCAAGGCTAAGACAATGTGTTATGTTTATAGGGAAGAGTATAAGTTGATATTTTGTTTTAGGGTGAGGAGAACTTGGTGATCCCTATCCAAGGCTAAGACAATGTGTTATGTTTATAGGGAAGAGTATAAGGTGATATTTTGTTTTAGGGAGAGGAGAACTTGGTGATTCCTATCCATGGCTAAGACAATGTGTTATGTTTATAGGGTAGAGTATAAGTTGATATTTTGTTTTAGGGAGAGGAGATTTTGGTGATCCCTATCCATGGCTAAGACAATGTGTTATGTTTATAGGGTAGAGTATAAGTTGATATTTTGTTTTAGGGAGAGGAGAACTTGGTGATCCCTATCCATGGCTACCCAGTGATGAGTACGGATGACTTCCCACAACAGTTTAGTTTTCCTCCTGTACCTGTGGGACACAAGTAGGTCAATCCTCACAATGTACAATCCTGCTTCTATTTATAGACTCAATTTTTTTTAACGAATAGTCACAATGGTTGCCTGCATGTATAGCAATGTTAGTGATATCCATATAAGGTTGCAAAAGAGAAATCCAGTTTCCAATCTCATGAAATGCAGAACTTTTATTTTTTTAAATCTACAACATTCAAAATTGTCTCATAAAATATTGGTAAAACTTTACTCCATAATATTATTTCTTTTGATTATATGAAATATGCTTTATTTAAATTTTAAAAAACATATATTTCATTTTTTTTAAATTTAGAATTTAACTTTATGTAACTTTTTACCAATACTGGTCTGGAGGACATGCTTAGATCAAACAAGCTCGACCTATACTATGATAATAGTTCCTAACACTGCCATAGGTCTGCGATGTGTGAATTCTGGTTTCATGAATATTCATATTTCATTTTAGGATGACCAAAGTGTTTCCCCTGCGATGTGAAGCACCTATTGACTTTGAATTCAATTTGACGTACATCCAGCCACACCCATCATTTTCAGTCCAACCAATGACGGGTAAGTGTTTATTATCTGCACGGAGTAACTAATGATTGAGTGTTCACACATGTATCTATTACTATTTCTTCAGTTGAAGGGCTACGTTAGCCAAGTTGTTAAGGCATCTGACATTCTGCTACCACTAGCCCTCCACCACTGGGTCACAAGTTCGAGGCCTACGTGGAGCAGTCGCCAGGTACTGACCATCAGTAGGTCGGTGGTTTGTCTCCCTGGGAACGTGGCTTTCCTCCACCACCAAAACCTGGCACATCCTTAAATGACCAAAGCTGTTAACAGGACTTAATCAAAATACAAACAAACCAATTAAAACAAATCAGTAAAATGCTGAATCTGCAAACTACTTATTCGTATGCATTTTTTCAGGGCAAATTTCTCAAAACAGTAGCTAACTTGTAGCATCATTAGTTTTCCTTGAACAATATTGGAGGACATAAGTTTTTACCCTGTTTCGTATTCTGTATTCTTCCTGGTACAAAAGCCTCCCATCCCCCCACCCCCCATCACCACACACACCCACACACACACTTATCAAAGATGGGGAGAGTATGTACCCATCCCACACACACACTTATCAGAGATGGGGAGAGTATGTACCCATCCCACACACACACTTATCAGAGATGGGGAGAGTATGTACCCATCCCACACACACACACAACAAAGATGGGGAGAGTATGTACCCATCCCACACACACACTTATCAACGATGGGGAGAGCATGTGATGACCCCTTTTAAACATTTTCACATATCCATTTACGTTTGCCCACACACACACTTATAAAAGAGGGGGAGAGTATGCACCTCTCCCACACACACACATAGGTGACCATAACACACTTATCAGAGATGGGGGGAGGATGTACCCATCCCACACTCTCACTTATCAAAGATGGGGGGGGTATGTACCCATCCCACAGACACACTTATCAAAGATTGGGAGAGCATGTACCCATCCCACACCCACACTTATCAGAGATGGGGAGAGTATGTGCCCATCCCACACACACACATATCAAAGATGGGGAGAGAATGTACCCATCCCACACTCACACTTATCAGAGATGGGGCGAGTATGTACCCATCCCCCACACACACTTATCGAAGATGGGGAGAGTATGTTCCCCTCCCACACACACCCTTATCAAAGATGGGGAGCCTATGTCCCCATCCCACACACACGCTTATCAAAGATGGGGAAAGTATGTACCCATCCCACCCACACACTTATCAGAGATGGAGAGAGTATGTACCTCTCCCACACACACACATATCAAAGATGGGGAGAGAATGTACCCATCCCACACGCACACTTATCAAAGATGGTGAGAGTATGTACCCATCCCCCACACACACTTATAAAAGATGGGGAGAGTATGGACCCATCCCACACACACTTATCAAAGGTGGGAATAGTATGTACCCATCCCACACACACACTTATCAAAGATGGGGAGAGCATGTGATGACACCTTTTAAACATTTTCACATATCCATTTACGTTTGGATCTTTCTCTCAAAACTCAAACAAGATCCTAAAGTTTACTTATGTTTTATTTGTGATAAACAGGTGTGATACCAGCCCACGGGGAGAGTGAAGTGTCGGTGACCTTTGCTCCGTTAGAATTCCTCACAGCTATGATGAAGATTCAGTTAGTGATATCACAGTTTAACTCTAAACCAATCATCTGTAATTTTTGTGGGACCTCATTGCCAGGAATGTTAAAGTAAGTTATTATCAAAAGTATTTAAAAGCTACATTCAAATGTTATGTTCAAGTTTTATTCAAATGCAAGTCATATAAAAAATGTATAGGGAGGATTTCTTCTGATGATTTATTCACAGATTTGTAGTTCTTTGTTGCTTGACTGTGGCGTAAGGAAGGCTCATGTAGATTAAATGAACTGTAAACTAAAGCACTAGTTCATGAAAAAGTTGTTTGAGGACTTTTCCAGTTGCAAACCACCAAATGCAAGCTTTTCAGATTGTGGTTCAAACTTTCATTGATAAGCAAAAAGAAGTCAAGGATATCAATCAGATTTATTTTCATAGCATGTTCATGGTTACATAGCAAGCATGAAAAACCACCAATATTTATACAGTATATCTTTTGGAGCATAATCCTCCAAAAATATCCTTTATAATTAAGTCAATAACAGTAGATATAATGTATTATTACCTACAATTTTCTTGGTTAGAATTTAAAAGAAAAGAAAATTTCAGGAAGAACTTGGTTGGAGTTATTTAGCATATCAAATAGGAATTCAAACAGAAAGATATTCAACTTGAGTGAAAAGCGAGTACTGTTAGCCATGACATTGCAAAATTAATGTCGAAGTTTTAATCTTAACAACTAAATACAATATTGAATATTAGTCCTCATGCAGACTTTTGTTTTTATAGGGAAATATCGGAGCAGCAATATGAAAGTGAGGAGGTCCTTGACCCGCGAACACTGACCCCACTTGGAAGGTCAAGGAAGAAAAGACAGAAAGTCAAACCAAGAAAACCTGAAGTTCAACAGGTACACTAGCACACTGATGGCAGATTTTAGGTTTTAACTTTTATAAAATTTCAATGAATGTAATTGTATCTCTGTGTGTCCCGATTAGCATAAAGAAAGAAAGCAGTTTTCCAAGGAAACATCATTCCAACAGAATTATCCTTCACCATGGCAAATTGAATCATGTACTCATTTAAGGTATATTATATCATAGTTTTGTCTGAATATAATTTTCAAATTTAGTGCTTTAGCATGATTAAGAAAAAATTCTAGGAAGAGGATTTCAACTGTTTCCATGGTATGACAAAGGGACTAATTCCTCAGGGCAGAGCCAGGTCCCTGGTCTAATCTAGATAGCGTGGAGTAATGCCCCAGGTCTGACATATATAATCACTTGTATTACAGGACATAGAGTATGGAGGAGTAAGGTTTCCACCACAGTTAGACACACCCTATGCTGTAGCTCAGGTTTTAAACCAAGAACCGGGCAAACTTCGGGCCAAGGACTTCAGAGAAAGTAAGTCACAATGTCATGAATGGAAAGTCAATTATGATTATGTTAAAATGTATCTAACTTAAAATAATTTTGAAGTTGTTTACCAAATTTTATATCAGACAGAAGCTGAAATACTGATTTTATTGAAATATATGAAATAAAAATGTCAAATATTACAAAGTTTTGCAAGGAAAACCTATTCACCCGGTATATTCCACCATTAATCTCAAAACATTATCATGATGAAACACAAATCATTTAAAATCATTGATTTATATATAGTTTGTTTGTTGTAGCTTTCAAAGATGAAATTTAATGATAATGTCATTGATTGCATCCATTTATAGTGTTAATTATTGACTTACATCTTAACCCAGCATTTTGTACCTTTCAATAGTTTGCTTGATTCTAATGACACATTACCTCCATGTCTATTGTGAGTTAATAGCTAATCTGAACCTACTTTATTTTAGCTGTCATTACAAAGAGCAAAGACAAGCCAAAGGCTGCGACAAGGCAAATGAAAGTAAGTGTAACGTCAACAAATTAACACTTCCATTACGTCTTGCCATTTACAGCTGCTTTCCCAAATTTTACTTCCAAGTTTTAATTTTATGGTTATCAAAATACAACTGAATAAATGTAAATGCAGAATTTTTTTCTCAAAACCTGAATAAAAAAGTCATGATAAGTATTTTTTATTTTTTTTTAAATTCCTTAACCCAAAGCTTTTCTTTCATGAGTCTGGATAAAGAAGTTTAACTTTGTGTGTTAATTTGATTTAATGGGATATTAGTGGATGTAGGCATGTGGCTGCCTATACATCCAGATCAATATAATGTGGATTACATGTTACAATATACTGTATAACACGAAATGTTTGTGGGGACTTTCCTTCGTGGTTTGAAGCCATTTAGATCATTTCGTGGTACAAACTTTTGTGGATATCTGAAGTTAACAAACATGTGTATCATTCAATTTCGTTGTATTTAATTTCGTGGTTCAATAGTAACCACGAAAACCACAAATGTTTATACACAACTAACATTTCATGTTATATAGTATACCCTGATACATTAGACATACTGAATTGATCGTGCTAAAAAATCAAGTTTCTGATACATATATAAAAACTATATACCTTACAAAGTCTCACCTGTTATGATGTGAATGACCTGTGATCTTTGTGTTGCCAGGAGGCTGTGTTTGAGCACAGTGTGCGACAGAATGTGTACGAAGAAAGACAGAATCAATTACGATGGCAGGTCAAACTTGGTGATGATCAGATCACCAATGCTGACCGGGAGAAAATCTTGGTCGCCCGCAGCGATGCATGGGACCAGTACAAGGTACATATTATGATATTATATCACTTGGCCCATACGCCTTCATTCATTATTTTTTCCAGCATTCCCTCCGTCTAATAATATATATTTCACTATAGTACATGTGCATGTGTTAAATATTTTCCAAATGATCCACATTTTATGTTTGGTACACTGGAGAAGACTTAACTCATTCATCCTTGAAAACTCATAATGAACTATTCCAATCTTTGAATTGGAAGAGTTCAAATGTGTCTTCAGGGGTGAATGAGTTGATATACAGTACTGTCAAACTAAAATAAGAGGCCACCAACAGAAAATCCAAAAACAGGTCTCCTAAGGCCAAAACCTGTATAAAGGATCCTCATACAACTGCTAAAACTGATCTATTTGCCATGATATGGGTAGAATGACCACACCATAAAGTAGATGGAATTTAATTGTCTATTTATTTTTTCACTACCTATGTATTGCTCTACTGTGTGGCACTGAGTGTAATGAATATTTTGTATTGTCAGTATGAAAGGCGAGGAGATCCGATACCAGAGGAGGAATATTGTCGACAAGAAACGGCAACAACATTTAAACGTACCTTCCGAGAGTCAACAACAGTAAGTCTGCAATCAACACAAATGTATTGTTACTCTCCAGGTAAGAAATTCATTAATATTTGATTTCAGCTTTTGAAATAAAATATTGAATCACCCATATAATGTCTAGTATGTACTTAGTACTACAGATCATCTTACTAACAAATAAACCTTTTCTTGTTTGTAATGAATTCCCTGAGTCACCTAGCTCATAAAATATCCAACCATGTAACAAATTATGTCTATAGGCTACTAAGGGTATACCAATTTGAAAAAATTAAAACTAAAATAAAAGGTAAATGCAATAAGTAGAGAGTCTGAGCTGTGTAAGATTGGATAGACTTAATGTTAATTACTGTATACTGGGAAATTTTCACTACTGTTTAATTTTGCCCTTCGTAATGAGAGCAAATTTATCATTACAGCTGTTATTAATAAACAACATACTATTTATAGTAATTAAATGCTAAGGGGAAATTTTATACTTGGCAAAGATGGATTTTACCAGCGTAGGGCAAACAATTTACCATTTTATAGTATAAATGTTTGACGTTTTTCTGTTGTTGGTTAGTGACAGATAAATATTACCTATCAATCTGTTACCAGTAAAGTTGAGCCAGGACAAATGCAACTCCATAGTGCATATATTGTAAAAGAAATCTGGAATAAAAGAGAGAAAAAAAGAAATTTATTGTAACTTATTTGATTATAGTTGGCACTGGAGACAGCCAAGTTTGACACCTATTCAAATGATCTATGGGCCGTCCGCCATGCTGCACTTGCACGGTTTGCACAAACAGCTCGGAAGGTCATCCTGCACGCCAGGGTCAACCACAAACTGAACTCGCTACGAAAGATGGTGGTGGACTGGAGAAAGGAGAAATACAGTGTTGGAACTGTGCCGCGTATGTACCGCATAGAGAAAGTGTACCTTCATGACATTCCAAAATTCAAAAAATCATCCAAATAATGCATAAAATCATCACAATAATGCATAAAATCATCACAATAATGCATAGAGCAATTCTAAGAACAAATGTAATCAAGTAAGTTGAGTCTACTTTTGTAAGGTTTCTGAATAGACGGTATGTAATGTGAAATCAGATTTTCATGGGGACACAATTTCGTGGTTTTCCTAAAAACACCAATCCTGGCCGGGTACATGCATGATTCGTTGATCACTATTTAGCTTGTACCCACGAAAGCTGGCAGCATCACTCAAATGGAAATCACCTTATTGTCAAACCTATAATTACTTTGTGGACATTTGAATTTGTGGTTCAAAAGTACCCATGGAATTAAAGACATAAAAAAACCTCCAGACACTTTGTGATTTCACAGTACACACCTCGCTTGTTTAAAATGCTTCATTGTATATTTAACAGAGGAGCACAAAGACAAGGTAGAGGATGAGGAACAAAAAGAAATGATTCCTGCAAATTTACCACTCGAGTATCCCAAGGTGAAAAAACACCAGTTTGTCACCTACGCTACTCCTAATGTCAAGGACGACATGGTGAGTGTGTTTAACACTAGTCTGACATTTCAAAGTTTAGCAATATCTGACTATACATAAAATACTGCACTCTGATAGGTTAAATGTCAATATCACCACAATAACCTAGTCAGATATGACTGGACATTCACAGAAGGCGGGGTAGAGACACAACGTCCTAGATAAGTTAGGTTTCTTCAATTTCTTCGTTGATTGTGCCGTGGATACCAAGAAGGTATACAGAGTTTGTGCTGCCCCAGCTGGTGTAAGTGAAAATCCAGGAAAAAGTGCAAACGACACGGCAAATCTCTTCCAAACGCCAGAATTTATTGGAGCATCTATACAAAGATGAATGCTAAGATCAAATCTTAGCAAAATTCAACCACTGTTAAGGGAATTTCTTTGGAGTTTTAATCGTTTAAGATGAAACTTCTAATGAGTCACTCTCAAGTATTATGGATCTCTTTTGAGTTACATTACCACCAAAAATTAACATTAATAATTTTGGGACTAGAATAGTCTCGTTTGGCAGCCTATAACCAGAGGTTTAAAGATGTTTTAGTGGCTTTCTGAATTTTCTTTTTCTATAAACTACATGTATATCATTAAGGAATTAACAATATCAAAAGAAAAATGGCAGGAATGGGGAACCTTTTTTTTAAAGCCAATTGTTGGAGGTGTTGACATTTTTCTTCACAGAAAAAGTGACTTTCTGAGTGTCTCATCCAGGACAGCTCAAATTAGTGGATTGAATATCAAGCTTGTAAAATTTGAAAATAATAGCACATTGACACAGATTCCTAGTGTTTCGGGTTAGTTCAGAAGAATGTGAATCTAATATTTTTTTATGGTTGACACAGGCTCTTGATGTCCTGTGCATAAGATACCTTTTAACCGTTTATTGTATTTTGACACAGGCTATTGCTGCCCAGTTTAAAGTATCTTTTAATTAACCTTTGATTATATTTTGACACAGGCTCCAGATGCCCTGGGGAAGGTTCCATTCACACCTACAGATGTAGTGGTGAAACGGAAGGTACCATACTTCCAACTAAAGGTAAGTTATTTTGGATCAATTCATTTGTTTTTAAACTTTATCAATGTATAATAAATAAAATTTTAAAGGTAAACACTTTCAATTTTGCAGACTATGTATTCATTTTTGAAATCCTTAAAATTTTAAAAAAATATCAGAATCCTTCCACAAACTTTCTATTCCTTATTTTCTCTGAAAACTGTAGGTTGATTCAGACTATAGATCCCATGTCACTGTGTATGGTATTGTTGTGTTACTATTCTATAAATCCCATTTCACTGTGTATGTGGTTGTGTTACTATTCTAGAAATCCCATGTCACTGTTTATGTTGTTGTGTTACTATCCTATAAATCCCATGTCACTGTGTATAATGTTGTTGTGTTACTATCCTATAAATCCCATGTCACTGGGTATGATGTTGTTGTGTTCCTATTCTATAAATCCCATTTCACTGTGTATGTGGTTGTGTTACTATTCTAGAAATCCCATGTCACTGTGTATTTTGTTGTGTTACTATTTTATAAATCCCATGTCACTGTGTATAATGTTGTTGTGTTACTATTTTTTAATCCCATGTCACTGTGTATTTTGTTGTGTTACTATTTTATAAATCCCATGTCACTGTTTATGTTGTTGTGTTACTCTTCTATAAATCCCATGTAACTGTATATGTATGATGTTCTTGTGTTACTATTCTATAAATACCATGTCAGTGTGTATGATGTTTTTGTGTTACTATTCTATAAATCCCATGTCAGTGTGTATGATGTTGTTATGTTACTATTCTATAAATCCCATGTCACTGTGTATGATGTTGTTATGTTACTATTCTATAAATACCATGTCAGTGTGTATGTATGATGTTGTTGTGTTACTATTCTATAAATCCCATGTCACTATGTATGATGTTGTTGTGTTACTATTCTATAAATCGCATGTCACTGTGTATGATGTTGTTGTGTTACCATTCTATAAATCCCATGTAACTGTATATGTATGATGATGTTGTGTTACTATTCTATAAATCCCATGTAACTGTATCTGTATGATGTTGTTGTGTTACTATTCTATACATCCCATGTCACTGTGTATGATGTTGTTGAGTTACTATTCTATAAATCCCATGTAACTGTATATGTATGATGATGTTGTGTTACTATTCTATAAATCACATGTCACTGTGTATGGTATTGTTGTGTTACTATTCTATAAATCCCATGTCACTGTGTATGTTGTTGTGTTACTATTCTATAAATCCCATGTCACTGTGTATGATATTGTTGTGTTACTAGGTCCCACAGCAGTACAAGATCCAAGGTTACAGAAACCACGACGTGCACTCTGCCTCTGGTGGATATGTGGCTCCAAAGCTGGCACGCCCGCTGAGGTTCGGGGCAGAGGTCAGTTGAGGCGGAAACATTGAGAGAGGAGAAATATATCACAAACGCCTTGTCTGTGTTAATATTGTGTCACGTGTTATATCCACATCACAGCATGTCATATAGCAAACTAATTGATGATCAAAGAGAATATATAGTTTAAACATTTTAAGTATATTATTATATAAATCCAACAGACATTTGTTCAGGTCCAGTACCCATGAACAATACTGTTGATATAAGTCATGAGACATATATTTACAAAATCAACAAGACAAATATAATTGTAATACTTTCAAGCCCTGCGTCTATCTTAAGGCGACTACATTAAATGCCTTATATATGTAGGTTACAACATTGCGACAATAGTAGAAACTTAAAGATTGGCACCATTTAAAAACTTTACGATAATTAACTGGTTAACACTGGTTACTTACTACCTTGTATGAGATAATATTTTGGTTGACAGGAAGAAGTGATTAGCGTGCCCGACGCTCCTGTACCAGCTGGTATGTCACAGGTACGCAGCAGCGTGACCGTGGATATTTCAGAAGAAAGGGAGGTAACCGTGGTGCCCCAGGAAACAATAATATCAGAGGAAGTGAAGATGAAGCCAGTCCCTCTCATCCCACCGTCGTCACTATTCCAACCTGTAGAATATCCATCACTGCATATATTTGTACGTATCATGTCGTCATTACCTATGACAGGGTTCATTTAACATAATTCAGGTTGTTTTAAGATGTTCATAACAGCAATTCCTTTGCCGGATTAGTAATTTATATCAACTCAAACACACAAAGCTCTTTCCATGAAAATGTCGGCAAGCTAGAGCAAACAACACATTTCTACTTGTCTTACTTTATATTTTAACTTTAATCGTGGATACTGCAGACAAAGAAACTGTTGTGTATTAGGGGCACTTTAGCAAGTCTATGATAATCAATTCTTCAGAATGAAATGACAATTCTTCTCAAACATACATACTGTAAGTGTGGTTACACATTGGGGTGAAAGTCAGTTGTTTTAATAAGTGATTGCAAACTCGTTTCTAATTCTGTTAAATGCTGTGATCAAACTTAATTATATTTAAACGACCATCTTGATGACGTAACCATTTTGAAATGTTCTCTATAGTGGTTGCCCAATACTGTGTTCAATCTAAATTTCATAATCAGCTGTCTTATTGTACATGTACATTATGTAACATAGCTGCCAAAATTTAACCAAAATTGTCACATGGCCGAGAAAAATAAAAAGTGTCCTCGTGAACTCTTTTTTTTTTTTTTACTATTGTTTTATTGTTCCACAGAACCCGTCCCCTGGACTACAGGTGTTCCAGTCCCCCATGCCTTATGCAGAGGTTGACTCTGACTTCCATTTGTGTCCGTTACCGCGATACTTCCGGACAGATCACGCTTCAAATCCACATACTGCTACACAGAGGAAATACTTGGATAGGGAGGTGAGGTGTTTTAATCTGATCCGAGTCTTTAAATTTCTTGAAAATTTAGATGTATACAAAAGAATATTTATCATTAAAAATATTTTTAGACCATTACAGTAACTGTAATTCAATATTCTTATTTCAGGATGTGATTCGTGGAATCATGGCATGGAAGAAATTTCCTTCTCAAGGACTGACCTCGCTGACCAACACCCCAACACTGACCAATGTCTGGGTTCCCAGGTGGTATGTAATTTCATTCGTTACCATCCGGTTTTGATTTGTAGCAAGCTGTGACAATGATAGTGGTTACAGATTAAAGGGAAATGTGTCTTTCATATCTGAATCCAAATGCATGGAACCATTATATACAATTATTCTGAAGCTCCAAATCAACATACTTCTAAGTCAATACTGTATACTGGGAAATTTTCATAACAGTTTAACTTTTGCCTTTTGCCCTCTCCCCAATGAGGGCGAATTTATCTTGACAGCAAATGTTGGTACATAACATGCACTATATAGTGATTACTTGTGAATGGTGAAATTAACACTGGACGAACAAGGATTTTATCGGCAAACGGTGAATATCTGATTAGGTGAAGGTCTTCTGGTATAGAGTTGAGTGTGGTGTTTATTTAACATGAAACAAGGAATCACAAAGTAAATATAGGTAGAACTTGCTACTATAGACACAGGTTTCTTGGCTGTTGACGCTAAATTGTTTTTATGATGTTTCAGGGACGATCCATTTGGAGGAGAAATGTTAACGTCCACTGTCCCAACAGTGCTCGACTCACTGCCCGAGGATGACAAGAAAAACATTGAAGAGTGAGTAACAATATGTATGGATGATATTTCTTGACACAATAGCAGTCGATCAACATTTGACCTCTTTAGACATGTCCGAAGGATATGTGGTTAACAGAACAGAGTCAATAATCCAGGAGGTCTTTTATCAGTGACCTGTTTTAAGAGACTAACCTCTAGAATTATCAAAAGTGGTGGCTTAACACAGGTGCAAGGTCTCTTAGTACAGGTTCAGCTCACATAATAAAACCACTACAATGGTGAATAGTAAAACTGGTCTTTTAACACAGGTAGTCTCTTAAAAGAGGTGGTCGCATGAGACAGTACGACTGTATTTTGTGCAATTTCCTAGTCACAACATTTACAGACATAGGGTTAACTTTATTCCTCCGTTCCACAGGGAAGACACAGAGGAGGATACAGTGGCTGCTCCAGCTGTTATACTTACTCCAGACATGGTGAATGCTCAGTTTCCAGTGCTCGACCCCAACGGACCATCAGACGAAAAGATTTCAGCGTAAGCAGTTATTTCTTTTATCCATCCATCTGTAGAGGGAATCTTGTTCAGACATCTTAGTTTTCATCCAAATTTCTCGAAACTCCACTGATGTAATCATGGCACTCTGAGGTCCTCTTCTCTTTTATGCCCCTTTTTAAGATGAATAGACAAATCTTGTCCCGACACCTCGTTTTCATTTAAAATTTGTGAAACTCTATACATAAATCTCTTAACTCATAAGTTGTGTACATGTGTAATTCTTTTTCTTCCCCATCCACCTAATCCAAAGAACCAAGTGGGCTTATGCGGTGGTATGACATCCATCATCTCTCAGTNCCCCCCCCCCCCCCCCCCATCCCCACTAGGGTTAGAGGAGCATGGTCATATAAGAGATAAGTCTAAATCTTACAAATCATACTAATTCTGTAGGGGTGCTGGGATATAAACAAAATTCAATATAGTCTAGAGCATCCTTGGGCCAAGAGAACTTATTGTATAAGCAAAGGCGAGGTTCCCTGGAGCTAAGAGTGGGTTGAGAAGTTGGAATTCAAGGACAGTTAATTTGCTTTGAAGTCCTACTCCTAAACCGAGTGTGACCATAGGCATAGTTGGTTTGAAATATGTTTTATCTTGAGAAAACGGGGCTTCGATAGAGGAGTTTTCGTGGCCCTCTGATGATAACTTTCAAGAGTTTGGTAACGACATTCATCTGTTGAAGAAATAATCTGCACCTTAATTGAGCTCAGCCCCTATCAACCTTAACCCTGACTGTTCCCAAGAACACCTTTATTGAGCTCAGCCCCTATCAACCATGACCCTGACTGTTTCCAAGAACACCTTTGTTGAGCTCAGCCCCTATCAACCTTGACCCTGACTGTTCCCAAGAACACCTTTCACATATTCACTTGTCCTAGGAATGCCCTTCCAAATCATATTCAAATGTCTTCACACATACTTCAGGAGAAGGGTTTTAAAAGCTTACCCTCATTTAACCCTATTTACCTTTTGTCCTAAGGGAAACACTTTTTTTAAATAAAACTTTCAATTTTGTTGGCCCTCAAATCAAAATTCCTTCACTTTTACCTAATCCTATTTCCCCTATTTAGCCCAAATTATCTCTCCCAGGTGGACCAAATCCTGCCCTCAGGAACCACACTCTTCATTTAATCATACAATACATTCCTTTTATAACAGATGATCTGGCCATGCTAAATGAAGTTAAAATCTAAATTTTACCTGACATCACAGACGTCCATTTATAATACAGATGTACACATCTATTGGCGAGTTTTTGACAGCGTAATGAAAATTTGATCAAATAATGATATATTATTAAGTTACCTGGTATTAATTGTGTATTGTCAAATTGTTTACTGTTTTATTTTCAGGGACTCTTTCCCGTATGGCAATAAGTTACCTACAACCAACATTCCTGTGTCCAGCAACGGTCCAGTCCCAAGGTAAAACTGCAATTATTGGGATCAAGGAATATCATGAATTATTAATGTTTTAAAATCTGATCCTCTGAACAGTCATTCAAATATACAAAATATTGGGGTTTTTTTATGAACTATTCACTCTAGAAACTTTTGAGGTTAGAGTAGGTATTCAATTCTATTTATTGTCATATGATACTAATGGTTGTGAAGGTGATCACCTTTTTAACACATTAGACCAACTTATGTACTGACTATATGTGCATCTATGTGATGATTGGAATAACTCTATGATTGGAATGTTTTGATGCAAAATTTGAGTTACTGCCCCAATTTGTTGGAGTTATGGCTGTTTAACTTAAAAACTTAATTGTAGTTATGGCCCCCCAAGATTTGAGATAATGAGCTGAAAATTTAAATGTGGTGGCTTTTTTAAGACATAGAGAATGATGTTTGAGCCAGACTCAGTTTCCTTTGGTTTTCTCTGCTTTTTGTTTTTGGCAGAGTTATGGCCCTTTTACTTACCCATATCATTTAATATAAATGGTTTTTTGGTTGTTTTTCCTTATTGCCTCAAGACATTCAGCTCGTATGAATCTGTCGTCCCTTTTTCTCTCTGTTAGGAAAGTCCCAAGATATTTGTCCCTTATTATTCCTTTTCACCATAACATCTTTCCGTTTTGCATTTTCACCATTTGGTTGCGTACTTCATACAGATATATCAATATATCAACTGTTGTTATTACAGAGAGAAGAGAGAACAAGAGATGGAATATTTTATGACCAAAAAATATAATCGACTTGGAGCCAAAATACAGGGCAAGACCAACACTTTGAACCTTCAAGTGACTGACCCCAATATCCTGCTGCAGTGAGGGCAGCAGTATGATTGACAGAGAACAATGTTGATCATACAGGAAGTGGTTCACTGATTCAAGCAAAGCTGACTGTTCTGTGATATGTACAAAGGAAACAGTTTATTAATATTTATAATTCCACTGCACAACACTCGTACAAAATTGGTATTATCTCATTCACAAGTGCTTAAAGATATCCAGAGATATTTCTTCAATATTCCTTCTATATTTTGACAGGTAAAACTATTCATTTCTGTTGTATAGAATACAGTAAAACCTTGTTATACTGCCACCATTTCCTGTTTGAGGGACATTTTGTTGTTATAACAGGGTTTGGCAACACACCAAAGGGTACTTATAAAAGTGTTTTAAGAAATGAAAAGGTAAGCTTGACTTGTTGGCAGTGAGTAAGGTAGCAAATGAAACAAGAGGCATTATATCAAGGTTTGTTTGTACAAGTAATGAGGCAAATTCTGGAAAATGTCTATTGCATACATGTTCTTGTACCAATTCAGTTTATGTTTCATTCCTTTGTAACCTATGATAGTTAAATGTTGTGCTGACTAACTGAGGGTCAGAGGTAAAGGATGTCAGAACAACGGCTCAGGACGACAGGAATATAAAGCAGTTTGTACTTAAAAGTGGAAATGATCATGGTGCGAAATTTATCACGTTTGAGTAAATTAGCACAAAAATATCCACACACGAGTATATATACTGATGATGTGGTAAAAATGTAAACGTCGATGTTATTGTAGAAATAGAAATTAAACAAAAGACTGTTCTGTTTTATTTCTATAATACATGACAATTGTATATATGTATAGAATTTATTTTCGCAACCATTGTCAAGGGGGAAAAATTTCAACACCACGATAAGTTTCAGAGATACAACATGACCATTTGTACACATGAGATTTTCCACTTTAACAGTACAATTACGATGTATTTCGGTATCAACCCACAAAAAGTTGTGCTCATCGTGTACCAAACTATATTGTCTTTGTTTGGTTTTGTTGTCTGATGTAAAACCTGAGAAACAAAAGTGAAGATGATTGGTCTCGTGTATATATGTATACCGTTAAATTATACTGTTCTATCGTGAGCAGAACTGCACTGTGACTAGAGTGAACTTATAAATGTACTATTAAAGATAATTTTTTAAAGTGTGCAGTGTCTACTGTATTCTGTATAACGATGTTAATACTTTACACAAGTGGATTCCTGTCTTCACCAACTTCACTATATATCTTTGGTGCATTGTTGACATTTTATAAAAGTAAATTAAATGGGATCTACTGACATTTCCGACACTTCACCTTATAAGTATTACTCATAAAACATTTTAATCCTACCAGGGGTTCAAAAATAAAATTATCCAGCAGTACAGCCTGCACACAGTATAATGTTTAGTGGTTGAAATAGCAAGAATTGGTTGTACAGGGTTCAACATCCTTTCAGCTAGTTATTTAAGGAGATAGAATATGGCTGAGGAACAGACAGATAAATTGACAGATGAGGTCCAGAGGCCTGAATAGCTCTCACCTGATCTTTACATATATAAAACCGGATGCATGCATTCCAAACTTGGAGCAAATAATAAGTCTGTGTGCTTTAATTACTTTAATGCAGAAATCTAAGATAGCTTCCTGGCAAACATTTTGATTATCCAATCCATCTCACATTGCAGCTTGTGTAACCAAGGACCAAGGGGATCACGATATTATGTTTCATACATGATCCTTATGTAGTTCCCGAAAAATACCGGTAACAACTTCAAATATGAAATTCAAGATGGTTGCCTGGTGGCCATTTTGCTTTTCCCATCCATCTCGAATTGGCGTATTTTACAACTACAAACCAAGAGAATAGGGCAAAGTTCTGAAAAACATTGGTAACAAACTTCATTTTCAAAACTCAATATGGCTGCCAGTTTTTGTTTTTCTGGTAAATCTCAAATTGGAGCTCGAGCATGCAAGAAAATGGACCTTTGTCACCAAATGCAAGAGGATCACGAATACCAAGTTCACGTGTGTGAAATAGAAATACCAGCTACAAATAGTTTGCAAGGGGACTGTGCTAATGACTGAAATGAGAGCCACTGGACCACAAACCATTAGTGATTTGAACGGCCGATGCACAGTAAACCTACACACATGTATATATTTGTAAAACACATTTTGATTAGGCGAAAAGACCTATTTGATGGCTTTGGATGGCTCAGTGCGGAGTACAAAAACAGGTAATGATGACCTATGTTTTGACATTTAACCTTACTCTTTGAACAATTTTGTGCACGGCATATCTGTTATACTATTTCACTAGGATTAACCAGATTTAGTACTCTCGCACCTCAGAGATATCTGAGGTCATACCCCATGCTAGATTTTTCCATCTCATCCGATATGCTGGTATTGTTTGATGTTGTTTGGATATCTGATGTTGTAGGTAAAATATAATCTACACTGTGAAATACGTCGTCTCCTTTGTAAGGACATACTACATTTTTACGTGGAAGCATTCAAATGTAGCATTAGTAGAGGTCATTTTTATTTGAGACCCCAGACAGGATACTTGTAGTCCTTAGCAAAATTGATTTTTTTTTCGAACTAAAAAGTGAGAGAACATGAACCCATTACCTGTAACTCAGTCGAGGGCTAAGATTCTGTAACATAATACCAATCGAGGCATAAGCCGAGGTTAGGAAATTACAGAATCCCGGCCCGAAACTGAGATAAGCCTATCCCGCTCAGTTACAGGTATATCTAATGATGGCGTGATGCAAAATTCTTTGACCTCTGACTTCAACCAACTTGATAGCCCTTATCTAACCATGCATGGCTTAATACCTGCACATGGCCATTGACCTCTTGATTCAACTGTTTAACACATTTGGCCCTGTGACTTTGCAAGTGGGCTTCATTTTGAAGATCTAGGTAGATGTCATCTGAATTGGATACTACTATAAAAGGTGGAGTTCTCGCCATGTGAAAATATTTGCAACGTGACTCAATTGATCACTGTGTGGAAATGTTCATATAGGTAAGTGTTCTGAAATCCATTTATTATGCTATGTATTATCTATAATCTATTTTTGGATGTGGAAATTTTTGCACCAAGTTTTTGTACATGAAAAAACGCATGCATTCCCACACTGCGGAATGTTCCACTTTTACAGTACATGTATATTTGACACCTGTAATAATTGTTTCAATACAATTGACACCTGTAATAATTGTTCCAATACAATTGACACCTGTAATAATTGTTTCAATACAATTGACACATGTAATAATTGTTTCAATACAACTGTTCTACCAATGAACATTGCAACACTTACATTCATCTGAATCAGAATAATTGAACAAACTCAAATCAAAAGCTAAACTATTCGGTGTTTTCTGCAGTATTTATTACATGCAATTTAAGAGCACTTTAGCCACGAGTAATGACTGTCCCTGTTATAAGTACGGTGTTCGACAGACAACTGTCCCTGGATGTTATAGGTACGATGTTTATTGGAGTCATATATCACTATCAAAAGTCACTGATCTTATATCTTCTGGAACAAGTGGATATCCACAGACTGCACAAAATCCTCAAAGTCAGTTTCAATCTTTTCTGTGATGTCATCCACACTCACCTGCAAGTAACCAATGAAAAAATATAAACATCAGCAGACACAACAGCTTAAGTTACTGTAGAAAACACTTGTTTCTAACTTAAAACTTTAACTGCCTTACCACCTCCCTCCCCCACCCAAAGTCTATTTTTAGTAACAGTAAAATTGACCTTAAAAACTATTAACAACTATTGCCTATTTTCTGGGAAATCTCTGTAACTCCTTACAACAATTTCCTTGAGCAGAAGTAGCTTAAATTACAAATCTTATTTTTCTTTAATGTTTGTCAAGCTGGTGAACCCACACATAATATAACAAGGCATCACAAGTGATACAAATCCCCTCGCATTCACACATTATGACATATGTAAGAGGAAATGAAGTCGCTAGAGCGATGACAAGTTTTTTCTAAAAGTAGCAAAAGTGACCTTGACCTTTGACGCAGTAACCTGAAACGCGAACTTGTTCAAGATATTGCCATACCAAACACTTGTTTCAAGTTTCATGAAATTCTGTGTGGAATGAAGTTTGAAGAGCGATGACAAAGAGTGTAACATACGTACTACGGGCGGAATCCTACATCCCCTCAAACTTTTGTTGCGAGGAGATAATAATATACCACATTTATTAGTTGTAAGAATGTGACATGTAATTGTCAAAACATTTCCATTGGATTAACAAGTATGATCAGTAATTGATGAGTGAAAATGTTGTATTTACAATCACATGTTAGATTTAATCTCGTCCACAATCCAGGTAAGAAATGAATTTGAAATATATATTCTACGCTGTTGTAGAATTGTATTCCCTATACCTAATATGACGGACTCTGTTGATCCAAGGATTATGACCTACCTTGGCATCCTCTACCACCATGGAAATTTGTAATTTCTTGATACCAAAAGCAACAGGAATTAGTTTACCTAAAAATGAAATGGATAAAATTTTCAGCATCATACTCCCACATCAAATTTCTTAAATATTTTTAGAAAAGGTTGTCTTATCATATTTAACCCATGAGACTTCTTTAAGAGACCCAACATCATTTATTTGCACAAGCATGATAGCCCACCTCCTCGCCATAGGTCTCTTGCCTAGTCAGAAGAAGATACTAGCTAAATATTTTCTTTTAGATCTTAAGAAGCAGCCATTTAAGTGTTATGAAAAATATGACCTGTGACCTTGAATATAGTTTAATGTTGTTTATGTCCCCAACCCTTTTACCCGTTGCCATGCTAGTAGGCTACTGGCCAAATATCATGACAATAGGCCTGGTGGACTTTCTGGAAAAAAGGTTGTGCGAGTCCAGAGTTTGATGTTATAATCCTATGGCAAAAACAAATACCGGTATTGGTCTTTTGAGGGATTCGGGAGATTTTCTACAAAAGCTATTTACAATTGCACGAATGCCCAGACAAAGTCATTACCAATGATAATTTTTTCCAGTGCTTTATTTTAAGGAAATCCCTGTCGGTCAAAAATCCCTTTTTTAACATTGGTGTTTTCTGGTCACTTACTTGTTCCCCAAAGGAGACCATCTTTTACAATGGTGCGGACTTTCTTTTCTACATCTGCCATGTCTGTTTCATCATCCAAGGGTTTGATATCTAATACTATACTACTCTTTGCAATAACAGCTGGCTCTGAAATGTCAAGTCAGTCATCATTTAACAGGCAATTGTTGTTAATCAGAATATACCACTCAAACACATACATAAACAAGGTTAACACCTTCTGTGGGTGATGCATGTATACTTCAAGTTTGATCAAGATATCTTTAACGGTTTAAAATTTACAGGCCGGACAAGAATTAACTGAAAAAGTTGCACTTATTTGACCTTTGACCTTGAGGTGAAGTTCACAGTGACCTAATTCCAGTGCACTGTGCATTCACACCTTCTGTTGTGGGTGATGCATGCATACCTAAAGTTTCATCAAGGTATCTTTAACGGTTTAAATGTCATTGCCCAAACAAGTTAGATTAGAAGAACCAGAAGAAGAAGGAGAACCAGAAGAAGAACCAGTACTAAAACAATATGTCTCCCTTCATTCGAAGGGGAGACATAATAAGTCTTTTAATTATGGTCAGATTGCAGTGCGATTACATTACCACCACTGATTAAGGGGCCATAATTCAGTAAAGGATTTAGTCGGATAAAAGTGGTAATCCAACAGAGTTCTCATGGTAATTAACCTTCCTATGAAGTTTGAAGTTTCCATTTCTGAAATTGAATAAAAGGGCACAACTCTGTAAACTACAATAGTACCATGGTTGTTATCCAACTTGTCCAAGCTTCATGCTAACTAACCTTCCAAGAAGTTTGAAGTTAATCCGTTGAAAATTGCTTGAGATATCGAGCAAACACTTTTTCAGCAATTGATTAAAGCAGCATAACTCAGTAAATTACAGTCAGATAATGGTGGTTATCAAACTTGTTCGTTTTCCCATGGTAACCTTTCAATGAAGTTTGAAGTTAATCATTTGAAAATTACTTGAGATATCGAGTGGACACTAGTACTGTGCACGCCCACCCGCCCGCTTGGTCAGGTGATAACATAATGTCCCGTCTTTCGAAGTGCGTATAAAAATATAGCAACAGTGTAACCTCATCCCTACTAAGGTCTAATTACGCTGTAACCTCACCCCTACTTATAGGTCTAGTTACACTGTAACCTCATCCCTACTTATAGGTCTAATTACACTGTAACCTCATCCCTACTTATAGGTCTAGTTACACTGTAACCTCATCCCTACTTATAGGTCTAGTTACACTGTAACCTCATCCCTACTTATAGGTCCAATTACGCTGTAACCTCATCCCTACTAAGGTCTAATTACGCTGTAACCTCACCCCTACTTATAGGTCCAATTACGCTGTAACCTCACCCCTACTTATAGGTCCAATTACACTAACCTCATCCCTACTTATAGGTCTAATTACGCTGTAACCTTATCCCTACTTATAGGTCTAATTACGCTGTAACCTCACCTCTACTTAGGTCTAATTACATGGTAACCTCACCTCTACTTATAGGTCTAATTACACTGTAACCTCACCTCTACTTAGGTCTAATTACATGGAAACCTCACCTCTACTTAGGTCTAATTCCACTGACATTACTTCTACTTAGGTCTAATTACACTGTAACCTCACCTCTATTTAGGTCTAATTACATGGTAAACTCACCTCTACTTAGGTCTAATTACACTGTAAACTCACCTCTACTTAGGTCTAATTACACTGAACATTACTCCTACTTATTACACTAACTTTGCCACTAATTAAATCTTATAACACTCTAACAGTGTACCTACTTTTAGCTTTCTTTGCTGCGTATTCAGCTAATCTTTTCTCTTTTAGTGCTTTTGCATCTTCTTCCTCTTCAGAGTCTGAACCAAACAGATCAATGTCGTCATCCTCCTCATCATCATCATCACATTTAGCCTTAGCGTCTCCTGAAGGTCCATACTGGCCTACATCTTTCTTCTGACCACCAAATCTAAAATTATTAGATCAAGACATCAAGTCTATACTGACAACGACTTGGATCACAAAGGTATATCCACATTTTTGATGGTTTGCACCAGTTTCTAACATTTAGTGAAGCCACAATGATTGTCTAATGTGGCCTCATCATATTCTTGTCTGCATCATAACAACAAGAGGCTTAGGGCCTGTATCACTCACCTAGACCATTTTTTTTAATTGTGGTAAAATTTCACATTGTAATAAATCCAGGGGCAAAATCCAGGGACCAATTCTACTAGTATGAAGGTGATTTCCTGTATGTGCCCAATAAGTATGGTAATAGTGTATGTGGTGATAAATCTTGACCCCAGGACTTAGTCCTCAGGTGTATTCATCATGGGTGTATCAAGTCTCTTTATGCCCAGCAGTTGTATAAATATGTTATAGGGTGGAGGTTTTAACTGTTTCCATGTTACGTGATCAGTTAGAAATAATGCCAACTGAATAACTGAATTCATGCATATTCAAACCTAAATGGTGCATCTCTGTTTTTGTGCCATAAGCTACAGGTATCAACTATAACACTGCCAGGTCAGCAAGGGCCCCTCAAGGTGCCTGACCGTAGCCCTAAAGGTATATTTTTAGTAACCATGACCTTGACCTTATTAAACCCCTTATTTACTTAATATCACTATATATATTGACTGTAGTGTAACCTGTACGTTGAAAAAAGTTGGGACATTTTAAAAGACCGTGGCTGCAAAAACAAGTAGAAGGTGAGTTCTCAGAACATGTTAGGGTTTTTTCTACTTTTTAGTAGAACGTTTTAGTGATCAGCGAATGCACTGAAGCAAAAGATAATAAAAAATATAAACTTTATTTATTTTACAACAATTATGAAACAGGTTATTTCAAGTGCGCTATCCACTGCACCACCCGACCATAATGGATCTGAGTACGTGTTATGAAATGCTAAAATTCCACTCCAGAAAACGTAGATAGATATTAAAGTAGTGTTTGAAAGGTGACTGGAGCCAGCAACAGTGGTTTTCAAGAAGATAAGTAGGATTCCGATATAAGGCGGATTGTTAATGCTACACGTATATATTTCTGTGCATCACTTCCAGAAGAACGCCATCATAACTTAAGTGATAGGTTACATAGTTCAACAAAAATATCTGTTGACATATATGTATGTGTACATACTTGTTAATGATCTGTAATTTGGACAATAATAAGTTCCACTGATATGCTAATGAGCTGGACAAAACTTATACTGGGTATATACTGTTCCAGCTCTAGTTGTGACCAAGTGACTAATTCCCCAGAGGCAAGGCCTGACACCAGGGCCAATATGTGCACAATATGTACTGCAATTATCACACGAAAAACCATAGAGTGCCCGAGATGGGTGGAAAGACAGAGGAACACAAACATTGTTATCAAGTTTGAAGGAATTTGGCTAATATTTGCTAGAATCATTAAGCGGAAGCTGCAGATAATGATGTTTTTCGTTATTCAAGGGGCAACAACTTCGCCAAATGGGGTCTGCTGCAAGTGGTCATCAACCTTGACAGAGCCTATAAGGCATTTAACCCTGTGACCAAGTTTGAAGAGAATTGGTAACATTTGTTGTAGTTATTGCACGGAAACGAAACTCTGCAGATAATTATGTTTTTCGTTATTCAAGGGGCCATAACTCCGCTAAATGGGGTACACTGAAAGTGGTCATCGAACTTGGCCGAGCCCTTAAGGCATTTAACCATGTGACCAAGTTTGAAGAAATTCGGTTATGATTTGTTGTAGTTATTGCTCGGAAACGAAGCGTGACAGACAGACAAACCCAAATTAATATCCCCCGTTTAGGTGAAGGCGGGGGATAAAAATAAGGTTAATCATAGTGGTGTTCCCATCAATCGAGTTCGTCGAGTATTGGTTAGTTGGACCAGCTAACTTGATGATATCATTGATTATTCCTAGTTATTTTCTGTTGAATTATTGTGTTTGAAGGTCCATTTCAAACTCATATTGCTATCGTCCCTGATTATCTCGGTTAAAAGGCACGTAGTGTACACTTTGGAGCAGAGGGGCCAATGATAAACAGTACTCTCTATATGAAGTCAGCAGTCTGCAAAATTTGCAGAAAGGAATATGAATTTAATGGTACTGGCTCAGTAAGTCTAACATTATCGTAGTGTACATGGGAGTCAAATGTCCTTACGAGAGCTACATTCAGTAAAAGAATTTGCAGTTTTGTTATTTTAAAAGTGACTGAAATGAAACTAAAACCAAACATTTTGCAGTTTTTTTATCATTATAATATGTAGTTACACACTATTGTAATTTATGTTCACACATTTTAGGTTTATTTCATTGTAACAGATTATTAATCGGTTATGATGAACAGATGATCGATCATGAAATTTCTACTGATTCCCACCTTAATGATAAAATAGTTAAAGGTTCAAGGTGATATTGATACGTTTGATGACGCTTGTATTTCTATGCATCATAACAATAAAGGTAATTCATAAAGTTGAACCAAGATTATGTACTGATAGAAGGACAGACAGGTAAAAAGCAATACTCTCTCCACTAGATGTAAAGAGGGCATAAAATGATGCATTAATTACTTACCCTTTTTTCTCAGCATCACTGTAAGATTTGATGTGGTTGAACCATCTCAGGGCATGAGGTAGATCAGCATTGGGAGCCTTGGAAACTGCATTGAACACCACCACATCAGCTTGAGAAGGCTGGTATCTACAATACAAACAACACCACCACATCAGCTTGAGAAGGCTGGTATCTACAATACAAACAACACCACCACATCAGCTTGAGAAGGCTGGTATCTACAACACAAACAACAATTACATGGATTACTTCTTTAATTTTGTTTCTTGCTGTTCATTACAGATTTTAAAATATCAGCAGCGACAATTAATATCAACACAAGGAAAATTAAATAAATCGTTCAGTTGTGGAAATTAAAATGGAACCAAGACAGATTCATGTGGTAGTATTTTAGTTACAAATGGGTGATTTTTTAAACTGAAATATAGGGGAACTAGGGGAAACGGAACTAGCCTGTATATATCCATGACTTGGCCGTTACAATACCCTTTTGATAGCTAGGATGTATATAACAATAGTTCTTAGGAATTGCTCAGTCATTTGAAAGTGAAAATAGAATTAACAAACCAATCATAACGATTGAAAAAAATACACATTTCTACAGATATGTACAATACAATTAACAATTTGTTTCATTTATTACATTATGTATTTGTATGAATATCTACCCATGTTTCCACGTCTATGTCTGATGATGATCACTCCCGGTTCAGACACTAAAAACGATCTGGTAATAACAAAACAAGAGGCCCAATTGTCATTAATGTAACATTTAGGCTGACAACCAGATACCCCCCGTCTCTGGCACAGTCACACATGGGCAGAGTTTTGGTCCTCGGTCGTTTGGTACGGAGATGTTTCGATACTTGTAACAGATTTCTCAGTACTTCCCATGCATAAGTCATTTCAATAACAAATATTAACTTTTCATCTTTGTACTTTGTTTGCTTATCGTGAAGCTGAGTTCACAACCTTGATATCTGATAATGTGAATATTGACAGGCGACTACCGGTGTGCATGTGCTTGGACTTGTTACGATAAATTAACAATTATAAACCAAAACAATCAACAAAAATGTTTACCCTTCAATGTAACTTTTGTCGGTCACGAATGCGTCCAGTGCTTGCTGTCCAGCACGGCTTTTTAAATCCCCAAAACCCATTTTTAATGTGCCTGATGATGACTTCAACGTGGTCTCCACACCGCACGGTCTTGAAAGACCGGAAGTAGAAACTATTCCGGCATTTATCGACAGCATACATATTGATTGCAACGTTCAATTTCAAACACATATTTCAAGTTTATCTTTATTATTGATGAAAAAAATGTGAGTAGTATGTTCTCATATTTAAACAACAAGTTATATACATATACAGCTGTCGCTTTACATTAAGTGCGGAGATGACATTCCCATGTTCCGGTTTGGTGTCCCGACTGGTTCGCCAAGGTGAGTTGTGTAAGGATGAGCACATTGCTCCAATTTACGTCTATTTTAAATACAATAAGATTGTTCATCCCAGTACACTGACTTTGTTTATACATGTTACAATTTTGCATATGCATTGACACAATATATCATGTTTTCCAACTTAAAATAAAGATCGCATTTTTGGAAACAGCCCCCCCCCCCCTTCCCAACTAACATAGTGTAAACACGGGTTGGACTGTCATGAATTTATACGACAGTGTAAAACAGAAGTGGCCTGGGCGTACCTGGTATATGCATGGCTAGTGGATTCATGCTGCATTGCACACTTGAATATGAACTACATAATTGCAATGTATATCCTAAATAAAAAAATCATAAACAGACATTTTCTCTCAGATTTCAAATTATACTAAAAATATTTGGTATGATAAACACGAATGCTAGTCGTTTCGGGACATGACACAAGAGGTTTCGGGACTGAATCAAGCCGTTTCGGGACATATACAAATTTCACTTATAAATTACAATTCACTCCCGTTTCATATAAAGTCCTGAATGACCTGTGTCACGACTTACCAGTGCTCGGGATCATTAGTGTTACCCTGATTGCTAGCGCTTGAGGGGATACCTACCAACATTTACCTGATTGACAGTGTGTTGTTACCTGATGAAACTAATCTCATTATCAAATACAGATCTAGAGGATTTTATAACATTCAACATTCAATTTCTTTCGTTATTGATAGGTTGATTCCTTGTTTGATATTGTAATACATGTAATATGTTTTCAACTCACTCTATTCTCCATTATTGACATTAAGAGACGAATGAATTAACATTGATTCTAACAATGTTTACAGCATTTTGTTTTCGCTATATTGAAATTAAATTTCATGAAAGTAAAAACGTTAAACACATAGAATGTTTTAGACATGCATGAGAATCAATTTATCAAATTCAGCAATATATTTTGAACGATGTTAATTATTATGTTGTGTATTTCCATTCATGTTTTATTAAAATCATGTAATGGTAAATGTATGATGGGAGAAGGCTATGATAGGTTGTAATAACGTTTATCCAATCAATTGTTTAAATTTATTTGACATTAAAATATGTTTAAAGAAAAAAGACAATGGTATCTACAGAAGAAGAAAAAAGAAGAAAAATCCCGATATGACTTTTGACATGTCCCGAAAAAAGTCCCGAAACGACTTTGTCTTGTTACCGAAACGACCTGACACCATAAACACATCAGGAAATACCAAAAAAACTCAATTTGGCCCAGACGTTTACGTTTTCAGAAAGGTGTAATTTTCTTTAAGTCTCTGAAAGTACACATCAATATCACCTACACATACATGTACCATCATCAAGCTTAATTAAGTCTTTCATTCACAGTATTTGCACATGTGTGGATTGTCAAAAAAGCTATGAAATTACTGTTGTTGACATTTTTATTTTAAATAACCTTTCCAGCCGTGTGTGGAAAGAACATGTTTGTGAACATGCTCTGGTATATGCAAGAAATAATTTTGACAAATGCACACCAAACTACACGTGCAAATAATATTTTTTCAAAGAGATTATGGAGGATATTCTAACTATCTCCTCACCATCAAAAAATACTTCAATGGAGGTAGTCGTTTGGACTAATGTTTGCAGTGCAGAAATCTAGTACAGGTAACTTTAGGGGTGATCCAGGTAATGATGAACAGTTTTTCTGTGACCTTCACATTCCTTGGCGCATCTCCAATGCACTTTTAATCAGAGAAGATACAAACACAACCGAACTGTAGCAGTAGTTATGATTATACATATGAATCAATTACCAAATGAATGAATTAAGAAAGTTGTCTGTTGTGTTGCTAACTGAATTCTGTATATTTAAATTATTTTCCTCCATTGTCAGCTGTACATCGCCCTTCTCCTGGAAGGACCATACCCATGTGGCAACAGCAAATTTAACTGTCTTAAGAAATCGGCTACACCTTTATTTTTGATTAACTGCAAATTATTTTTCATATTCAAACATTGTTCATTTTTCAGATAAGAAAAATGCTTCGGCTGTGGCCGATTGGCCGAATCCTTGGTGCCCGAACAGCTGCAATCACTGCTGGTAATTATAATCGACCACTGCAATCAATTGTGGCACACAATCCGATTGTGTCACTTATAATTCATGATCAAAATGATATTTAAAAGACAGGTTTCTTTATGAATCAAGATATAAGCTTAGTAGAAAAGTTCTGAGGATGAAATGTGCTAAAATCATGAAGAAATTATTACAGATATATTGTCAGATGCCAAGTTTTATTGAATCTTCAAAGGATAGATATTTTCCAATATACAGAATACATCAAATGACATTTATACAGATCATGATCATTGATCAGCAGTTATATTAAGTATTGACGATCATGTGTTTCAGCCCGTGGGAGTAGTACTGGAGTTACAGAGAAAGTGGAAGTATTTGTGGATGACAAACCAGTATATGTAGAACCTGGAACTACAGTATTACAGGTAAAGTGTAGCTTTTACAGGTACAAATAGACTGCAGTATTATAGGTAAAGAGTGTTTTTGTTAGGGACAACAAAACTTGAGTTAATTCACAAATAAAGAGAGCAACTAGCTTTCACCATTGACTTGTAAACAGGTACATCTGTACTCATAACAGCCTTTTATAGATGTTGTATTTTTAAAGGCATTTCGTTGATGTTTACACTTAACTCTTGACATGCAGTGTATGTAATAAATATTTCTTTACATCATTTCAGTATTTTACTGATCAGGGACAAATACATGTACATGATATTGGCCTGGTGTAGGGATCGATGAATACATGGTTAAGGGAAAGAGTCAAAGGAATGTTGATTATCTCATTTCTTTTTTTTCCTATTTTTCAGGCATGTGCAGAAGCAGGAGTGGAGATCCCAAGGTTTTGTTACCATGACCGACTGTCCATCGCAGGCAACTGTAGGATGTGTCTGGTGGAAGTGGAGAAATCACCCAAGGTAATACCTCAACAATGTCTTCACCATCCCGAAACTCACGGATATGTTCCCGTGTTTCTATTTTTAAACAAATGCTGAAACTAGTAAATATAAAGGTAGTAACAACACGTCTAGATCTACCTGTGTCCCTGCAGGCTGTAGCTAGTATATAAAGGTAGTAACAACACGTCTAGATCTACCTGTGTCCCTACAGGCTGTAGTTAGTATATAAAGGTAGTAACAACACGTCTAGATCTACCTGTGTCCCTGCAGGTTGTAGTTAGTATATAAAGGTAGTAACAACACGTCTAGATCTACCTGTGTCCCTGCAGGCTGTAGTTAGTATATAAAGGTTTCCCTAGATTAAGCTACTTGAGAAGTCATTTCCATGTAGAAATCCTGTACATAACACCGTTTCCCTAGATTAGGCTACTTGAGAAGTCATTTCCATGTAGAAATCCTGTACATAACACCGTCAATTTTCATGTAGAAATCCTGTACATAACACCGTTTCCCTAGATTAGGCTACTTGAGAAGTCATTTCCATGTAGAAATCCTGTACATAACACCGTTTCCCTAGATTAGGCTACTTGAGAAGTCATTTCCATGTAGAAATCCTGTACATAACACCGTTTCCCTAGATTAAGCTACTTGAGAAGTCATTTCCATGTAGAAATCCTGTACATAACACCGTTTCCCTAGATTAAGCTACTTGAGAAGTCATTTCCATGTAGAAATCCTGTACATAACACCGTTTCCCTAGATTAAGCTACTTGAGAAGTCATTTCCATGTAGAAATCCTGTACATAACACCGTTTCCCTAGATTAAGCTACTTGAGAAGTCATTTCCATGTAGAAATCCTGTACATAACACCGTTTCCCTAGATTAAGCTACTTGAGAAGTCATTTCCATGTAGAAATCCTGTACATAACACCGTTTCCCTAGATTAAGCTACTTGAGAAGTCATTTCCATGTAGAAATCCTGTACATAACACCGTTTCCCTAGATTAAGCTACTTGAGAAGTCATTTCCATGTAGAAATCCTGTACATAACACCGTTTCCCTAGATTAAGCTACTTGAGAAGTCATTTCCATGTAGAAATCCTGTACATAACACCGTTTCCCTAGATTAAGCTACTTGAGAAGTCATTTCCATGTAGAAATCCTGTACATAACACCGTTTCCCTAGATTAAGCTACTTGAGAAGTCATTTCCATGTAGAAATCCTGTACATAACACCGTTTCCCTAGATTAAGCTACTTGAGAAGTCATTTCCATGTAGAAATCCTGTACATAACACCGTTTCCCTAGATTAAGCTACTTGAGAAGTCATTTCCATGTAGAAATCCTGTACATAACACCGTTTCCCTAGATTAAGCTACTTGAGAAGTCATTTCCATGTAGAAATCCTGTACATAACACCGTTTCCCTAGATTAAGCTACTTGAGAAGTCATTTCCATGTAGAAATCCTGTACATAACACCGTTTCCCTAGATTAAGCTACTTGAGAAGTCATTTCCATGTAGAAATCCTGTACATAACACCGTTTCCCTAGATTAAGCTACTTGAGAAGTCATTTCCATGTAGAAATCCTGTACATAACACCGTTTCCCTAGATTAAGCTACTTGAGAAGTCATTTCCATGTAGAAATCCTGTACATAACACCGTTTCCCTAGATTAAGCTACTTGAGAAGTCATTTCCATGTAGAAATCCTGTACATAACACCGTTTCCCTAGATTAAGCTACTTGAGAAGTCATTTCCATGTAGAAATCCTGTACATAACACCGTTTCCCTAGATTAAGCTACTTGAGAAGTCATTTCCATGTAGAAATCCTGTACATAACACCGTTTCCCTAGATTAAGCTACTTGAGAAGTCATTTCCATGTAGAAATCCTGTACATAACACCGTTTCCCTAGATTAAGCTACTTGAGAAGTCATTTCCATGTAGAAATCCTGTACATAACACCGTTTCCCTAGATTAAGCTACTTGAGAAGTCATTTCCATGTAGAAATCCTGTACATAACACCGTTTCCCTAGATTAAGCTACTTGAGAAGTCATTTCCATGTAGAAATCCTGTACATAACACCGTTTCCCTAGATTAAGCTACTTGAGAAGTCATTTCCATGTAGAAATCCTGTACATAACACCGTTTCCCTAGATTAAGCTACTTGAGAAGTCATTTCCATGTAGAAATCCTGTACATAACACCGTTTCCCTAGATTAAGCTACTTGAGAAGTCATTTCCATGTAGAAATCCTGTACATAACACCGTTTCCCTAGATTAAGCTACTTGAGAAGTCATTTCCATGTAGAAATCCTGTACATAACACCGTTTCCCTAGATTAAGCTACTTGAGAAGTCATTTCCATGTAGAAATCCTGTACATAACACCGTTTCCCTAGATTAAGCTACTTGAGAAGTCATTTCCATGTAGAAATCCTGTACATAACACCGTTTCCCTAGATTAAGCTACTTGAGAAGTCATTTCCATGTAGAAATCCTGTACATAACACCGTTTCCCTAGATTAAGATACTTGAGAAGTCATTTCCATGTAGAAATCCTGTACATAACACCGTTTCCCTAGATTAAGATACTTGAGAAGTCATTTCCATGTAGAAATCCTGTACATAACACTCGTCTCACTGTTTTTAGCTCACCTGGCTCGAAGGGCCAAGTGAGCTTATGCCATGGTGCAGCGTCCGTCGTCCGGCGCCCAGCGTTAATATTTTACTTTAAACAACTTCTTCTTAATAACCAAAAGACTTAGGGTGATGATATTTGGTCAGAAGCAAACTAGGATGAAGGACTACCAAGTTTGTTCAAATAAATGACCTTCACCTATTTTCAAGGTCACAGGGGTCAAATATGTTAAAAACTTTAAACAACTTCTGATGAATAACCAAAATGCCCAGAGTGATGATTTTTGGCTAGTTATATGCTGGGATGAAGGGCTACCAAGTTTGTTCAAATGAATGACCTTCGTCCATTTTCAAGGTCACAGGGGTCAATCGTCTTAAACAATCTTTGTACAGCTTCTTCTGAATAACTAAGAGGCCTAGGCTAATGATATTTGGCCAGTAACATGCTAGAATGAAGGGCTACCAAGTTTGTTCAAATGAATGACCTTTTCCTTATATTCAAGATCACAGGGGTCAAATATGTTAAAAACCTTTAAACAACTTCTTCTCAATAACCAAAAAGCCTAGGATGATGCTATTTGGCCAGCAGCATGCTGTGATGAAAGGCTACCAAGTTTGTTCAAATGAATGACCTTCTTCCATTTTCAAGGTCACAGAGGTCCATTGTCTTAAAAAATCTTTTTGCAACTTCTTCTGAATAACTAAGAGGCCTAGGCTAATGATATTTGGCCAGTAACATGCTAGAATGAAGGGCTACCAAGTTTGTTCAAATGAATGACCTTCGTCCATTTTCAAGGTCACATGGGTCAAATATGTTTAAAACCTTTAAACAACTTTTTCTGAATAACCAAGAAGCTTAGGATAATGATATTTGGCCAGTAGCATGCTTGGAAGAAGGTTTTCCAAGTTTGTTCAAATGAATAACCTTGACTTATATTCAAGGGCACAGGGGTCAAATATGTTAAAAACCTTTAAACAACTTCTTCTGAATAACTAAGAGGCCTAGGTTTAAGGTATTTCGCCAGTAACATGCCAGGATAAAGGGCTATCAAGTTTGCTCAAATGAATGACCTGTACGTATATTCAAGGTCACAGGGGTCAAATATGTTAAAAACCTTTAAACAACTTCTTCTGAATAACTAAGAAACCTAGGATTATGATATTTGGCCAGTAACATGCCAGAATAAAGGGCTACCAAGTTTGTTCAAATGAATGACTTTTACTTATTTTTAAGGTCACAGGGGTCAAATATGTTTAAAACCTTTAAACAACTTCTTCTGAATAACTAAGAAACCTAGGATTATGATATTTGGCCAGTAACATGCCAGAATAAAGGGCTACCAAGTTTGTTCAAATGAATGACTTTTACTTATTTTTAAGGTCACAGGGGTCAAATATGTTTAAAACCTTTAAACAACTTTTTCTGAATAACCAAGAAGCTTAGGATAATGATATTTGGCCAGTAGCATGCTTGGAAGGTTTACCAAGTTTGTTCAAATGAATGACCTTGACTTATATTCAAGGTCACAGGGGTCAAATATATTAAAAACCTTTAAACAGCTTCTTCTGAATAACTAAGAGGCCTAGGTTTAAGGTATTTCACCAGTAACATGCCAGGATAAAGGGCTACCAAGTTTGCTCAAATGAATGACCTGTACGTATATTCAAGGTCACAGGGGTCAAATATGTTAAAAACCTTTAAACTACTTCTTCTGAATAACTAAGAGGCCTTGCTAGGTTTAAGGTATTTCGCCATTAGCATGCTGGGATAAAGGGCTACCTATTTTGTTTAAAAGAATGACCTTGACTTATATTCAAGGTCACAGGGGTCAAATATGTTTAAAACCTTTAAATAACCTCTTCTGAATAACTAAGAAACCTAGGATTATGATATTTGGCCAGTAACATGCCAGGATAAAGGGCTACCAAGTTTGCTCAAATGAATGACCTTTACTTATTTTTAAGGTCACAGGGGTCAAATATGTTTAAAACCTTTAAACAACTTTTTCTGAACAACCAAGAAGCTTAGGATAATGATATTTGGCCAGTAGCATGCTTGGAAGAAGGTTTACCAAGTTTATTCAAATGAATGACCTTTAATTACATATATTCAAGGTCACAGGGGTAGATGATATTTGGTCATTAACAGGCTGGGATGAAGGGCTACCAATTTTGTCAAAATGAATGACCTTCGCCCATATTCAAGGTCACAGTGGTCAATATACAATGTATGTTTAAATCTTTAAATGACTTATGATATTTTGCCAAAAGCATGCTGGGTTGGAAGACTTTAAACTCTGTTCAACCTATAATGTCCTTGTTCGACATTCAAGGTCACATGCGTCATATGTTTAAATCTTTTAATAGGCTCTTATGAATCAAACACTGATATTCTTCCTGTAGCTGCATTTTAGTCCACTTTTAAGATTACAAGTGTGAAATTAATACCAGGTGAGCGATTCAGGCCCATTGGGCCTCATGTTTTGTTTCGCCGCCACAAAGTGGAAACGAGACTTGGGTGTTACTTTACAGGCGACGAAGGCATCAACATTAAGTTTTTGCGTTTATGTTAGTTTCTCTGATATGTTCATTGATGGTCAAAGTGGGGCATAGGCGAGTCATATTAATCCGAATGGCTTGTTCATGGGAATGAATTCTCAGGTAGCTTAATGCTTGATTGGTATATACATTAATGATTAAATGTTACGTTGTTGTTACAGCCTATTGCATCCTGTGCTATGCCAGTGATGAAAGGAATGAGGGTGAAAACAGATTCTCCTGTCACACGGAAAGCCAGGTAATCCCAATCTACTGCCATCAATATCACACTACCAACAGACACAGTACATGTTACAGACGTCCTACAATAGTCATGGTATCAGTGAAGCTGTACGGAGACACAATACATGTTACAGACATCCTACAATAGTCATGGTATCAGTGAAGCTGTACTGAGACACATTATGACATTAATTGGGATTGTGTCATTATATGAGGATTGTTGTATTATATGTCAGGAATTTATCACTGTTAACCCTGGGTAATGAGACATCACTCTACATGAATAACACAATATGATAAATGTTGAAAGCATATCAGGATTGCTTCACAAAACTCAAATGAAAATTCCAACCCACTGTAAGAGTTTCTGTTCTATATCAAAATAGTTCAGTCACAATCATGTTTTCAAATGGACTGTGATCTTGGGGGAAAAAAATATAATATAATAAAAGATAATTAACTCATAATGTTTTGTTTTATTTCAACAGAGAGGGTGTTATGGAATTTCTGCTTATGAACCACCCTTTGGACTGTCCGATCTGTGACCAGGGTGGGGAATGTGATCTCCAGGTAAGTCCTTTAAACTGTCCAATCTGTGACCAGGGTGGGGAATGTGATATCCGGGTAAGTCCTTAAGACTGTCCGATCTGTGACCAGGGAGACAGTCCGATCTGTGACCAGGGTGTGGAATGTGATCTCCAGGTAAGTCCTTTACACTGTCCGATATGTGACCAGCGTGGGGGATGTGATCTCCAGGTAAGTCCTTCAGACTGTCCGATCAGTGACCAGGGTGGGGAATGTGATCTCCAGGTAATTATAAGTCCTTTACACTGTCCAATCTGTGACCAGGGTGGGGAATGTGATCTCCAGGTAAGTCCTTTACACTGTCCGGTCTGTGACCAGGGTGGGGAATTTGATCTCCAGGTAAGTCCTTTAGACTGTCAATTATTTTACTGATCAGAGAGGCATGTGGCCGCCATGTAAGTTGAATGTCAACCTGTAATCAGGCCATTAAATAGGACTTCTGTGATATCGGGCTGTCAATTTGTGACCAGAGTGTAGAAGGTGACCACCCGGTTGGTGCTGTATTTTCCTGTTAGCCAATTACAGTTTTCTGACACATTCAGACATTGATTGTAATGGACTGTATTAGTGCTTATGTTTGGTGATTGAAATGTCACAGGATCTGTCAGGTCTGACTAAACAGAACTTGTAATCCAATGAGATATAAACATATGCTCTTTCTGTTCTGTTTTGTTCAGGATCAGTCCATGAACTTCGGCAGTGACAGAAGTAGATTCACAGATATTAATTTCACGGGTAAAAGGTAAGTCTATTTACTGCCTATATAACATGTAGACTGTAAAACTGACATATTATTATTACCTAATCCAGTCCATTTGTGATAATTATCAGAATATGTTCCCTGAAGCTTGTCTTACTGCCATGAAGATATATGTCCTTGATTGTATGTATGCCCAGCTAGACTATTATCATTTATGTTACATAATCATATATATCTGATTCATTAATACCTAGATTTCAACGTCGGATTATTTTTGTTTTTTCAGAGCTGTTGAGGACAAGAATGTTGGCCCACTTATCAAAACCATCATGACTCGTTGTATACACTGTACCCGATGTATAAGGTAGGTATAGACAAGTCGTTGTATACACTGTACCCGATGTATAAGGTAGGTATAGACAAGTCGTTGTATACACTGTACCCGATGTATAAGGTAGGTATAGACAAGTCGTTGTATACACTGTACCCGATGTATAAGGTAGGTATAGACAAGTCGTTGTATACACTGTACCCGATGTATAAGGTAGGTATAGACAAGTCGTTGTATACACTGTACCCGATGTATAAGGTAGGTATAGACAAGTCGTTGTATACACTGTACCCGATGTATAAGGTAGGTATAGACAAGTCGTTGTATACACTGTACCCGATGTATAAGGTAGGTATAGACAAGTCGTTGTATACACTGTACCCGATGTATAAGGTAGGTATAGACAAGTCGTTGTATACACTGTACCCGATGTATAAGGTAGGTATAGACAAGTCGTTGTATACACTGTACCCGATGTATAAGGTAGGTATAGACAAGTCGTTGTATACACTGTACCCGATGTATAAGGTAGGTATAGACAAGTCGTTGTATACACTGTACCCGATGTATAAGGTAGGTATAGACAAGTCGTTGTATACACTGTACCCGATGTATAAGGTAGGTATAGACAAGTCGTTGTATACACTGTACCCGATGTATAAGGTAGGTATAGACAAGTCGTTGTATACACTGTACCCGATGTATAAGGTAGGTATAGACAAGTCGTTGTATACACTGTACCCGATGTATAAGGTAGGTATAGACAAGTCGTTGTATACACTGTACCCGATGTATAAGGTAGGTATAGACAAGTCGTTGTATACACTGTACCCGATGTATAAGGTAGGTATAGACAAGTCGTTGTATACACTGTACCCGATGTATAAGGTAGGTATAGACAAGTCGTTGTATACACTGTACCCGATGTATAAGGTAGGTATAGACAAGTCGTTGTATACACTGTACCCGATGTATAAGGTAGGTATAGACAAGTCGTTGTATACACTGTACCCGATGTATAAGGTAGGTATAGACAAGTCGTTGTATACACTGTACCCGATGTATAAGGTAGGTATAGACAAGTCGTTGTATACACTGTACCCGATGTATAAGGTAGGTATAGACAAGTCGTTGTATACACTGTACCCGATGTATAAGGTAGGTATAGACAAGTCGTTGTATACACTGTACCCGATGTATAAGGTAGGTATAGACAAGTCGTTGTATACACTGTACCCGATGTATAAGGTAGGTATAGACAAGTCGTTGTATACACTGTACCCGATGTATAAGGTAGGTATAGACAAGTCGTTGTATACACTGTACCCGATGTATAAGGTAGGTATAGACAAGTCGTTGTATACACTGTACCCGATGTATAAGGTAGGTATAGACAAGTCGTTGTATACACTGTACCCGATGTATAAGGTAGGTATAGACAAGTCGTTGTATACACTGTACCCGATGTATAAGGTAGGTATAGACAAGTCGTTGTATACACTGTACCCGATGTATAAGGTAGGTATAGACAAGTCGTTGTATACACTGTACCCGATGTATAAGGTAGGTATAGACAAGTCGTTGTATACACTGTACCCGATGTATAAGGTAGGTATAGACAAGTCGTTGTATACACTGTACCCGATGTATAAGGTAGGTATAGACAAGTCGTTGTATACACTGTACCCGATGTATAAGGTAGGTATAGACAAGTCGTTGTATACACTGTACCCGATGTATAAGGTAGGTATAGACAAGTCGTTGTATACACTGTACCCGATGTATAAGGTAGGTATAGACAAGTCGTTGTATACACTGTACCCGATGTATAAGGTAGGTATAGACAAGTCGTTGTATACACTGTACCCGATGTATAAGGTAGGTATAGACAAGTCGTTGTATACACTGTACCCGATGTATAAGGTAGGTATAGACAAGTCGTTGTATACACTGTACCCGATGTATAAGGTAGGTATAGACAAGTCGTTGTATACACTGTACCCGATGTATAAGGTAGGTATAGACAAGTCGTTGTATACACTGTACCCGATGTATAAGGTAGGTATAGACAAGTCGTTGTATACACTGTACCCGATGTATAAGGTAGGTATAGACAAGTCGTTGTATACACTGTACCCGATGTATAAGGTAGGTATAGACAAGTCGTTGTATACACTGTACCCGATGTATAAGGTAGGTATAGACAAGTCGTTGTATACACTGTACCCGATGTATAAGGTAGGTATAGACAAGTCGTTGTATACACTGTACCCGATGTATAAGGTAGGTATAGACAAGTCGTTGTATACACTGTACCCGATGTATAAGGTAGGTATAGACAAGTCGTTGTATACACTGTACCCGATGTATAAGGTAGGTATAGACAAGTCGTTGTATACACTGTACCCGATGTATAAGGTAGGTATAGACAAGTCGTTGTATACACTGTACCCGATGTATAAGGTAGGTATAGACAAGTCGTTGTATACACTGTACCCGATGTATAAGGTAGGTATAGACAAGTCGTTGTATACACTGTACCCGATGTATAAGGTAGGTATAGACAAGTCGTTGTATACACTGTACCCGATGTATAAGGTAGGTATAGACAAGTCGTTGTATACACTGTACCCGATGTATAAGGTAGGTATAGACAAGTCGTTGTATACACTGTACCCGATGTATAAGGTAGGTATAGACAAGTCGTTGTATACACTGTACCCGATGTATAAGGTAGGTATAGACAAGTCGTTGTATACACTGTACCCGATGTATAAGGTAGGTATAGACAAGTCGTTGTATACACTGTACCCGATGTATAAGGTAGGTATAGACAAGTCGTTGTATACACTGTACCCGATGTATAAGGTAGGTATAGACAAGTCGTTGTATACACTGTACCCGATGTATAAGGTAGGTATAGACAAGTCGTTGTATACACTGTACCCGATGTATAAGGTAGGTATAGACAAGTCGTTGTATACACTGTACCCGATGTATAAGGTAGGTATAGACAAGTCGTTGTATACACTGTACCCGATGTATAAGGTAGGTATAGACAAGTCGTTGTATACACTGTACCCGATGTATAAGGTAGGTATAGACAAGTCGTTGTATACACTGTACCCGATGTATAAGGTAGGTATAGACAAGTCGTTGTATACACTGTACCCGATGTATAAGGTAGGTATAGACAAGTCGTTGTATACACTGTACCCGATGTATAAGGTAGGTATAGACAAGTCGTTGTATACACTGTACCCGATGTATAAGGTAGGTATAGACAAGTCGTTGTATACACTGTACCCGATGTATAAGGTAGGTATAGACAAGTCGTTGTATACACTGTACCCGATGTATAAGGTAGGTATAGACAAGTCGTTGTATACACTGTACCCGATGTATAAGGTAGGTATAGACAAGTCGTTGTATACACTGTACCCGATGTATAAGGTAGGTATAGACAAGTCGTTGTATACACTGTACCCGATGTATAAGGTAGGTATAGACAAGTCGTTGTATACACTGTACCCGATGTATAAGGTAGGTATAGACAAGTCGTTGTATACACTGTACCCGATGTATAAGGTAGGTATAGACAAGTCGTTGTATACACTGTACCCGATGTATAAGGTAGGTATAGACAAGTCGTTGTATACACTGTACCCGATGTATAAGGTAGGTATAGACAAGTCGTTGTATACACTGTACCCGATGTATAAGGTAGGTATAGACAAGTCGTTGTATACACTGTACCCGATGTATAAGGTAGGTATAGACAAGTCGTTGTATACACTGTACCCGATGTATAAGGTAGGTATAGACAAGTCGTTGTATACACTGCACCCGATGTATAAGGTAGGTATATTGACCGGACGCTGGTGTCATTGGGAAGGGAGGTCGAGTGGCGCAGAGGATAGCACACTCCCTGATCGGATGTCAAAAGTTATTAGGTCACCTGCCCGACTCTGCTTTCCTCCCGTATCGACCCTCTGCACGCTGCCATCGGACCAACAAGAGTGATTCAGATCATTGTAAAAAGCTCATTTCATAAGTGTTGTAAAATAAATTTTATTGGAGTTGGTAGTTCCTGTGAATCATTACACAGGACACACTGACATTGAATTCATAGTTTTGTATGTTCCATCATTTTCTTTACTGTATTTACAGGTTTGCTAGTGAGGTGGCTGGAGTTGAAGATCTAGGTACAACAGGTAGAGGAGGAGACATGCAGGTCGGTACATACGTAGAGAAAATGTTTCAGTCGGAGTTGTCGGGGAATGTCATTGACTTGTGTCCAGTGGGAGCTTTAACGTCCAAACCCTACGCTTTTACAGCCAGACCTTGGGAAACCAGGTAGAGTACAAAAACAGACAATACTCATTTAAGTTTTAACCGTTGTACCCCTGTGTAACTTTAATAAACTTTTCTATGCATTGATCTGGATAAGTCCATTATGGTCTATAGTGGTGAAAGGGTTAATGAATATATTGCCAGGTTTTCATTGAAGTTCAGATAGCATATCTGATATATTTGTTAATAATCGTGACGATATTATCACAGTTATCACAATAATCAGAGAATGATAGCAGTAAGGTAAGGGAACACAACTAAATTATTACTATAATGCAAAGAGATTTAGCCTTGTTTTCATTATCCTCTGGAAAAAACTACTCCCAAAAATTGAAAAATTAGTTTAAATTATACATTATTTGGATATTGAATTTGATCTGTAAATAATTAAATTTAATATGTAACATCTAGATACAGTATCATGGGTACAAGTGATGTAGCCATACAGATACTGCTAGTCTGTGTCGAGGGTAGTGACAACTTGTCACATGTTACAGGATTACAATATAAGACGCTATCCATTACAACATAAGATGCTATCCCTCTTCTGGTTCAGCTTGCATTGCATGTATATAATTTAGCGGCTAACTTTACAACAAGTTTCACAACTATGAATATCATGCTGGCACTTAACCTTTTGATACATTGAACACACGGATAGAGATAAAGGATTAAGCTGATCTGTTGTGTAGAGGTTGAGCCTTTGTTTGTTTACAGGAAGGTTGAGAGTGTGGATGTCATGGACGCCCTGGGCAGTAATATAGTCATCAGTACGCGTACTAATGAGGTCATGCGCATTCTCCCTCGTATGAATGAGGTACGATATAAATTAAGAACTAAATTACAAAATAATGCTGTTAGCTTTGTAAGAGATATGTAACGCTGTTAGTTTTTCATATTCTGCATTTGATCAAGGTTATTTTATATTGGGAACTTTATGCTGCAGTTTAAATTTTCGCCTTTTTGACCCCCTGTAACAGGGGCAAATTTATCATACCAGCAAACATTGGTAAACCACATAAAATACATAGTAATTAAATGTATACAGTGAAATTAAGGGCAAATGTGGATTTTACTGGTGAAGGGTGAAAGTTTGACTTGGCGATAACGGCCTAGTATACAGTATTTCATTTCCCCTTTCCTTGAATATTTGTATTTGAAGAATTGGACTGATGTAAATTTCTTGATCACATTGTAACAGTGAATCCTTCATTCTGCACAGGAAATCAATGAAGAGTGGATCTCTGACACGACAAGGTTTGCTTATGATGGTCTGAAGCGTCAGAGACTGACAAGCCCCTTTGTGAAGGATGAGAGCGGGAACCTAGTAGCCACTAGCTGGGAGGACGCCTTCATAGCTACAGCTGAAAAGGTTTGTTACGGCTTCCAAGTAAATCCCAGATAGTGGTAGAGCTAACTCAGGTTAACTTTATACCTGAGTGTGTCACAGACATAATGGCATCCCACATTGAGAGTTAACACATTAAAAGCAGGAAAAGAGTTTTACATGTCTTTTTTATGTATTGTTCACCCACGATGGTGTACATGAAACAGTGACACACAGGTCTATATACTGCATTGTTCACACACGACAGTGGCTAACAGGTCCAAGTGTATGGTTTACACATGACAGGTACCAGTATTCTCAAGCCCACTTGGAGTAAAATAACAATATATAACCAATCAAAACCCTTGTTAGACGATTGAAACATCATTCAAGTTAATCATTTCATACATTGTTACCTGAACACTATGCGTTTGACGGAACTGAGATCCTGGATGACACTGTTTTTGATTTGACAGAACTGAAATCCTAGATGACACTGTTTTTGATTTGACAGAACTGAAATCCTAGAAGACACTGTTTTTGATTTGACAGAACTGAAATCCTAGAAGACACTGTTTTTGATTTGACAGAACTGAAATCCTAGAAGACACTGTTTTTGATGCCGATGATCACACTACTTTGTTGATAAATGTTTTGTTTTCCTGACAGTTGTCTGCTGTGAAGGGAGAAGATGTTGCAGGCATTGCTGGGGGACTCATGGATGCTGAAGCTCTGGTGGCCTTCAAAGATTTTCTCAACAAGATGGGCAGCGAAGGACTGTGTACCGAGGAAATCTTCCCAGGGGATGGGGCAGGGTACGGTACAATACTCAATCGCAGCAAAGAAGCTACGGCCTGTCAGAAACATAATACAATATAGTAGGAGGATTCTGTGGGGATGATATTTTCAAGATTATGCGGGCCAATAATGCGAAAAATATGATCTGCATAATGATATGAAAAGCATAGAAATGAGTAGCAATAATAAACTTGATAACTGTAATATCGTCATTTACCTTAAGAGTAATACAAGATGGTTAAAAATAGATTAGACCACACATATTGCAGTTTTGTTGGGTTATTTGCTAACCAGAATACACTTACTTATTGTTACTTGGTATGCTGTAATTAATCATGTTATTTGACTATTTGACATTTTATATGCCAAGTCTCCCACCTCTGCTAAAATTTAGTATGTTCACATTTCTAGAATGCAAAATTATATATTCTGTGTAAATTTAATTGTCTTATTTTGTGTTAAAAAGGCGAAATTAAAACCCCTGTAAATAACCTGTAATTAGTCTTCTCAATACTTTTCACTATTCGGTGAAAAGGCCCTAATTATATAGCACAACTTGCATATTGAAATATAAATCAGTAGTTCATTTCTGTGTTTCATAGAGTCCAAGATGTAGATTGTGAGTCACAAACAACGTGTTGCAGTATATAAGTGGATTATATCATTATGTTTCAGAACTGATCTCAGATCTAACTACCTACTAAACACCAAAATAGCGGGAGTGGAGGAGGCTGATATCGTCCTGCTGGTCGGCACCAACCCCAGGTTTGAGGCGCCATTACTCAATGCTAGGATGAGGAAAAGGTAAACATAGCACGGACAGAGCATTGTCTCTGCCATCGTCTTCTGAATGCTTTAATCAGGATCATATGTTGTTTTGTAGGCTATGATATTTGTTTGATATTTAGAAGCAAAGCATTATTATTCCTACATTACTTTCAAGTTGTATTATATTTGTTAGAGACTATGCTTCACGAAGATTTTATTTGAAAATTTGACATTTAACATTAATGATACCTTTCACTGTTTCCACCAGGGTATTTAACAGTATTAACAGTATTTTGTAGCAGTTCAATTTTAGGATCCCTCTACCCAAAAAAAACGCCAATACTTGTGAAACTTATATGAAAAATAATAAAGATGAAATAAGCAAAATATAACAAGAGTGTTCTAAGTGTAAAAAACAATGAGTGGGGCGAGACCGGGATGAACTCTGGCCTTCTGATGATTATAGAGATGTACATGTACTATTGCTCTAACCGAGTGAGCTACCTGGTCAACGGAAGTGTCCGCGCCAATCTGTGCTACAGTTGTATCCAAACCGAAGTTACGGGGAGGTTACTGTATTCGGGGGAAACAGCAGTGCAGTGGGTCAGGAATCCTTGATACATAGTTCCCTCTGATTTATAGACAAATGGTGTCACTATATAGTAATGTTTCATCATATGTAACGTAACATTAATGCTGCTTAAGTATAAAATATGCTGTGTAATTGCACTTTCCTTGCTGATTAATATCTCAGTCTTAGTGTAGTAAATATGTTTTTGGTATTTTGTGTTGCAGTTGGATCCACAATGACTTAAAAGTAGCCATGGTCGGGTCACAGGTCGATCTCACATACGATTACGAAGTAAGTACTTGACGATGTCAATTTTGAGCATGTATACACCCTAGTGTGCAACGGGTGCGGGATATATCGTGTTTTGTATCACCTATCTCTCCATCTGTCTTTCAAATTTGTGGAAGAAACATTTTTATCCCACACTATGCAAATCAGAGAGGTATCAGGTTTTTGTCCTATTCATCTTTCTGTCTGTCCAAACTCGCACCATTTTAAACAGACACATACAAAGAAACTATATCCTGTTAATGCTTTGTTATCAAGACATTTACTTCACACTAAGAAATAATGTAAATCATCTTTTTCAGCATCTGGGAGATTCTACCCAGGTACTACAAGAAATCGCCAATGGAAGTCATCCTTTCTGTAAGGTGCGTAATCATTGGACTATAAAACATCAGTGCCTCCTAGGCAGACCAAGGTCCCTTATAGAGCTCAAAAATCTCTTAAATAGATAAGATCTCCCATGAATAACAAGACTGTCTTAAATAACTTCAGGTCTTCCTTGTTTAAAGGAGGGTCCTTACAGAACCTAATATAACTAATATATTCCTGGGCTCAAATGTAGGCTTACATAGCTTAAAATCTTCCAAGCTGAAATAGGGACTCTTGTATTTATAAATATCTTCCTAAGCTAAATTTGGAAACTTATGTGTATAGCTTAAGATCATGCTAAAGTTAAAAGAGTGCCCTTGCTTAAGAAATTCATAATCTTAATAGGTAAACTTATGTAGCTTTTGACTATTGCTTTCATAGCAGATGTTATTTCTATAAGGTTTACGTTGACAGTATCCCGTTCTCACCATGTTGTGCCACTGATATTCTGCCGTACTGATATTTTGTGTTTGTAACCATTGGAATACAATTTTCAGGAACTCAACAAAGCTAAGCGACCAATGGTTGTAGTAGGAAGCTCGGCTCTACAGCGATCAGACAGCGGAGCTATACACGCAGCTGTGTCACTGATCAGTCAGAGCGTTCGGGCCAATTCTAGCTGTGATGACAACTGGAAGGTTCTCAATGTATTACAGAGGGTGAGTTTAATCACTTCTAACAAACCATGAGGCTCAGAGTAATGGTGTTGAGCCAGTATCTTCTGTATAGGTTGAAATTTAAAAACAACCTCTTCTAACAAACCATGAGGCTCAGAGTAATGGTGTTAAGCAAGTATCTTTTGTATAGGTTAAAATTTGCCTTGCTGGAATGATAGGCCAACAAAATGATCTAAATTAAAATTAAAATATAAAGATTAGGAGACGTACTGATAGTGAGAAGGCAGCTATTATTTCGTTTATTCTCTGTTTTGGAAGGTTGGTTATAGAGTGATTCTTCTGTCTTATAGGTTGCAGGACAGGTGGCAGCACTTGACCTCGGTTTTAAAGCTGGTGTGGATCACATCCGGCAGAACCCACCCAAGGTGCTGTACCTGCTGGGAGCTGACGAGGGGGCGATCACACAGGAGGATCTTCCTAAAGACTGTTTCGTGATATATCAAGGTACAGAATGAGCACTGTATACACGGCTATATCAGTGTAACAAGGGTACTGCACCAGAGATGTCAGAGCCCTGTAGTGTGTCTTCTCATAATCACGAGGTCGAACTTATCTGATATTTCACGTGGTCATACACGATTATACTTAGATTTGCAAGAACGGTTTAAAAAGTGAACTGGGTTGTTGTAAAAGTCACTGCTACATTAAATTAATCAGAGGAATATCCTGTCAAGTTTTAGCACTGCCCACGATCAGAGGTCAGCATCAGTTACAAGGGAGGAAAAGCGTCTAGCATATTCCCTCGACGTATTTTCAAAGAAACAAGCGTCAAAAATGTTAAAAACTACATCAGCACAAGGAAGTTCAAAGTTGAATTTGACATTCGGTGGGTAACGGTATTACAACTATTATGTTGAAACAAGAAATAACTTTTTGACCAACATGCAACTTACCGCACAAATATTTCTGTGGTTAACCTAGTTGGAAATTCATATGCTTAGCTTACACCTGATTACAGTACAGATGAGAGCTGCAGGTCCTCTGGACCTCTTCTTCACAGAAAAACATGTTAAATATTCACTAGAAAAAGATTGTATTTCACTAGAAGAGGTTTATTTGATATTTGCATTTGTGGGGTAGGCTTAAATCCTAAATTAAAGGTTTATATAGGAAATATGGTACTAGTTTGTTATATATCTCTCCATGCTTGTGATTCCTAGAGATACGTTACAGATTAAGACAGAACTAGCATGTTACACTTAATCAGCCCCACAACTATACTAAGAGTAGCAATGCAGGGATCAGTATAGATACACAAGTAACAAACTTTCCTTATTAGAAATGTAAAAACCAGCCAAATATTGACGTACTATATTTACTATGTTCCAGGTCACCATGGTGACATCGGTGCTGCCATGGCTGATGTGGTGTTCCCAGGAGCTGCGTACACAGAGAAAGATGGCACATACGTCAACACAGAAGGTCGGGCCCAACAGACTCGGATGGCAGTAACCCCGCCAGGCCTCGCCAGAAATGACTGGAAAATTATTCGTGCCCTGTCTGAGGTGAGTCTGTCAATCTTCAGGCCCCATATCTAGGTCTAGGTTAGGAACCCTAGGTTTGACTGATGTTCATAGAAGGAAAAAAAACGATAAAAGTCTCTTTAACAAGTGAATTGCAAAAAAAGTCTTGCCCCACTCCAGGGGTCTCGGTTCTAAAGTCAAAATCCAGGCCTTATATGGTTCAGTCTTAGGGTCCCTATACACATGTAAATAATACATATATACAGATCTCAATAAAATTTGCTACAATGAAGCCTCCATGCGCCCATAGAATCCATTATGGTAGAGCCCTTTGGGCTGAGGATCAAGGCTCAGAGGAGATTATTGGGTATTAAAGTCCTTAAAAGCCATCTTTACTTCTGACAAACTGATCAAATCTAACCAAATTTGGTAGCTGAAGCATCTTTGGCCTCAGGGATGTAAATTTTGTATTGAGGTATTGTTGGAGATATTTGCAATACTAATTTCAATTATAATACTCTGCGGTTGTTGCTTAAATAAACGATTTTACAGACCTGTAGAAATTGATGACCATGTTGTTGATGATTACAGATTGTTGGCTCTCCTTTGCCGTACGACAAACTAGAAGATGTTCAAGGTCGTCTGTGTGAAGTCTCACCAAATCTCATCAAGTACGGTGATGCTGAGGAAGCAAACTACTTCAAGCAGGCCCAGGAGCTCGCTCAGGTGTGTGAAAATCTCAGATAGATGTTATAAACAATAGAAAAATGTAAATTTTGACTATATTCTCCATTCAGTGTCGGCCCAGGAGCTCACTCAGGTGTGTGAAAAGCTCAGATGTTAAAACCGTTAGAAAATGTATACTTTATTCTCCTTTCAGTGTCATGTGCAAAGCAAAGGGGACTTTTGGGATCACTTCATCATTGTCGTCAGTGTCTTTTACATAAATCGCTTCTGTGCATTAACGTTTGAGGAATTTATTTTGTCCTACACATACCAAATGTATCTTTTACATGCTCATGTTCCCAATCTGAAAATGAACATGCCAGACTCTCTTAGATTTTGTGAAAGGACAAATTGTAGCGAAAACTCTTGAAGGAATGCTTTCTACAAATACCTGTAATATCAATTATCTGCTGAAGTTCATTTTCGGTCCAAAACTCATGGCTGCAGGATGGGGGTTAGACAACTCAAATTGGGCATGAAGCCATGAAGCATTCCTAGGGAAATTGAACATTTTATAAAGGAAAAGTGAAAAGAGGGGAAGGGAACAAAAAGGGAAAATGAGGGCTTATCTTCAAAAACTGGAAATGTGTCTGTAAGACTCAGAAACACTGCTCCAAAACTTACAAACTAAACCAAGGTCACAAAGGTAAACAAAATTAACATAACAAAGAGTCATGCAACATGCTGTACTTACAGAGGAGCATTAGCATGTGATGTTACAAAACTCTGGCTCCAGCACTTAGTTCATAACTTGCTTAAACACAAAAAAAACCTAACCAAAGGTCAAAGGTAAAGGTCACAAAAATGTTTTGAACATGCTGCATTCATCAAGACATATAGATATGTGAAGTTACCTGACCCTAGCTACAGTACTAAATCATAATTCTACGATCTCCTGACCATCTTGGGGCCATATTGAAGGGGTCAAATTGGAAGAACATATCCTCCTAAACTACTGGACAGATATTAACTGAATTGTTGTGCTAGCATCCCAGGCAAATAGAGATAAAAAGATATACAAATGTAGTGGGTAACATTTTAATACTTAGGGCATCCTCCCAAACTGCTGGACAGATATTAACAAAATTGTTGTGTTAGCATCCTAGGCAAATAGATATAAAAATATATACAAATATATTGGCTAACATTACTTTAGGGCATCCTCCCAAACCACTGTATATTAACTTGAATCTAGGCCCTTGACCTCGATCTGATGTTACTCATAATTAACTGTTTTGGGACCACTGAATAATCTGTAAGAATTTATTTTATAGTAATTTATTTTCAAATGAGATTATTATTTATCTTGCAGTTAACCAAAGGACAGCTGGACAATGCTCCTCTCCAACCAGATATAAGTATTCTCAGTGACTTCTACATGACAAACTCCATCAGTCGTGCGTCACCGACCATGGCAAAATGTGTAACCGCCACAAAGGAAGCCGCCGCCAGCAAATATTGACCTTTGATCTGTGCTTAGACATACTTGTGTAAATAAGACATTAAAGTATTTTTTTTAGCTATTTGGCAGACATTGAACAAGGCTTTTATGAAATCAGAACAGTGACGAATTACATCTGTGACCATCTTGACAAGTCATACAATTCAATGTTATGTGAATACTTTGATAAAATTATTTTGTAGTGTTATATTGCATTGCTTTTCAATATTCGATGGATTGTCCATGCAGTGTACTCCCGTGAAAAGACCAATTTATTAAGGTACGATGATTTGTGGACAGTATACGGAGTAACAAAAGCCATACATGTACCTCAACTGTATAAAAGCTTGTCTGTATGACTTCACCGATCACCTGCAAGTCTCCCAGCCTCGTACACACACCCATCGTTAAGTGGTGGTGGATAGTGAACATATGAGGGAATGATTTTATTACATAGAGTTGTATGTGGCAAGTCTGCCAGCCTCGTACACACAGCCATCGTTAAGTGGTGGTGGATAGTGAACATAAGAGGGAAGGATTTTATTACATAGAGTTGTATGTGTAACGAGAGATGTTAACAAACACTTAACATCGTTGCGTTGAGTGAAAAATAAAATAAAAAAGTGTATGGTTAATTTGAGTTATTGCTTCCATTTTTAGCCCACGATCATCAGATGGTAGACTGTTCACATTGCCTTTAATCATGATCTGTTGTCTGTGTTTTAAACAATTTTGTTGTTACAGTGCTTGATGGATCTTTTATTTTTTTAAATCATGTTGTTTTCCCTTGGTCCTTGGTTCTTGTGAGAATTTGGCAGTTAAATGTCAAGTTATTGTTATTTCTCAAGGAGAACTTGACAAACTTCCAGGATTAATTATTACCTATTTCAAAGCTTATTATTTGGCTTACATTTAAGACAATTTGTTGGCCTATATCCAGGACTATTTCGAAATGTTTGTTTGCCTATTTTACGGATTAAGAGTAATTGGCTTATCTTAAGAATCATTTATTGGCTTGTTTTAAGAGGTATTCTTTATTTTATTATCTTCTTCAAGGTCTGTTTATTGACCTCTTATTGAACTACATTTGCATATTGTAAAGATTATTTTATTGACCTATTTCAAAAAATATTTGCCACGTTTGATGCTATTTATTAGAATTTTTTTAAATACTTACATATATTTACTTATATTTGGCTAATTAAGAATTAATACGCTTATTTCAAAACATATTTATTGTCTTAGTGCAAGGACTATCTATGGGCTGTTTTTTCCTATTTTGAGGATTATTTTTGACAAGTTTCTAGGCCTGTTAGGTCAATAAATTGTCCTTAAAATATTTTTTTCAGAAATATAGGATGTCATCAAGTTATAATATATGATTACTTTTGTAACTCCAAGCCAGTTGCTTCATCTTAAATAATATACTTTGTGAACCCAGGACGTAGTTTCAACTCTCAACTCTCCTTAATAAGATACCTCACTATATCTCCCGTGTATATTGGTGACAACTTCATTGACATCCTAATCACCTTTCCTCCTTGTGGCACTAGCTTGAACGTTGTTCTAGCTCTGTGATGTGTATGCTACATACATTTTCGCATTATCGTCACATACCCTACGTAGCTAATGATTTATCATGAATCAGTAGTTCTATCGAATGATATTTCTGTTGGTTAATGTACTAGTACCTTTCATCCCAGTTGGTTTCAGACATGTGGATTCCTGAGGTTTAGCTCTTTACACTGTAGGTAGACATCACACATTTCTGTCCCATTCTGCCTACTTACCGCTTTGATATAACTTGATCATACAAAGTAGTCCTGTTGAATCTCTCCCCATGTCTATTGAGGACGACGATGTGAACTCCAAATCTTCTTTATTGCTAGTAATGTACAAACTCCTGGGAAACTCAAGTTCCTTCCTTGTGTCCACTGAATGGATAAAAGATATCCAAAATGGCTGACTATTTCGTTCAGCTTAGCTTAGGTATATGTCTTGACTGGTCAGAACTGGTAATTTACCTTCCAATGTTGGAACGATATCCTTCGGGTTAGTGGAAAGGGCCCTACTACATCATCCGTAATAAGGCAATCCAGTAAAGTGTGACGTCTTCCTCAAAATATGCCGCATATAATTATCAGCTAGAGTTTCTGTAACGCAGTGGTTACGCTCTGCTTTATTAACTCTTCTGTTTGCATATGCAATAACACTGGAGGACTTAGTCCGAAAGTCACTGTATGAATCGTACAGTAATCCTAACATCCTTGGACATCTTCGTTTTCAAAAAACATCACAAAATCTTCATGTGATTGTGGTATGGTTCATGACTCGCCAATCCTATTAAATTCCTCGAATGTTTCAGTCTTGGGAGAAGTCCGTTTTGCCATCTTTAGTACTTAGGAAAGAAGCTACAACAAGGTTGTATAGTGCCAAATAGGGCAGGGCGTTGTTTACCTGCATTTGGCAATGAAGCTCATTATGCTGTTTCCGGAGGTTCCCAAGATACCGCCTTTGTTACGTTTGGGGAATGGCGTTATGAGGTTCGCTGTTTACAGCATGACTCTGATATTTCGGAGAATTTACTAATGTAGGCTTTTAGAAGGTCATTAGAGGGCACTGCGAGATGCGTCCTAACGTCACAGTACCCAAATCGGGACACTTGAAGGAAAAAGTCACAAGAAATGTGCATGCTGTGCAAAGAAGTATTTTTAAAATGAAAATATGGATTTAAAGATGCTTATATACCAATAAAACATTATTAGCTCACCTGCCCGAAGGGCAAGTAAGCTTATGCCATGGTGCGTCATCCGTCGTCCGTCTGTCCGGCGTCAACTTTTTACTTTAAACAACTTCTTCTCAATAACCAAAAGGCCCAGGGTACTGATATTAGGCATGAAGCATGCTGAGATGAAGGGCTACAAAGTTTGTTAAAATAAATGACCTTGACGCACTTTCAAGGTCACAGGGGTCAAATATGTTTAAATCTTCAAACAACTTCTTCTCAATAACCAAAAGGCCCGGGGTACTGAAATTAGGCCTGTAGCATGCTGGGATGAAGGGCTACTAATTTTGTTCAAATGAATGACCTTGACCCACTTTCAAGGCCACTAGGGTCAGATGTCTTAAAAATCTTCAAACAACTTCTTCTCAGTAACCAAAAGGCACAGGGTACTTATATTGGGCCTGTAGCATGCTGGGATGAAGGGCTACCAAGTTTGTTCAAATGAATGACATTGATCTACTTTCAAGGTCACTGGGGTCAGATGTCTTAAAATCTTCAAACAACTTCTCCTCAATAACCAAGAGGCCCAGGGTACTGATATTGGACCTGTAGCATGCTGGGATGAAGGGTTACCAAGTTTGTTAAAATGTGTGACCTTGACCAACTTTCAAGGTCAAAGGGGTCAAATGTCTAAAAATCTTCAAACACACTTCTCAATAACCAAAAGGCCCAGGGTACTGATATTGGACCTGTAGCATGCTGGGATGAAGGACTACCAAGTTTGTTCAAATGAATGACCTTCACCTATTTTCATGGACACAAGGTAAAATATATTAAAAACTTTTAACAGCTTCTTCTGAATAACCAAAATGCACAGAGAGATGATTTTGGGCTAGTAGCATGCTGGGATGAAGGGATACCAAGTTTGTTCAAATGAATTGACCTTTGTCCATTTTCAAGGTCACAGGGGTCAATTGCCTTAAAAAATCTTTATACAACTTCTTCTGAATAACTAAGAGGCCTAGGGTTAAGATATTTGGCCAGTAGCATGCTGTGATGAAGGGCTACGAAGGTTGTTCGAATGAATGACCTTGTCTTAGATTCAAGGTCACAGGGGTCAAATATGTTAAAAAACTTTAAACAACTTCTCAATAACCAAAAGGCCCAGGGTACTGATATTGGACCTGTAGCATGCTGGGATGAAGGGCTACCTAGTTTGTTTAAATGAATGACGACTTATATTCAAGGACACAGGGGTCAAATATGTTAAAAAACTTTAAACAACATCCCAATAACCAAAAGGCCAAGGATGATGCTATTTGGCCAGTAACATGCTGTGATGAAGGGCTACGAAGTTTGTTCGAATGAATGACCTTGACTTATATTCAAGGTCACAGGGGTCAAATATGTTAAAAACCTTTAAATAACTTCTTCTGAATAACTAAGAGGCCTAGGGTTAAGGTATATGGCCAGTAGCATGCTGGGATGAAGGGCTACCTAGTTTGTTTAAATGAATGACGACTTATATTCAAGGTCACAGGGGTCTAATATGTTAAAAACATTTAAACAACTTCTTTTGAATAACTAAGAGGCATAGGGTTACGATATTTGGCCAGTAGCATGCTGTGATTAAGGGCTACCAAGTTTGTTGAAATGAATGACCTTCGTCCATTCTCAAGGTTACAGGGGTCAATTGTCTTAACAAATCTTTAAACAACTTCTTCTGAATACCTAAGAAGCCTAGTATAATGATATTTGGCCAGTAACATGCCAGGATGAAGGGCTACGAAGTTTGTTCAAATGAATGACCTTTACTTATTTTCAAGGTCACATGGGTCAAATATGTTTAAAACGTTTAAACAACTTCTTCTCATTAACCGAAAGTCTTAGGATGATGATATTTGGCCAGTAGCATGCTGGGATAAAGGGCAACCAAGTTTATTCAAATGAATGATCTTTACTTATATTCAAGGTAACTGGGGTCAAATAAGTTTAAAACTTTTATACAACTTCTGAATAACCAAGAGGCCTAGGATAATGATATTTGGCCAGTAGCATGCTGGGATAAAGGGCTATCAAGTTTGTTAAAATGAATGACCTTTACNAGGGTGATGATATTTGGTCATTAACAGGCTGGGATGAAGGGCTACCAATTTTGTCAAAATGAATGACCTTCGCCCATATTCAAGGTCACAGTGGTCAATATATGTTTAAATCTTTAAATGACTTGTTCTGTATAACCAATAGTTCTAGGGTTATGATATTTTGCCAAAAGCAAGCTGGATTGGAAGACTTTAAACTCTGTTCAACCTAATGTCCTTGTTCGACATTCAAGGGTGTCATATGTTTAAATCTTTTAATAGGTTCTTATGAATAAAACACTGATATTCTGCCTGTAGCTGTATTTTAGTCCACTTTTAAGATTACAAGTGTGATATTAATACCAGGTGAGCTATTCAGGCCCATTGGGCCTCTTCAATTTTTGTATGTGATTTTTTACAGTCCTCTTATTTTACAACTAATGGTATTTTGGAAAAGAAATTCATTTAGAGCGACCATTGACTCTTAATTATTCCAAAGATATGCCATGTTGTGCGAAATATTTTTCATCTCCAAATAAAAGCCAAAACTGGTAGGGGTGTCCCGATTTGGGTACAGCTACACCTGTTTCGCGATTATGTAACCATGACTATATTTCCGGTTCTGTTTATAGAACCACGTGCCAGAAATATCAACTTGTTATCAAAATGAAAAGATAAGGATATCTTTTGTGGAAAAGTGAACAAAAAGTATTGGCATGTAATACATCAATATTTCACTATAAAGTGTCCCGATTTAGGTATTGTGACGTTAAGGCCTATGGGCGAAAGAGCCTCATTGGCAGATGTTCTTGCTAAGCTAAATATTCTTTTGGTGATGTGTCAACCAACGGGATAATAATTGTTAATGCATATCAATTAAAAGATGAGGATGTTGCCCATTTCGGGTGTAGGTTAAAGAACATCCTCCAAATTGCCATTGAAGGGGGCCTACTTAGAATCTGCTGCCAAGGGTGAGTTATTAAGATACACATTCTGGACATCTTTGTCATCTAATGAGCTCAAGAGTCAAACCCGTCATAAATATGATTCCTTGAAAAGTTATGACGAGCTTTTAAGAGAAATAAGTAGGGTTGTGAAGGAGATTAAAATCAGTCCAGGTCATGCCCATGGAAAGAAAGCACATCAGCATATGGTGTCTTGTAGCTCAGATGGGGATACGGGTCATAATGCTGTGAAGGTCTTAGAGAAAAACATTGATGAGCGATTACAAAAGATGCATAGTAAAGTAGAGAAGATATGGGAGGAACTTAAAAATCCATACCAGGGTAACAAGAAAGGTAAGAATAATAGCAAGGGACATAACCAAAGTTATGGTCAAGGTAAAGGTGCTAGTGAACAGAACAAAGATGGTCAGAAAAAGAGTAACGCACGAGAGTAGAGGTCTCTACTGGTGGCCATACGGGGACCTTATCTGTTAAACAGAAGGGACAAAACTTGTTAGAAAGGATGGTAGGCATGTTAAATGAGGGTTAGATCTTGATTAAAGTGTGTGAGCTCTCTGCTTTGATCGATAGTGGATGACCTTGGGTTAGAGGTATCTGTAGCTGATAGGTCACCATTAGGATATTTAGGGTATGTTGAATGTAGTGTAAAAATACGATTGTTGCCAAAAGTCGAGTTGTTTGTACCCATTTTAGTGGTCCCGGATATAGAGTTCAATGAAAAGTGTCCTATGATTGTAGGTACTAATATAATTAGACAATGTAAAGAGCTATTGTCTCAAGAAAGAACTGAAGTACCCTCGGAATGGAGACTAGCGGTAGAAAGTATGCAGGCAAAGACATTTGTGGTCAAAAGTCTAAGTAGGAAAGCAGTAAAACTGGAACCTTACGAGTCAGTAGTTGTCGGGGAATGGCTAAAGGTTTGGATTCTAGCATTGGTGAGGTTGTAACAGAGAACTTAGATGAAGGACTAGAGTATACAGTTTGCCCTCGTGTTGTAAAACTAGCCAAGAACTCAAAAGAAACTAGAATACCTGTACAGCTTTGCAATGTTTCTGCAAAGCCCATGGTTATAAAATCAAGATCTAGCTATGTCAAATACAGGAAGTCCAGGTAATCGATAGTCTTGGCTCCGATCCATCGGTTCGGACAAATGACGCCACGGTACTAAACTCTGTGCCAGAAGTTTAGGGGTCCATGTAGAGGAAGGTAATTTAAGCGGGGATCAACTAGTTTAAGGGAGGTATGCTCCACTTCTCCCTCAGATCATCAAATAGAATAATTGGACGAGACACCATTTAAGGTTCAACAATCCACTAAAAAGTTGTAATAGTCAACCTAAATTCCAACCCCCTGGTACGTTACATTTAAAGACCTTTATTAAAAATCGGAATATATATCTGCTATTTAAATGTATTGAACTCTCTTGGTCTCTTTTATATACTAACTGAATATACTACGAAATGATATATTATCTAAAGTGCATTTAAATAGCAGAGCTTAATTTCCTTTTTTTACTAGGTGTAGAGAGGCACACCGGCCTCAAAAATAGATGACTGCTACAATGGGAATGTACTTAAATCGTAGTAAAACGTGTGAGTAGCATATTTTACAGGTATATATCTGTAAAACCAGAAACATGTGACCATAAAAACCGCATACACTTTAAATTAAGTTTCCTTAGATAACATTTAATGTTGTTTTAATAAAGCTATACATTTGATAAACATTATCGTACTATTCAGTTTAAATGATATAACATGTATAGCTCATTCATTACATCACATAATGTTACCAAATGGCATGTCATCTAAAGTTCATCTATCGATTAAGGTTGCATAGCCTTCGTTTTCTTATTTATAATCTGCTAAAATATATAACCAGGGGATTTTACTATGTCAACTATGACAGTACCCGCAGAGTGGGTTAGGGGTGAATCTCAGCTGAACGCATTTGACAAAATCAAAGAAATGCTAGTAAATGCCCATGTAATTAAGTATGCTGATTATTCATTACCTTTTGAAGTTCATACTGACTCATGTGGTTCTGGTCTTGGCGCTTTTTTATATAAAAAACAAGGGGATAAACTTTGGGTAATAGCCTATGATAGTCTTGGTCTCAGACCCAGTGAAAAAAATACCCAGCACATAAGTTAGAGTTCTACGCTCTCAAATGGGCAGTCACTGATAAATTCCATGACTACCTCCATGGTACAAAATGAGAAGTGATAACAGACATTAACCAATTAACTTATGTACTTGCAAAAGCAAAGCAGGGTGCCACAAGTCATCGCTGGGTCGCAGCACTAGCAAGCTATGGTTTCACCATCAACTATAGAGAAGGCAGGTTGAATGCTGATGCTGATGGTTTGTCACGCAAGCCTTAGTTATTTTTAGTGGAAATGAGAGCCATCTGTCAAGCAGCTCTAAGTGTCGGTTCCATTGGCAAAGTGTCTTTCCCAGGATCTGTCCTTCCTACGGCCGGGGAGGAGGCAGAAGTAGGGGAAGAATTTGGCAAAGTGGACTGGGAGGCTGCTCAACAGCAAGATAGCGTTATAAGAGTGTTATTGAGTTGTTCACTAGCGACCATTTTCCCCAGGAGAGCAGTACTTAGGAGGAACCTACACAGGCCTTTAAATATCTTAAGGAGAGAAAACGCCTTTCTTAAGAAAATTACATTCTCTATAAATCGATAGTATCGTGAGTGAAGCGGTGAAACAATTACTGCTCCCTTCAGCTTATCATCAGTATTCACTTAAAGGAGTCCATGATGACGTCGGCCATCAGGGCAGAGAGGATTTTATTGGCCTGGTCTTGAAAATGACGTGAATGCCTGTGTGAAACGATGTAAGGGTTGCATTTGGCGAACTTCACAGAACTGTTGTGCGTGCATTGACTTCATGAGTCTGAAAAAGTCGAGAGGTGGGTCTGAGAATGTGTTGGTGATGACAGATCATTTCACCAGGTATGCACAGTCTAACCCCTGTCGTAACCAATCGGCTCATACCACAGCAAAAGCACTGTAACCCTAACCCTTTATTGTGTACTACAGTTTTCCAGAGAAATTACACAGTGACCAAGGTAGATATTTCGAAAGTATGATAATAAAGGAGCTGTGCAAACAAGAACTACCCCATATCACCCAACGGGCAATGGTTCGGTTGAGCGCTTCAACCAAAACTCTAATCAAAATGCTTTCCACATTGGAGGAAGACAAGAAATCCGACTGGAAACCTTATGTCGCACCTCTTGTTCAGGCGTCAAATGCTACTAAGAATGATTCAACAGGCTTTTCTCCCCATTACCTGATGTTTGGTTGGCACCCACGTTTATCTGTTGTATAATTATGTTGGATAATGGGGTTTGTGCATTTTTCTGGAGAATGTGTGATTAAATATGTAAATAGATAGTATCACTGTTAGTGTCAAATAAACTATGTATCAGAGTTGTCAGTATAGAGGGACAGTATGTTGATTATATTGTTCAACGTGTGTATATGTTTATTTCTCTTACAGCGGGAAATGTATGTGCTGCTATGTTTTTATTGCAGGAGTGCTCCTGTCATTGCATGGCAATCGTATAATTAATTTAATTAAATTATACTAATAGTAAGCATGATTGATAACATTATTTAGGTAGTTTCCTGGTGATGCCGGAAGTAAATGTGGGACGCATTTCTCTTAAGGAGGGGAATATGTAACCCAGTGTTCTTTGTACATATGATATATATATATGCACATAGCCTATCTATGTATTGTATTGTATAGTCAAGTGACCTTGACATTGTCCTGTGTTGTTATATTACGTAAATGGCTGACACTGACATGGACTTTGGACAGTACGCAAAGCGACAATTTACATTTAAAAAAAGACCGGAACACATATTGCACGCTTCAATTTCCCACCTGTTCCTCCTTACTAACTTCCTGTTCAGCTGACCACCCCGATATGTGAGTTAATATGTGTCTGGCTCGCGAGGGCGACACATCCCATTATTTATTCCTCTTCTTGATAACACATTATCAATCACGAAGATCTAAGAATAATCAACGGGAACACCGGATAGTCTGGTAAGCAGAGTGTGTGTGGGTGCGTTTGTTAAGTCATGTCCTATTTTCGGTTTCTATGTATATCGTCCGCGTTGTAGTCTGTTTCTGTATGTGTACAGTGTTTTTTGTACGTCTTATCGTTAGTGAATGCGACCCCGTGTGACACAACATTGACAGATTAGTTTTAATTGCGCTTTCTGAGGTCTCTACATGGACCAAACGGGTAACCTCTGTCTGTAATATTTGACATTTCCCACGCTTCAATTTCAAAGCAGCTGTTCGAATTCTATGTATAGCTTCGTCCACCCAGTTATATGTTATTAAGGTGTGGACCCAAAAACTATTTTTATCTAGCTAGATCACACGGGCCATCCATTGTAATCCACTACATGGTAACTACGCGAGACGCTGAAAGGTGGTGCATTGCAGAAATCGGATGGTGTGTTCTGGAATCCCTATCATCCACACACCTTGTAACAAATTCCGGGTTAGAAAAATGTTTTTCTCTTACATGTCATTTGTTGATCACTTGACCTAAACTTGACGATTGAGAAATACTTTGAACCAGCAATCGAGTCTAGCAACCTTGAATGTCTGAAAATGATAAGCATCTTTCTCTATCACATCATTAATCAGCTTCCTGTAGTTGAGGCAGGGTACTATCTTCCCATTCTTCTTCTTTACCTATGCCGTATAGGATGCTGGGCCCACAGTAACAAAGGACTGATATCAGTCGAACGATTGATCAGATTTTATACAAGAATGCAATTAAATAGCTTATACTTACCCAAAGCCTTCGATTTTGTCATGAAATATACCGGGGTGCCGACAAGACAAGATATATATATATCGAGAGAAATGTAAGAGCGATTGTTAGGCAATTGGAGTTTAACAACTCGTGTAAGTAAGAGCGATGTCATCTTATATTGGAAGGATGCCCTATGTCGTTCTAGTGTAACCATATGGTTTTATAGCGTTTTCTAATAATATTATTGTGTTTAGGATTACATATTTAGGTTAAGCATATACCAAATATCAGATAACATTGATGTTTGTTCTAAATGCGTAGAGGTGTCATTGATACCCGCTGTCACAGTTAGTTAAACAAGCAAAATCCGACTGGAAAATGGACGAAATGTGTGGGGCAAAAGCCAGATACCGCTGCCCTGCCCCTATAAATACACATTAGAAGACCCCTATTTACACCGTACGGACGACATGAGCACGTGACTTCGGCTGTAGATGATATTATCGAGTCATATCATATCGCATCCCTAATATATACATGTGTACAGGCGGATAAAGTCCACAACGTTATCACCTGAATGGCCATGTAGGGGCCTTGTCGAATAACCGCCTGGTAAGATGTTTACCGACCGTTAGATGTGAATCAGATAATGTTGATGAGGATAAACAAAAATAATATAATGTTTACACTTGTATTTATGTAATGTTATTTATATAAAAGATCATTCAACCTGTACCATATAGTTAAAGTGAGGTTATATATTGGGTTGATAAGAAAGGACTTGTCCAGTACTTTCCAGTATGTACAAAAGTAATGTGTTTTTTAACAGAGGGCGCGAGGGAGCATTATATATTTACAAATACTGTAAGAAAGAAAATTCTCGCGTTTGGAAATGTTTGCGTCATAACTGTTCAAACGGATCGCGATGTGGAAATTTTCGCGTTTGAAATTGTTGTGAAATCTAAACATGAATATTTATTATACGTATATATATGTACATGTATTTATATCTGTAAGCGTCAATTAACTGAAAGTAAAAGAGTATTTCAACACCGCGATGATTTCTGTGTATTGCGAATATTGGTCAAAGAATTCGTTTTCCTCTTTCAGTAAATGATTCAGCGGTTAAAACCCTTGTCAAGAACAAAGTACAAAGTCGCCACAGGTATAGAAGTTATCTATTCAGCTAAAACAAAATGGCACAGGCCAACTTTTCCTGTCCTTACGACATTACGGAAATACGAAACCTCGGCTATGTGGAATGTATGGATATTTTGGAACTCATTGATACCAAAGGTTTAGAAGAACTTGAAGAACTACAAGATCTTATCATCAAGTTGATCAAACAATCCAAGAATGTTGCAGACGGGCAGTCTGCCCCCGGAGAGGCTGGTAATGATAGCCAGGCCACGTTTACTTCGGTAAGTACAAGAAAACATGCTCTTCTTCTGAGTTTTATTTGTCATCTTCAAGTTATTTATTTCTCTGTATACTTTGTGTTTCGTATAGTAAATTACTAATTTTTGCAGAAACTGTTTTATAGTTATGGTAAGAGACGGTTAGTTAAGGTTTAGTGGGTCTGGTAAGATATAATGAATTTAGGTTGATGGGGGCAGGTTAGTCATAGCTAATTAGGTGGTAGACGAAGAAAATGGGTATGAAGTGACGAATTCAGCTTACGATGGCGGGTTAAGGAACGGCCAGAATGATAAATCCAAGTTGAGGAAACAGGGGGTGAGGATGGGGAGGAACATTGGCAACGATGGAATAGTGCATTATGACTGTGAAAAATAGATCGGTTTGTTAGATTATAACATTAGGATTAGTTGATTATGGTTTGTGGAGGGGAAGACAATGTGCATTGTTGATAGGGGAGGGAATATATGTTTGACGGTTGAATACGATTTAGACAAATGGATTAATGGCGATGTAACACCAGAAGCCTTTATTTATATTTTAATAAAACGAAAGTGGATTGTTGTTGGAGGGTATCAACAATGATCAAAAGATGGAGGTTTTAGAGTGGGAAGTTCGCGTTAAACCTATGCGCATACTCTTCAAAGAACATATTAAGCTAAATGTAACACCAGAGATCTATATTTGTTCGGTATGCATTTGCATTTCTCAGTGAGATAACTTCAACTGCACCAGGAGAAATACGAAGATGAAAAGATCCATACTTACAGCCAAATTCAATATAGTTGTATGGGGGTAGTCAATATATAATATGTTTGTAGTTGTCTTGACTGCTAGGCTGTATACATTATTAAGTTATGAATACATAATTTATGTATTGTATTCAGCAGAACTGTTGGCAAAATTATATGTAATATTGGCAGCTGACCAGTGTTAATGAAATATTGTGTTATTTTAGTCTGCTGACCTAATGAATCAGATAATCTCCCGTGACCGTGAAATCAAACAGAAACTGAATGGTATCTATGGCGACCTGAAGAGCTTCTTCAAGATGAGTCAATATGCTTCCGACCCATCACTACAGCACGAACTGGAAATTGAATTCAAGAACGTACAGGAGATGGTTGAAGAATACGCCGAGGAACTTATGTGCGATGAATGTCCGATCGTCGTGACAGGTAAACTTCAGGTTCATGCAAACATTTCGAAAATTATCTAAATGTTTTCAAATTTAGCGTATGTATATTGGTAAACCTATAACATACATATTCTCAGACCGATACTTTGTATTTAGAATTGAAACTCCTTGGTTGATGCTTTAAATGTCTTAGGCCACATTTAGTGCGTTTATAACGTAATGTTGGGTCCCTTTGGTGAGGTAACACATGTCCCCTTTGATCAGACTATATAGGAATTAATGGCTTGGGTCCATTTAGATGTGCTCTAAGGTCATGTTTGGGTTCCCTTTGGTAGGCCATAGACTAATTTTGGTCCCCTTGGGTGAGCGTTAAGGTGATATCTTAGGTCCCCTTGGATGAGTGTTAGAGTAATGCATTGGGTCCCCTTGGATGAGTGTTAGAGTAATGCATTGGTTCCCCTTGGTGTGCTATTAAGAAATGTTTTGGGTCTCCTTGAATGTGTTTTAAAAAATATCATGGGTCCCCTTGGATTAGCAATGAGTTGATGTCTTGGGTCCCCTTGGATGTGTTATGATGTAATGTCTTGTGTCCGTTGGCTGAGCTATGAGTTGATCTCTTGGGTCCCATTTAAATGAGCTTTAGAGTGTTGTCTTGGGTCCCCTTGAATGTGTTACAGGGGATATCTTGGGTCCCCTTGGCTGGGTTATAGGGTGATGCCTTGGGTCCACTTGAATGTGCTATAAGGTGATATCCTGGGTCCCCTTGACTGAGTTATAAGGCAATGTCTTGGGTCCACTTGAATGTGCTATAAGGTGTTGTCTTGGGTCCCATTGGCTGAGTTATAAGGTGATGTCTTGGGTCCCCTTGACTGAGTTATACGGCAATGTCTTGGGTCCCCTTGGCTGAGTTATAAGGCGATGCCTTGGGTCCACTTGAACGTGCTATAAGGTGATATCCTGGGGCCCCTTGGCTGAGTTATAAGGTTATGCCTTGGGTCCACTTGAATGAGTTATAAGGTGTTGTCTTGGGTCCCCTTAACTGAGTTATAAGGTGATGTCTTGGGTCACCTTGGCTGCGTTATAAGGTGATGCCTTGGGTCCGCTTGAATGTGCTATAAGGTGTTATCCTGGGCCCCCTTGGCTGAGTTATAAGGTTATGCCTTGGGTCCACTTGAATGAGCTATAAGGTGTTGGCTTTGGTCCCCGTGGCTGAGTTATAAGGGGATGCCTTGGGTCCACTTGGCTGAGGTATAAGGTGATACCTTGGGTCCAATTGACTGAATGGGCTGTAAGGGGATTTCCTGGGTCCCCTTGACTCAGTTATAAGGCAATGTCTTGGGTCGACTTGAATGTGCTATAAGGTGCTATCCTGGGTCCCCTTGGCTGTGTTATAAGGCAATGTCTTGGATCCACTTGAATGTGCTATAAGGTGATGTCTTGGGTCCACTTGAATGAGCTATAAGGTTTTGTCTTGGGTCCCCTTGGCTGAGGTATAAGGTGTTGCCTTGGGTCAACTTGTTCCACTTGAATGTGCTATAAGGAGATGTCTTTGGTCCCCTTGGCTGGGTTATAGGGTGATGCCTTGGGTCCCCTTGAATGTGCTATAAGGTGATGTCTTGGGTCCACGTGAATGTGCTATAAGGTGTTGTCTTGGATCCCATTGGCTGAGTTATAAGGTGATACCTTGGGTCCAATTGCCTGAGTTATAAGGCAATGTCTGTGTCCCCTTGGCTGAGGTATAAGGTGTTGCCTTGGGTCAACTTGTTCCACTTGAATGTGCTATAAGGTGCTATCCTGGGTCCCCTTGGCTGACTTATAAGGCAATGTCTTTGATGCTCTTGAATGTGCTATAAGGTGATTTCTTTGGTCCCCTTGGCTGAGTTATAAGGGCATGCCTTGGGTCCACTTGAATGAGCTATAAGGTTTTGTCTTGGGTCCCCTTGGCTGAATTATAAGGTGATGTCTTGGGTCCACTTGAATGTGCGATAAGGTGATGTCTTTGGTCCCCTTGGCTGGGTTATAGGGTGATGCCTTGGGTCCACTTAGCAATGAGTTGATGTCTTGGGTCCCCTTGGATGAGTTATAAGGTGATGTCTTGAGTCCCCTTGACTGAGTTATAAGGCCATGTCTTGGGTCCACTTGAATGAGCTATAAGGTGTTGGCTTTGGTCCCCGTGGCTGAGTTATAAGGTGATGCATTGGATCCCCTTAAGTGAGTTATGAGGTGATGCCTTGGGTCCACTTAGCAATGAGTTGATGTCTTGGGTCCCCTTGGATGAGTTATAAGGTGATGTCTTGAGTCCCCTTGACTGAGTTATAAGGCCATGTCTTGGGTCCACTTGAATGAGCTATAAGGTGATGTCTTGGGGCCCCTTGGCTGAGGTATAAGGTGATACCTTGGGTCCAATTGACTGAATGTGCTATAAGGTGATAGCTGCGTTATAAGGCAATGTCTTGGGTCCCCTTGGCTGAGTTGTAAGGTGATACCTTGGGTCCAATTGACTGCGTTATAAGGCAATGTCTTGGGTCCGCTTGAATGTGCTATAAGGTGTTATCCTGGGCCCCCTTGGCTGAGTTATAAGGGCATGCCTTGGGTCCACTTGAATGTGCTATAAGGAGATGTCTTTGGTCCCCTTGGCTGGGTTATAGGGTGATGCCTTGGGTCCCCTTGAATGAGCTATAAGGTGTTGGCTTTGGTCCCCGTGGCTGAGTTATAAGGTGATGCATTGGATCCCCTTAAGTGAGTTATAAGGTGATGCCTTGGGGCCACTTGAATGTGCTATAAGGTTATGTCTTGGCTGAGTTATAAGGGGATACCTTGGGTCCAATTGACTGAATGTGCTATAAGGTGATAGCTGCGTTATAAGGCAATGTCTTGGGTCGACTTGAATGTGCTATAAGGTGATATCCTGGGTCCCCTTGGCTGTGTTATAAGGCAATGTCTTGGGTCCACTAAAATGTGCTATAAGGTGATGTCTTCGGTCCCCTTGAATGAGCTATAAGGTGTTCTCTTGGGTCCCCTTGGCTGAGGTATAAGGGGATGCCTTGGGTCCACTTGAATGTGCTATAAGGTGATGTCTTGGCTGAGTTATAAGGTGATGCCTTGGAACCCCTTAAGTGAGTTATAGGGCAATGTCTTGGGCCCATTAGGATAGACCATTAGGTAATGTCTAGGGCACCCTCGGATAAAGCTATCATCATTTTGTTCGTGCAGACGTATTGATTGTACATTATATACATTTCTTGTTTTGGTTGTTTTGCAAGGAGAGACAAGCGCTGGGAAGAGCAGCTTATTAAACCTAATACTTGGGAGTAACATTCTACCGTCATCACTTCGCTCAAACACCTCCACCGTCTGTCGTCTTCATAACCACGAACAGAAGATGATCAAAGTGTACGACCAAAGTGGGAAGAAACTGGTCCACCATGGTGTTTTTGACTATAACATCAGCGATGACGTTCTGAAAAAGGAGATGCAGAAATACATAAGCAGTGAAGAAAATCCATATAGATATGTAGATATTTTCTGGCCGATTCCATTTCTGGGGGTAAGTAGGAAAATTGCCGTTTTGGGTATCTGCCTTGATAGATCACTTACACTTTTTATTACCAAACATCTGCACCAGTATAATAGGGTTTCATTATGATCCTTGCAGGTAGGTACCAGCAAATTAAACATGGTCGCTTACATTTCTGTTCAAATAGCGTTGCATTCCTCCAGACAGCAAACAATTTTCCATGTCTGTGTGAAAGGATTTAAGGTCCAATACGGTATCTAAAGTTGGTATCATTTTTATGTCTAATTGTCTTTTGTAACAGAGTCAAGTGGTTATAGTGGACACACCCGGTATTGGCGAGAACAGCGAGATGACCAGTCGGCTGCTGGACTACCTCCCGAAGGCCGTGGCCTTCATCTACGTCCTCAACTCGGAAAATGCTGGCGGGGTACAACAGGATAGAGTAAGTTTGTGCAAAGAGTTGATAACGAAACGAGGTCATGGTAGAAGACAGAGTAGGACTGAATTCAATGTTAATGGTGGTAAGACTGAGGTCGGTGTAGCAGAGGATAGGGCGGATGTTGGTGTAGAATATGGTAGGACTGTTGTCGGTGTAGAAGATGGTAGGACTGATGTCGGTGTAGAAGATGGTAGGACTGATGTCGGTGGAGAAGATGGTAAGACTTATGTCGGGATAGAAGATGGTAGGACGACTGAGATCGGTGTAGAAGAGAATAGGACTGCGGTCAGTGTAGAGAGGATAGGATTGCGGTCAGTGTAGAAGACGGTAGGACTGAGATCGGTGTAGATGAGGGTAGATCTAAGGTTGGTTTAGACGAGGGTATAAAGGAGTTTGGTGAAGGCGAAGGTAGATCAGTATAGGTAAAGACTTTCGCTCCTGTAAACGAGATAAGGACAGAGAAGTTATGGTGATAGATCCGCGGTCTTGGTTGATGCTGGTAGACTCAGCGTGGAAGAAGGTTTGAACAAAGACAGCCATAGGAAGAACTGAATTTGGCCATCTTTAATGGGTGTTTTGTTCGAAACACAGTTTAGTTGTCATTTTGTTATGTTCATGCTGTTCTTGTTATACTTTGCTGTTACCATTGACCATCTTTCCGATCAAAAGACTTGGATAACTAGCTTGTCTAAAAGTATATCTTGGATTGTTTTATAACTTTGTACCAATCTTCCCGGGATTTGCAGTTACTTCGAATCCTTGATGAACAGAACAAATGGAGAGAGAAAGGACGAAAGCAGACATTTGATCACAATTGCACACTGTTTGTGTGTAATAAATGGGATGAAGTACCGGAGTCGGAGCGAGACAGGGTGTGGAACGACACCAAGGCAAAACTCCGTTGTTGGCCAGGCTTTACTGAGTCTCAGATGTTTAGACTGAGTGCATTAGAGGTAAATACATGCATATTTAAATGAAGTCAACTGGAAATCCATATATGAACTAAATGTAAGTAGATGTCTAGATACGGTACTGTGAGGGTGGTAGAAATACTAGGTTTGAAGTAGTTTATTAATATGATAAATCATGTTTACTTACTCGGTGAACGAGAGGTAAAATACTGCTTGGTCGTTCTATTTCGCCTCACTTAGTACGCTGAATGTCTGGAATTGTGAATATGTTCATTATTAGAGATAAAGACTCCACAATAGAGGTAAACAAGATATTGGATCTTGTCCCACTGGCGGGGAATATATATGTAGACTAAATGCATGGAAGATAGAATAGATATATAGACTTAATATGTGAAATCTAAAATAGATATTCAGACTTATTACACCTGGCTAGTACTCTATGCCGTAGATTTATATGTTAGGCTTATAACACTGAAACATGTTTAGTAGTGGCTGGTTAAACAAGGTACATTGCTGTTTAGGCGTTAGACTGGCGATGTGTAGACTTGCCAAATCTGTCCTTATCCCTACCCGTATTTACCACTCGTTTGTGTTTACCCTTTGTTACAGGCAGAGAGACGGTACCGAAATGGACTGGACTACACTGGAGACTTCCAAAATCTTCTGAGAGGCATTCAAAAAATGGTGCCTGCAAGTTTCCAGGAAAAAGTTCGGCAACATGCATGGTACGAGTATGACAAGACATGAGTTCCATCAATTTAAAAAAATAAAAACTCTGAACATGTTGCAATGAGACCATCAACCTGGCTATGGTAATCGTGACGTCATTGCAATCAATCATGCCGTGATAGATTATTGCAATTCTGCAATTCCTATCCAATATATATCCATGCAAAGAACGAAGCTTCATATTCATGTACTTCAAATGACACAAGGGCAAAGCCTGAACCATTTCATTGATACTATATTTTTGGATTAACGAAGTTTTCATGTAACACGTTGATAGGCTAATGATCCATTACATCGTAATTCTGAAGAACCCCGACTGAAAAAAAGGCTTGGGGATTTGTATGTATTAAGTATTGATTTCTTCATTATTCCTTCGTTCCTAAATATCATTTTACTGCTGCTATAATAAATGTATGCAAAACTAAGCTTTCTGTTTAAAACAAAATGTCCTAGTAAAAAGGAAAAAAGGAAAAATACAAAAATAACACAAACTAGAAGATTCACAATTATTTTCCACTGCTTTCCGCAATCTTTTCAGGTAGACTTCTGACGTTGCTTTTATAATACTTATTTATTATATATAAATATAAAATAGTCTCACTATCACCATCCAGACACATCAGCTTATGGTACCAAATTTTGGCTGAACTAACACGACCCATCTATCTGTATCACGTCCCTGAGGATTATCACTGTATATATCCCCAATCTTCTGTAACTACTGCAGGCGATCATATTTCCCATTTTCTATGTAGGTGGCAGGAAAAGCTTCTTAAGCAGATTCTGTTCCACGTGACGGCCCACATCAATAACACGCGCCTTAGTCAGGAGGAAAAACGGATAAAGAAGGAGAAAGTTGAAGATCGGCTACGCAGACTTGAGTGTGATACAGAACAGGTGAGCAGTAATAGTTAAAACTTGATCGGACATACAGAACAGGTGAGCAGTAATAGTTAAAACTTGATCTGACATACAATACAGGTGAGCAGTACTAGTTAAAACTTGATCTGACATACAGAACAGGTGAGCAGTACATAGTTAAAACTTTATCTGACATGCAATACAGGTGAGCAGTAATAGTTAAAACTTGATCTGACATACAGAACAGGTGTAAACCATCTTGTTGTATTAATATGTTTGCGCTGAATTGTCCGAATATATCGCAAATTCTGGCATCTTTCAAGTACTCAATTAGCAAGAATGAAGTAGATTTGTACCTATGAAGAAACATTTATTGTGCACTTTCACGTCTATTACCGTCAAAAGCTAGAAATATCATTGAAACATTATCATTTCCAGTAGATGGAGATAAGTAGACTATTGTAAATTATTCAAATTGATATGAAAAACCATTTCTGTCTTTTCAAATATTGCAATCAGTCAATGATACAACAGAATGCTCGGAAACACAAAGAGTTCCTATCTAACTTTTACTTCAAAATTCATGTTTTTCAAAGGTGAAGAGAACTCTTAAAGATGAGGCTAAAATGAGATGGGCAGAGATTAGTGAGAAATTACATGCTTACATTAATGATCAGGAGACGGTCGAAAAGCTGAAAGAGTGGGATATTCACACAGAAATACCGGAACGGGAGTCGGATTTCGACCTCATTGAACGCGAGGCTAAGGAAATTATCCTTGCCAAAGTTGGAAAAGAAATAAAGTCGTGGTGCGAGAATGAAAAAAGCCTATCAAACATTAGAAATGAGCTCGCGAACCGATTCAGGGAGGAATATCGTCTGCTCGAGGAACAATGTCATGACATTGATAATCTCGTTCAAGACGTTGAAGGTTCTATAGAGTTAGACGATGTCGATGTCCAAGAAAAAGAGCCATCACATCGAATTCCACTCTTTGCTGGGAAAGAACAGCTGGCTTTGGTATTAACCGCGCCTCTGTGGGTTCCATTGATGGTTCTGGCTTTCTCCATGGCATTACCCGTGATGGGTGTCATAGCGGTTAAGGACAGTTTTAACGAAAAGCGGATGTGTAAGAACTACATAAAAAATAAGAAGGCATTCATGGACAAATGGGCTGATGAAGTTTTATTGAGGTTTTCACGGGAAGCAATAGCAAGCAAACTAGAAATGACATATCTGGAAACTTTTTACAAATGTTTGGAGCAGCTATGTGATTCTGTCATCCCACGCCAGATCGAATCGGACCGCCAGTTGATTGCTAATATTCAGCAGGAAGAGCGACACTCATCAACGATTCGTCGGCAATATCATCCGCTTGAAAAACGATGTCAGTATATGACTGGTAAACTGCTACTCGTACAAATGGAGTACTTTTATGAGGATAACATTGTAAACAAGAACATCACCAAGGGAGAGTTTCTTGGAAAAGGATCGTTTGCAAATGTGTACAAAGCTGAAATTGTTATTGGAGACGAGCGGAAATCAGCAGCAATTAAATGTATGACACAGCCCTTTGAGAACTCCGACTCCTGGTACTCACAGTTGACAGAGGTGTCTACGCTCCTGTAAGTTAAAATTTGTTTGATTAAGCACTTGGTGTCAACTACTCCAAATTGTTTATCAAACATTCATGTTAGACAGTAGAATGTAGCTTATCTGTATAATAATGATAAGAAATACGGAAAAGAAAGTGTGTATTTAAAATTCTAACACAGTTCGTTTGCAACGCGTGTTTTGATTGGATACGGACCATGTTCTAATCTGCGATAGAATCATGATCAATCGTGATAAGCTCCTCCCATCGCACTTAAGCCGCGCCCCGTTTCTAACCAAAACAATATGGCGTCAAGTTCGCCTCTTAGCGAAGTCCCGCTGATAAAACTAGTAGGCAACAAAACAGAAACGACCGATGAAATGTATTTGTTGAAAGAATTAAAAAGTAGAAAGTACACATTCCTTGTTCTTACCTCCATTTATTACTGAAACGTTCGTTCCATCCGTGTGAAGGCATCTTTTTAAATCTGAAATCAAATGAAACATTTCACATGTGTCGTATGCATTTACACAAAACTCTTCACAAATCTATACAAATAATCACCGATGTTGTCGATAAGCATAGATTGGTATGCATACTGACATGGAAATGTAAGAACTTGGTCAATATTAATCCAAATGTGTCGTATAAACTTTGGTAACAGGACGTTCACGAACAATCCAAATATTCCGCCTCGTCAACATACAGAGCGAGCGCTCGCCAGTATGGGCGGGGTCAAATGACCGACTTTTGAAAGCTTCTTTCCGATTGGTCAGTCCGCTGCAGAAAGACACGTCGCCAGTTCAGGTCACAACGTATTTTACTACGTACTTTTAAACAAGGAAATGCAATGTTTCTAAACATATTAGCGTGGTATATGTGTTAAGGTGTGTTAGAATGGGGATAGTACGTTGTTTTTCATGTTTATACTGGCGATTAAAACATGAAATTGGGTTTAAACTCTCGACCTATAGATCTCGGGTTTAAACCCAAATTTCATGTTTTAATCGCCAGTTAGCCACTCAAACAACGTACTATCCCCTAAATGTAACTTGAAGTTGCACAATATGGCCAGTCATCAGTGGTAGTTAGTCAATGAAACGGAAGTGAAATACAAGTAGAAATATATCAAAAGGGCAAAGGTGCATATAAAACCAAATCAAATGCTCCTTTTGTTTTTCATTTGTAAAGGGACTATAATGGTAAAAATCACCGTTTAACAAAATATCATAAAACGTCACATTTTTAGAAAATAGATCACAAAACTAACACTTTCACGAAATTACACAAATTAGAAGTATCTGCAAACACTTCAAAAAAATATTCCGGCCGTTGCTATTACACAAATTATATCTCGTAAACGCGACTTTGTGCTTGCAGTATCAGTCTATTTCAAAATGTATGATAATGTTTCACTTTATGCCGTGTATACGACAATAGTTCCTTTAAATTCCATCAGCGTAAGAGCTGCGTTTATTATACTTTATGCCAATAATTAAACATATCCTTGCTTTCAGCAAATTTTCCCACGGTTGGATTGTGAAACTGTTCGGAATTTCTTACGAGGAGGTCGGCTCACACAAATACCTCCAAATAATCATGGAGCTCTGTGACTTCACTCTGTCCTCGCAGATCTTCCCTGGAAACGACGGCAGTCCCGCCCCTGTAGCGTCATGTAGTCAGTTCCCCCTTAAATCTGTCGAGATAAAACCTTCTATGGAATTCTTCAAGAGGATTTCGACGGATGTTTGTAAGGGGCTGGTATATATACACAAGAAAAACTTTATCCACCGAGACCTCAAGCCCAGCAATATTCTGGTATGTAAGGAGATAAGTATGTAATGATTAACATTTTCCTGTTCTCAGCTTTCATAAAAAAATCGGCGATAAATACAACCCGCGAAATTAATAGAAAATAAAACCATTCTTACTGTTTTTCATAGTATTAAATTGTTATAACAAAGTATTGGCCCATACGTCAGTATCTCCGAACTCAACACACGTGTTTCCTTTATTTCCTTTGAATATGTCAAAATCGAAAGCACGCGTTTGCTATTTGATTGGTTTCATGTTTAAAATCTGACCAATTGCTAGGCTGATATATACCTGTCTTTTAAATATTACTGCAAAACATCTTGGTAAGATAAACTGATGAATAAATATTATATTGTTTTTTAAATTATGATTTGTTTTTAATTGAAGACAGTTTGATGTTAGTTTATTTAAATCTTTAAAATGAGTTTCATTTATTATTCTATAAACAAATTATTTACTATTATTAATATTTAAAAGCAGTTTGTATTACATTATTTTTTTATCATTTTTATTATTACAGCTTCAAGGAAAACGTGCCAAAATAGCTGATGTAGGTTTGACGAAGGAGACAGACTTTATCACAGGGACGTTAACGGGCACTCCTTGCTACATTGCCCCCGAGGTGATCTTGATGAAGCTGTACAGCACGGAGGTCGACATCTACAGTCTTGGTATACTTCTGTGGGAGTTATGGTACGGTGCCAAGGCGTACGAGCAGGATGGTATTACTGAAGACCGGATCTTTGAGCTATTTGAGCAAGTCAAGGCTGGACACAGACCGAGCTTCTGCCAAAGACATGTCCCACCGCCTGCCTTACAGAAACTGATGAAACAATGTTGGCATGGGGATATTAAATGCAGACCTCAGGCAGGAAAAGTTTTCGATACAATAGAGGATCAAAGTTTTTAAACCAGATTGGATTGAGTGCCAAGCTTTGCGATGTTGATGCAATACCTTCTGTATTACAGATACTGAGGAAAATGTGAAAGCATGAAATAATGGTATTAAGCTGGAAATTGAGATAAAAATGACCAAGCTATATTCTACTAGAGTAACGCTTTCCCCCTGAGAGAAACTAGGAAAATCGTGTTAGCATGGAGATTTTGTTGACCTTTATCTAAACATTGAAAAGGAAAGTTAAGTTTTAGTCAAATGATAAATAACTTCTCGGTTTCTACAGATGATTGCCAGTGTTTTTTCCTGAACAATCTTCCCACTCTATTGGTACACATTTTTCCATCTGTGTAGACTGAAGATGGATTTATTTTAATCAAAAGACATTTTATAAAATTTTAAAAGGTAGCTCGATCAATGATTACCTTGCTCGTAAGCGTAACAAAGTGACCAATTACAGCATAGTTTGGCTATTTCAAGTTCCTCAGTGGTACTAAAGGTAAAATGAATGAGAGATGTATGTCGTAAGTGTCGAATCATATGCAGGATTCATCGCAAAGTGAAAGATGCCTTTAAACCCCTTGATTAAAAATATTCCATTGTATAATATTCGTTGTATTAACATATATAAAATATAAGGTTTATTTATTTTACAACAACTGCAAAGTATGAAACAAGTTTTTGCAACTTATATTAATTACTCTTGTTGGCCCGGATGTCTTAATACCCGGGAGAAACCCACGTGGTCAATCATAGCAAACTTTGTCATCCTAAGAACAAATGTTACGTTGAGTGTTTGTCGCCATGAGTGGATGCTGGTAGCATTGTGTTAAATATTTGTTTTTTGTATATATCGACTGCTTTCTACTCTGAAACGTGACAGGAAATATTTATAGATTTTAATCCTTTCAATATTAAATGACGAGTGTACGTAGGAAAAGGGCATACGTAAAGTATCAAAATAAAAACAAAACAAAGATATCAAGCATAAATTTCCGAGGAAAAATTAAAGAGAAAAAAAGGAGGATATCAAGTTTAAATAATTGAGAGGGAAAACTAACTAAGAAATCAAATATAAATTATTGAGGGGGGAAACTAACTTAAAAATCAAGCATAAATTATTGAAGGGGAAAACAAAGATATCAAGTATAAATTTCCGAGGAAAAATTAAAGAGAAAAAAATAAAGATATCAAGTTTAAATGATTGAGAGGAAAAACTAAGATATCAGGTATAAATGATTAAGAGGGAAAACTAAGATATCAGGTATAAATGATTAAGAGGGAAAACTAAGATACCAGGTATAAATGATTAAGAGGGTAAACTATGATATCAGGTATAAATGATTAAGAGGGAAAACTAAGATATCAAGTATAAATTATTGAAGGAGAAAGTAAGATAGCAAGCAAGCAGAGGAGGAGGCAGGAGTAGGGGAAGAATTCGGCAAAGTGGACTGGGAAGCTGCTCAACAGCAAGATAGCGTAATAGGAAGAGTTATTGAGCTCTTCACTAGCGATCCTTTTCACAGGAGAGCAGTACTTAGGAAAGAACCTACATAGGTCCTTAAATTTCTTAGGGAGAGAAAACGCCTTTCTTATGAAAATGGCATTCTCTATAGAATCGCTAGTGTTGAGGGTGAAGAAGTGAAACAATTACTGCTTTACAGTTCCTGGGGTTACAATCAGGACCAGGACAAGGGTGCAAATCATCACACCTATGTCACTAAATTCAGGGGAGTGATGTAGTATGCCTATCGAATTTCTGTAGAGGAGGCACGGAAAAGTGCAGCTCGAAACAAAACGAGATATGACAGAAAGGTGCTAGATTCAAACCTTGAAACTGATAACAGGGTGTCAGTAAGGAAGGTTGGAAAACATAAACTCGCCGATAGGTGGGAAAACAATCCTTACATAGTCGTGAGTATACCGGATAGTGATATACCTGTGTACAGGGTGAAGTTGGAAAGTGATAAGGGGCAGGTCCGGACTTAACATAGAAATATGTTATTGCTCCTTCTGAGGAGCCAGTGCTGGAGGTCAACAGCAAGGTCACACCAAAACGAGGCAGTGGGCTTACTACTGGTAAGGACTCTGTGATTGAGCAGGGCCTTACAGACTCCGACTCAGGTAGCTTTCAGCTCTAGTTCTTTATATTATGTGATCCTTCAAAGGAGTGATAAACCAGGGCTATCTCCCCTGGACAGAGGTCCAGAGAGACAGATGTCAAGGTTATTTCCCGAGAGTGGGAATAGTACAGATTCCCAGACAAACACCCCATCAATGTTATTTTCACCGTCAATATGAGAATATTCGTCTAATGTAAATTCTCAAAGAAATTACTTGCGTTGAGGTGACGGGTGATAATACATGTAGTATCAATGGTGCTGGCAGGATACAAGATGTTGGGTCCAATCCTGTATCTCCACCTATAGTCCAGGCAAACTAACTTTTGAAATGGAAAAAAATGCAACAGAATTTATTTAGGCACAGAGGTCTTCTATGAAGTTTCCTGAATAACATACTAAAAGTCCTAAGAAATTACTGTTGCGGAAATAGGTTAAATATGCAAAAATCCAAGATGTCCGCCATAAATATATAATTTCTTATATCTCCAATATCACAAGAGATATTTGAATTATTTAAAATGCTCTTATACGGTTTTTGGACATAAGGAATCGTTAAGAATAGGTTACGATTTGATTGCATGCAATGGTCATGGAAAAAATCCAATATGGCCACCAAAAATCCATATCTGATCAAATATTTGCGTGCAAATCTTCACCAATCACCAGTTTGCTATAAGACATCGGGTATTTAATACTGAAATACGATTAAGACACAGACACCATCACGACTGACTTGACTGCAGCTGCGGAACTGTATGACAGAGCAATGTCGTGTTCATTCTCTGTGGAAGAGATGTGTTCATCAGAAGCGTTACTGCGACTCCAAAGTAAAGTGAATGCGAGGAAGGAAATGATGACTGGGCGCACAGCAACCTTATGGTTACAGTATCTGGAGATAGTGGATTTCCTGCGAAGGTTTCTCAAAGCAGAGCGAACGGGAAACTGGAGATTGCATCTTCAGTCAGTACGTGAAATGCAACCCTTCTTTGCAGCAGCAGGACACAAATTTTATGCGAAGTCCGCATTTGTATATCTGCAAACGATGACCCTACTGCCCGAAACACACCCCGATGTCCATCAGAAATTCGAGGAAGGGTATCATGTAGTGAGGCGTAGTGACAGATACTGGGGAAGACTGTTCACAGACCTCATAATAGAGCAGGTGTTAATGAGGAGCGTAAAGACGCACGGAGGCCTGACACGAGGAAAGGGCATGACCTAAACTCAGCGCCTACTGTGGGTCATGTCCATGCCGGCATGTGCCAACATGAATGATGCCTTGCAGAAATTCACTGGTGTGTCATATGAGACCAGTGACCAACACAAGGATTTGTCAAAGGTTAGACAAGCTAGAGATGTCAATGACACCCTGAATCTTATCAGCTACCTCGCACAGAGGGATCCATTCGTTGAGAATCCATCACTTTTCAACATCGCCAATGGCATGACGGCCCAAGATGAAGTCATGGTTGACCGATCAAGAGAAATTGGGGAAGTGTTCTAGACTCCATGGTCGGGGTATCTGTAGAAGATTATGTCTTCTGGAAAGCTGACCAGGCCACGATACTTGGATCAAGATCATTAGTGAAGGTCAAAGGAGAATCTGTAACGGTGGATCCACAGTTGATATATCAGAGGTTGGTAACTGTAGGACAGCGTTCAGAAGATGTTTCATCCTTTTTCAAGTATGAGCTCTGCACTCATCCACCTGAACTGTTTGAATCAGCTGCACTCCCCCTGCAGGCAAAAAAGGCAACACTGGCCGATGTGCTCTGGAAGTCTATGAAGGGAGACCAACGAGAACCCAATGCAAATGTCCAGTATGTGCTAGATGGTGGTGCTCTACTTTATCGCATACCATGGCCAAGAGGATCTAAATTTGACAGTGTGTGTCAAATGTATGTTGCGTACGTCACACAGAAGTATGGAGCTGCTGTCGTCGTCTTTGATGGACACAAAGATGAGCCCGCAACTAAAGATGCCACACAACTGAGACGAACAGGGGCTTGTGCTGGTGTGACAGTACACTTCGATGGTGACATGATGATTCAATCAAAGAAAGAAGATTTCCTGAACAACAAGGAAAACAAGCAGCGATTCATCCATTATCTGAGCGACAAGCTGGAGAGAGCTGGCTGTAGCATATACCAGGCAACGCACGACGCCGACGTGATGATTGCTCGAACAGCAGTTGCCTCTGTCCAAACAAAAGACACTGTACTGATAGGGGATGACACAGACTTGCTGATTCTCCTACTGCACCATGTCGAAATGAACGCAAACGAGTTGTTCATGGCACCAGAGCCTAAACAATTTACCAAAAAGAAGAGAGTCTGGTGCATAAAACAATCCAGGGAGTTGCTCGGTCCTACACTTTGTGATCATCTGCTCTTTGTCCACGCCATTTCAGGCTGTGATACTACCTCTCGCCTGTTTGGGTAAGGGAAGGGCGTGGCAGTCAAGAAAATCAAGAATGACCCTGTCTTCTACAACCAGGCCAAATTGTTCAATCAACATGATCAAGCGAAGGAGAGGTGATCATTGCGAAAATGTGTGCAGAGAATGCCGTGGTGTTAGCTGTACCAACTCACAGTTACCAGACTTGTCAAATGCATATGATGACGACGGTTGTGTTGCACCCAGTCCAACGGTGTATCAACTACAGCGATCAATCACTGTATTGACAATAGTATCATATTGTGTCACCTTTCTGTTTTACTCTATATGTGATGTGTAGAATTGATGTTGATGAGTGTATTACTAAAGTTCGATGTAGTGAATAAACTTGAAAATACTTACCTGCCTTGATTATATAAGTATTCAATTTCATTTTTGGTGGCCATATTGGATTTTTTTTCTATGATTATTGCATCCAACAAGTCGTAACCTATTCGAAATGATTCCTTATGTGCAAAAAAACGTATAATAGCATTTTAAATCATTCAAATGTCTCTTGTGATAGTGGAGATATGAGACATTATATATTTATGGCGGCCATCTTGGATTTTTGCATATTTAACCTATTTCCGCAACAGTAATTTCTTAGGACTTTTAGTATGTTATTCAGGACATCTTATAGATGACCTCAGTGCCCAAATAAATTCTGTTGCATTTTTTTCCATATTGAATGGTTAAATTGGCTAGATTGCCTGGACTACTAGGAGATCTCAAAAACAGAGAAACCTCCAGAACGGGTTTGGTTAGCGAGTTTACTATCAAAGGATAACAAACCGAGAGGAAATTATCTTGGATAATGAGGTTAGTGCATTTTTCTGGAGAATGTGTGATTAAATATGTAAATAGATAGCATCACTGTTAGTGTCAAATTAACTATGCATCAGAGTTGTCAGTATAGAGGGTCAGTATGTTGATATTTACATACCATTTACTATATATGCTGGTCGTTGCTGATCAAGGATGTATTAAGTTGGAATATTGTTCAACGTGTGTAATGAACTTATGTATATGCTTATTGTTCTTACAGAGGTAAATGAATGTGCTGCTATGTTTTTGTTGCAGGCGTGCTCCTGTCATTGCATGGCTATGATATAATTAATCTAATTCAGTTATACTAATAGTGAGCATGATAAATTATAACATTATGGTTTACTCTAGGTAGTTTCCTTGTATTGCGGATTATGGACACATTTCTCTCAAGAAGATACATATAAATTATATATATGCACGTAGCCTACCTGTGTATTGTGTTGTACAGTCAAGTGACTTTGACATTGTCATGTATTGTTATATTATGTAAATGGCTGACACTGACCTAGACTTTGGACAGTACGCAAAGCGACAATTTACATAAAAAAATACCGGAACACATATTGCACGCTTCAATTTCTCGCCTGTTCTTCCTTACTAACTTCCTGTTCAGCTGACCACCCTGATATGTGAGTTAGTATGTGTCTGGCTCGCGAGGGCGACACATCCCCTTATTTATTCCTCTTCTTGATAACACATTATCAATCACGAAGATCTAAGAATAATCAACGGGAACACCGGATAGTCTGGTAAGCAGAGTGTGTGTGGGTGCGTTTGTTAAGTCATGTCCTACTTTCGGTTTCTATGTATATTGTCCGCGTTGTAGTCTGTTTCTGTATGTGTACAGTGTTTTTTTGTACGTCTTATCGTTAGTGAATGCGACCCCGTGTGACACAACATTGACAGATTCGTTTTAATTGCGCTTTCTGAGGTCTCTACATGTACCAAACGGATAACCTCTGTCTGTAATATTTGACATTTCCCACGCTTCAATTTCAAAGCAGCTGTTCGAATTCTATGTATAGCTTCGTCCACCCAGTTATATGTTATTAAGGTGTGGACCCAAACACTATTGTTATCTAGCTAGATCACACGGGCCATCCATTGTAATCCACTACATGGTAACTACGCGAGACGCTGAAAGGTGGTGCATTGCAGAAATCGGATGGTGTGTTCTGGAATCCCTATCATCCACACACCTTGTAACAAATTCCGGGTTAGAAAAATGTTTTTCTCTTACATGTCATTTGTTGATCACTTGACGTAAACTTGACGTTTGAGAAATACTTTGAACCAGTAATCGAGTCTAGCAATCTTGAATGTCTGAAAATGATAAGCATCTTTCTCTATCACATCATTAATCAGCTTCCTGTAGTTGAGGCAGGGTACTATCTTCCCATTCTTCTTCTTTACCTATGCCGTATAGGATGCTGGGCCCACAGTAACAAAGGACTGATATCAGTCAAACGATTGATCAGATTTTATACAAGAATGCAATTAAATAGCTTATACTTACCCAAAGCCTTCGATTTTGTCATGAAATATACCGGGGTGCCGACAAGACAAGATATATATATATCGAGAGAAATGTAAGAGCGATTGTTAGGCAATTGGAGTTTAACAACTCGTGTAAGTAAGAGCGATGTCATCTTTTATTGGAAGGATGCCCTATGTCGTTCTAGTGTAACCATATGGTTTTATAGCGTTTTCTAATAATGTTATTGAGTTTAGGATTACATATTTAGGTTTAACATATACCAAATATCAGATAACATTGATGGTTGTTCTAAATGTGAAGAGGTGTCATTAATACCCACTGCCACAGTTAGTTGTACAAACAAAATCCGACTGGAAAATGGACGAAAGGTATGGGGCAAAAGCCAGATATCGCTGCCCTGCCCCTATGTACACTGTACAGACGACATGAGCACGTGGCACCGGCTGTAGATGATATCATCGAGTCATATTATATCGCATCCCTAATATATACACGTGTACAGGTGGATAAAGTCCACACCGTTATCACCTGAATCGCCATGTAGGGGCCTTGTCGAATGGCCGCCTGGTAAGTTGTATATAGACCGTTAGATGTGAATCAGTTAATTTTGATGAGGATAAACGAAAATAATATAATGTTTACACTTGTATTTATGTAATGTTAACATTTATGGGTAATGTTTACTACCTTGTACATTACAAGTTATCGAATGTGAAAACGAAAATAGAAAAAACCCACCTCTTATCTATATGGATCGTAGATAGAATTAGTTCTTCACAAGTGTAACCTGATGAAGCAGGGGTATATTATAAAGTATTGTGGCTACCCCGTGTCCCTGTTCTTTCCTCCCTATGTACTGTGGCTAGCCTACATGTAGGTCATTTATATCAAAAGATCATTCAAACTGTGCCATATATCACAGTAAAAATGAGGTTACATATTGGGTCGATAAAAAAGATCTTTTCGAGTACTTTCCAGTATGTAAAAATAAAGTGTTTTTTTTTTACAGAGGGCCCAATAGTTCATTTTGCATTTATAAATACTGTAAGAAAGAAAATTCTGGCATTTGGAAATGTTTGCGTCATAATTCTTCAAACTGATCGCGGTGTGGAAATGTTCGCGTTTGAAATTGTTCTGAAATCTAAACATAAACATGTATTATACGTATATATATATATGTATTTATACCTGTTAGCGTCAACTAACTGAAAGTAAAATAGTATTTCAACACCGCGATGATTTCTGTGTATTGCGAATATTTAATCCAGTTTTCACACTGGTTATTGGTAATGTGAATAGTGGTCAAATAATTCGTTTTCCTCTTTCAGTAAATGATTCAGCGGTTAAAACCCTTGTCAAGAACAAAGTACAAAGTCGCCACAGGTATAGAAGTTATCTATTCAGCTAAAACAAAATGGCACAGGCCAACTTTTCCTGTCCTTACGACATTACGGAAATACGAAACCTCGGCTATGTGGAATGTATGGATATTTTGGAACTCATAGATACCAAAGGTTTAGAAGAACTTGAAGAACTACAAGATCTTATCATCGAGCTGATTAGACAATCCCAAAATGTTGAGGACGGGCAGTCTGTCCCCGGAGAGGCTGGTGATGATAGTCAGGCTAAATTTTCCTGTCCTTACGACATTACGGAAATAAGAAACCTCGGCTATGTGAAATGTATGGACATTTTGGAACTCATAGATACCAAAGGTTTAGAAGAACTTGAAGAACTTCAAGATCTTATCATCAAGCTGATCAAACAATCCGAGAATGTTGCAGACGGGCAGTCTGCCCCCGGAGAAGCTGGTGATGATAGCCAGGCTACGTTTACTTCGGCAAGTACAAGAAAACATACTCTTCTTCTCCGTTTTATTTGTCATCTTCATATTATGTATTTCTCGGTATACTTTGTGTTTCGTATAGTAAGTCATTGAATTTTGCGGAAACTGTTTTATAGTTATGGTAAAAGACGGTTAACTAAGGGTTAGGACGAAGATGGAGTAATGTTAGAAATGACGAGATAAACGTTCTGTTTGGCGGGTCTTGTAAGATATAATGAACTTAGGTTGAGGGGGCGGGTTTGACATCGCTAATTAGGTGTTAGACGAAGAATATGGGATATGAAATGACGAATTCAGCTTTACGATGGCGGGTTAAGGTTAGACCAGAATGATAAATCCAATTTGAGGAAACATGGGGTGAGGATGGGGAGGAACATTGGCAACGATAGAATAGTGGATTATGATTGTTAAAAATGTGTGTAGGTTTGAAAGGATAAAAGTAGGGAATTAAGACTTGGAAAAATAGATCGGCTTGTTAGATTATAACTTTAGGATTAGTTGATTATGGTTTGTATATTGTTGATAGGGGGATATATGTTTGACAGTTGAATAAGATTTAGACGAATGGATAATGTCGATGTAACACCAGAAATCTATATATATAACGAAAGTGGATTGTTGTTGGAGGGTATTAATAATGAAATGATTAATAGATGGAAGTTTTAGAGTGGGAAGTTCGAGTTATGGGCGGATTGGTCGAGTGGTTAACACTCCGGCCTTCCACGCAGGCGGCCGGGGTTCGATCCTCGAAGTCGTCGTACGCATGGATATTCATAGAAAGTGTTTTTCTCCTGCCCTGGGAAGTCCGAGTTAAACCTATGCACATATTCAGCAAAGTAACACCAGAAATATATATCTGTTCGGTATGCATTTGCATTTCTCAGTGAGACAGCTTCAACTACACCAGAAATATGAAGAAGAAAACACAATTAAAAACGAACTCTGTCTTACGTTCATCCTACAGCCAACTTCAATAACGTTGTATGGGGTAGTCAATATATAATATGTTTGTGGTAATCTTAACTGCTAGGCATGGTAGTCCAGTGGTAGGACGCCGGGCTCGTGACCGGAGGGTTGCGGGTTCGAGTCACGGCACGGCACTGTGTTGTATATTTGGCAAAGATACTTTACTGCGTTTGTTCCAGTGTACTTATATGTAAATGAGTACGTGGTCGGGCAGTGCTCGAATCGAAGAATGCTAGCTGTGAGCGCCGATATGGCAGCACCGATTGTATGCTCTCCAGTGAGTTGAGAAAGATATTGGCTGGTTGCAAAGGCCCTATAACCACGGATAATAATTTGTGAACCGCTTTGAGATGACCTACCAACTAGGTTGTGATAAAGCGGGATATAAGAACTTCGAATTATTATTATTATATATATATATTTATTTTATACGACCTCATGATTAATATATAATTTATGTATTGTATTCAGCAGAACTGTTTGCAAATTACATGTAATATTGGCAGCTGACCAGTGTTAATGAAATATTGTGTTTATTTTTAGTCTGCTGACCTGATGAATCAGATAATCTCCCGTGACCGTGAAATCAAACAGAAACTGAACGGTATCTATGGCGACCTGAAGAGCTTCTTCAAGATGAGTCAATATGCTTCCGACCCATCACTACAGCACGAACTGGAAATTGAATTCAAGAACGTACAGGAGATGGTGGAAGAATATTCCAAGGAACTTATGCGCGATGAATGTCCGATCGTCGTGACAGGTAAACCTCGGGGTCATGCAAACATTTCGAAAATTATCTAAATATATTCAAATTTAGAGTATGTATATTGGTAAACCTATAACATACATATTCTCAGAACGAGACCTTGTATTTATACTTGCCTTGTATTTTAACTCCTTGGTTGATGCTTTAAATGTCCTAGGCCACATTTGGTGAGCTTATAACGTAATGTTGGGTCCCTTTGGTGAGGTAATACATGTCCCCTTTGATCAGACTATATAGGAATGACTTGGGTCCATTTGGATGTGCTCTAAAGTAATGTTTTGGGTCCCTTTTGGTAGGCCATTTACTAATACCTTGGGTCCCCTAGGGTGAGCGTGAAGGTGATAGCTTAGGTCCCCTTGGATGAGTGTTAGGGTAATGCCTTGGGTCCCCTTGGTGTGCTATTAAGAAATGCTTTGGGTCTCCTTGGATGTGCTTTATAGAAATATCATGGGTCCCCTTGGATTAGCACTAAGTTGATGTGTTGAGTCTTTTTGACTGAGCTATGAGTTGATGTCTTGGGTTCGCTTTGAATGAGCTTTAAGGTGATGTCTTTGGTCCCCTTGGATGTGTTATAAGGTGATGTCTTGGGTCCCCTTGGCTGAGTTATAAGGTGATGTCTTGGGTCCCTTTAAAAGAGCTATAAGGCAATGTCTTTGGTCCACTTGGATGGGCCATTGGGTAATATCTAGGGCCCTCTCGGATAAAGCTATCATCATTTTGTTCATGCAGACGTATTGATTGTACATTATATACATTTCTTGTTTTGGTTGTTTTGCAAGGAGAGACAAGTGCTGGGAAGAGCAGCTTATTAAACCTAATACTTGGAAGTAACATTCTACCGTCATCACTTCGCTCAAACACCTCCACCGTCTGTCGTCTTCATAACCACGAACAGAAGATGATCAAAGTGTACGACCAAAGTGGGAAGAAACTGGTCCACCATGGTGTTTTTGACTATAACATCAGCGATGACGTTCTGAAAAAGGAGATGCAGAAATACATAAGCTGTGAAGAAAATCCATATAGATATGTAGATATTTTCTGGCCGATTCCATTTCTGGGGGTTAGTATGAAAATTGCCGTTTTGGGTATCTGTCTCGATAGAACACTAACCATTTTTATTACCAAACATCTGTACCAGTATGATCGGGTTTAATTATGCTCCTTGCAGGTAGGTAAACCAGCAAATTAAACACGGCCGCGAACATTTCTGTTCAAATAGCGTTGCATTCCTCCAGACAGCAAACAATTTTTCCATGTCTGTGTGAAAGGTGTTAAGGTCCAGTACGGTATCTAAAGTTGGTCTTATTTTTATATCTGATTGCCTTTTGTAACAGAGTCAAGTGGTCATAGTGGACACACCCGGTATTGGCGAGAACAGTGAGATGACCAGTCGGCTGCTGGATTACCTCCCGAAGGCCGTGGCCTTCATCTACGTCATCAACTCGGAAAATGCTGGCGGGGTACAACAGGATAGAGTAAGTTTGTGCAATGTGTTGATAAAGAAACGAAGTCATGGTAAAAGACAGAGTAGGACTGAGTTCAATGTTAATGGGGATAAGACTGAGGTTGGTGTAGAAGATGGTAGGACTTATGTCGGTGTAGAAGATGGTAGGACTGTTGTCGGTGTAGAAGATGGTAGGACTGTTGTCGGTGTAGAAGATGGTAGGACTTATGTCGGTGTAGAGGATGGTAGGACTTATGTCGGTGTAGAGAAGATGGTAGGACTGTTGTCGGTGTAGAAGATGGTAGGACTTTTGTCGGTGTAGAAGATGGTAGGGCTATTGTCGGTGTAGAAGATGGTAGGACTTATGTCGGTGTAGAAAATGGTAGGACTGTTGTCGGTGTAGAAGATGGTAGGACTGTTGTCGGTGTAGAAGGTGGTAGGACTGTTGTCGGTGCAGATGAGGTTAGATGAGGGTAGAAATAAGGTTGGTGTAGATGAGGGTAGAACTAAGGTTGGTGTAGATGAGGGTAGAACTAAGATTGGGGTAGATGAGGGTAGAACTCAGGTTGGTGTAGATGAGGTAGAACTAAGGTTGGTATAGATGAGGGTAGAACTAAGGTTGGTATAGATGAGGGTAGAACTTTGGTTGGTGAATATGAGGGTAGAACTAAGATTGGTGACGCTGAGGGTAGAACTAAGGTTGATGTAGATGAGGGTAGAACTCAGGTTGGTGTAGATGAGAGTAGAACTAAGGTTGGTATAGATGAGGGTAGAACTCAGGTTGGTGTAGATGAGGGGAGAACTAAGATTGGTGTAGATGAGGGTAGAACTAAGGTTGGTGTAGATGAGGGTATACATGAGTTTGGTGAAGACGAAGGTAGGACCGTGTCGATGTAGGTAAGTGAAGATTTGAGATCAGTATTGGTAAAGACTGATCTGTGTAAACGAGATAAGGACAGGAAAGTTACTGGGATAGATCCGTGTAAACGAGATAAAAGCAGGGAAGTTACGGGGATATATCCGTGTAAACGAGATAGGGACAGGGAAGTTGCGGGGATAGATCCGTGAAAACGAGATAGGGACAGGGAAGTTACGGGGATAGATCCACGGTCTTGGTTGATGCTGGTAGAATCAGCGTGGAAGAAGGTTTGAACAAAGACAGCCGAAGGAAGAACTGAAGTTGGACATATTTAATGGGTGTTTTGTTCGAAACACAGTTTAGTTGTCATTTTGTTATGTTCATGCTGTTTTTGTTATACTTTGCGATTTACCATTGACCACGCTGGGCATCATCTATAGAAATTTACGATCAAGATACTTGGATAACTAGCTTGTCCAAAAGTATATCTAGGATTGTTTTATAACTTTGTACCAATCTTCCCGGGATTTGCAGTTACTTCGAATCCTTGATGAACAGAACAAATGGAGAGAGAAAGGACGAAATCAGACATTTGATCACAATTGCACACTGTTTGTGTGTAATAAATGGGATGAAGTACCGGAGTCGGAGCGAGACAGGGTGTGGAACAACACCAAGGAAAAACTCCGTTGTTGGCCAGGCTTTACTGAGTCTCAGATGTTTAGACTGAGTGCATTAGAGGTAAACACATACATATTTAAACGAAGTCAACTGGAAATCCATATATGAACTAAATGTAAGAGGATGTCTAGATACGGTACTGTGAGGGTGGTAGAAATAATCGGTTTGAAGTAGTTTACTAAATATAATAAATCATGTTTGACTTACTGGGTGAACTAGAGGTAAAATAATGATTGGTCGTTCTATATCGCCTCACTTAGTACGCTGCATGTCAGGAATTATGAATATGTTCATTATTAGAGATACAGACTCCACAATAGAGGTAAACAAGATATTGAATCTCGTCCCACTGGCGGGGATTATATATTTATACTAAATACATGGAAGAAAGAATAGATATATAGACTTAATATGTGAAATCTAAAATAGATATTCAGACTTATTACACCTGGCTAGTACTCTATGCCGTATGTTTAGATGTTCGGCTTATAACACTGAAACATGTTTAATAGTGGCTGGTTAAACAAGGTACATTGCTGTTTAGGCGTTATACTGGCGATGTGTAGACTTACCAAATTTGTCCTTATCCCTACCCGTATTTACCACTCGTTTGTGTTTACCCTTTGTTACAGGCAGAAAGACGGTACCGAAATGGACTGGACTACACTGAAGACTTCCAAAATCTTCTGAGAGGCATTCAAAAAATGGTGCCTGCAAGTTTCCAGGAAAAGGTTCGGCAACATGCATGGTACGAGTATGACATGACATGAGTTCCATCAATTTAAAAAAATACAAATTCTGAACTTGTTGCAATGAGACCATCAACCTGACTATGGTAATCGTGACGTCATTGCAATCAATCATGCCGTGATAGATCATTGCAATTCTGCAATTCCTATCCAATATATATCCCTGAAAAGAACGAAGCTTCATATACTTAAAATGACACAAGGGCACAGCCTGAACCATAATAAACCTCATTGATATTATATTTTTGGATTTAACTAAGTTTTCATGTAACACGTTGGTAGGCTAATTATCCGTTACATCGTAAAAAAGGAGGCACGGTGGTCCAAGGAGGCACGGTGGTCCAGTGGTAGGACGCCGGGCTCGTGATCGAAGGGTTGCGGGTTCGCGCCACGGCACGGCAATGAGTTGTATCTTTGAGCAAGAGACTTTACTCCGCTTGTTCCAGTCTACTCAGCTGTAAATGAGTACGTGGTTGGGCAGTGCTAGAATGGTTGAATGCTAGCTGTTAGCGCCGAAATGGCAGATCCGGCTATATGCTCCCCAGGGAGTTGAGAAATGTGTTGGCTAGTTACAAAGGCCCTATAACCACGGACAATTATTTGTGAACCGCTTTTAGACGACCTACAAACTAGGTTGTGATAAAGCGGTATATAAGAACCTCCGATTATTATTATTATTAAAAATGTTGACATATCGTAAAATTGGAAATATATATGTATAAGAAGAGGATTCTGAAGAACTAAAGGCTTGGGGATTTTTATGTAGTAAATATTGATTTCTTCATTATTCCTTCGTTCCTAAGAATCATTTTAAGACTGCTTTAATAAATGTATGCAAAACTAAGCTTTCTGTTTAAAACAAAATGTCCTAGTAAAAAGGAAAAAAGGAAAAATACAAAAATAACACAAACTAGAAGATTCACAATTATTTTCCACTGCTTTCCGCAATCTTTTCATGTAGACTTCTGATGTTGCTTTTATTATACTTATTAATAATATGTAGATATCAAGTAGTCTCACTATCACCATACACTAACACCACATCAGCTTATGGTAACGAGACTCGGAAGTCTGTATCACGTCCCTGAGAATTATCACTGTCTATATCCCCAATCTTCTGTAACTACTACAGGCGATCATATTTCCCATTTCCTATGCAGGTGGCAGGAAAAGCTTCTTAAGCAGATTCTGTTCCACGTGACGGCCCACATCAATAACACGCGCCTTAGTCAGGAGGAAAAACGGATAAAGAAGGAGAAAGTTGAAGAGCGGCTACGCAGACTTGACTGTGATACAGAACAGGTGAGCAGTACATAGTTAAAACTTGATCTGACATACAGAATAGGTGAGCAGTACATAGTTAAAACTTGATCTGACATACAGAACAGGTGAGCAGTAAAATTAAAAACTTGATCTGACATACAGAACAGGTGAGCAGTACATAGTTAAAACTTGATTTGACATACAGAACAGGTGAGGAGTACATAGTTAAAACTTGATCTGACATACAGAACAGGTGAGCAGTACATAGTTAAAACTTGATCTGACATACAGAACAGGCGAGCAGTACATAGTTAAAACTTGATCTGACATACAATACAGGTGAGCAGTACATAGTTAAAACTTGATCTGACATACAGAACAGGTGAGCAGTAATAGTTAAAACTTGATCTGAAATACAATTCAGGTGAGCAGTACATAGTGAAAACGTGATCTGACATACAGAACATGCGAGCAGTACATAGTTAAAACTGGATCCTATGTCAGATCATATATTCTGTTTGCTGAACGCAGTTTATTTGTACTGCTCACTTGATCTGACATACAGACCAGGTGAGCAGTACATAGTGAAAACGTGATCTGACATACAGAACACGTGAGCAGTACATAGTTAAAACTGGATCCTATGTCAGATCATATATTCTGTTTGATAAACGCAGTTTATTTGTACTGCTCACTTGATCTGACATACAGACCAGGTGAGCAGTACATAGTGAAAACGTGATCTGACATACAGAACAGGTGAGCAGTACATAGTTAAAACTTGATCCTATGTCAGATCATATATTCTGTTTGATGAACGCAGTTTATTTGTACTGTAAACCATCTTGTGTCTGTTATATTAATGTTTGCGCTTAATTGTCCGAATATATCGCAAATTCTGGCATCTTTCAAGTACTCAATTAGCAAGAATGAAGTAGATTTGTACCTATAAAGAAACATGTGTTGTGCACTTTCACGTCTATTACCGTCAAAAGCTAGAAATATCCTTGAAACATTATTATTTCCAATATATGAAGATAAGTAGACTATTGTAAACTTTTCACATTTATATGAAAAAACATTTCTATCTTTTCAAATATTGCAATCAGTCCATGATACAACAGAATGCTCGGAAACAAAAAGAATTCCTATCTAACTTTTAATGCAAAATTCATATTTTTAAAAGGTGAAGAAAACTCTTAAAGATGAGGCCAAAACGAGATGGGCAGAGGTTAGTGAGAAATTACATGCTTACATTCATGATCAGGAGACGGTCGAAAAGCTGAAAGAGTGGGATATTCACACAGAAATACCGGAACGGGAGTCTGACTTCGACCTCATTGAACGCGAGGCTAAGGAAATCATCCTTGACAAAATCGGAAAAGAAATAAAGTCGTGGTGCGAGAATGAAAGAAGCCTATCAAACATTAGAAATGAGCTCGCGAACCGATTCAGGGAGGAATATCGTCTGCTCGAGGGACAATGTCAAGACATTGATAATCTCGTTCAAGACGTCGAAGGCTCTATAGAGTTAGACGATGTCAATGTCCAAGAAACAGAGCCATCACATCGAATCCACTCTTTGCTGGGAAAGAACAGCTGACTTTGGTATTAACCGCGCCTCTGTGGGTTCCATTGATGGTTCTGGCTTTCTCGATGGCATTACCCGTGATGGGTATCATAGCGGTCACGGAAAGTTTCAACGAAAAGCGGATGTGTAAAAACTACATCAAAAATAAGAAAGCATTCATGGACAAATGGGCTGATGAAGTTTTATTGAGGGTTTCACGGGAAGCAATAGCAAGCAAACTAGAAATGACATATCTGGAATGTTTTTACAAATGTTTGGAGCAGCTTTGTGATTCTGTCATCCCACGCCAGATCGAATCGGACCGTCAGTTGATTGCTAATATTCAGCAGGAAGAGCGACACTCATCAACGATTCGTCGGCAATATTATCCGCTTAAGGAACGATGTCAGTATATGACTGGTAAACTGCTACTCGTACAAATGGAATACTTTTATGAAGATAATATTGTAAACAAGAACTTCACCAAGGGAGAGGAACTTGGAAAAGGATCTTTTGCAATTGTGTACAAAGCTGAAATTGTTATTGGAGACGAGCGGAAGTCTGCAGCAGTTAAATGGATGAAAAATGCCCTAGAGGACTCCGACTCTTGCTACTCGCAATTGACAGAGGTATCAACGCTCCTGTAAGTGAACGTACATCCAATTTTCGTAAATCGAGAAACCTTAAATAAGTTAAAATTTGTTTGATTAAGCACTTGGTGTGAACTACATTTACTCCAAAATCTGTATCAAACATTCATGTTGGACAGTAGAATGTAGCTTATTTGTATAGAAATAAGTAGAAATACGGAAAAGAAAGTGCGTATTTAAAAATAACTTGAAGATGCAGAAAGCAAAACAGTGGTAACATTTTTGAATGCACTATATGGCAAGTGTGTCCATTCAGTCATCAGTGATAGTTAAAGTCAATGAAACGGAAGCGAAATACAAGTAGAAATATATCATAAGGGCAAAGGTGCATATAAAACCAAATCAAATGCTCCTTTTATTTTTCATTTGTAAAGGCACTATAGTGGTAAAATCACCGTTTAAAAATATCATAAAACGTCACATTTTTAGAAAATAGGTCACAAAACTAACGCTTTCACGTAATTACACAAATTAAAAGTATCTGCAAACACTTCAAATATTAATTGAAAACTGCCGTTTAACAATTCCGCTACCCGGCCGTTGCTATTACATAAGTTATATCTCGTAAACACGACTTTGTGCTTGCATTATCAGTCTATTTCAAAATGTATAACAACGTTTCACTTGATGCCGTGTGTACGACAATAGCCCCTTTAAAAGTCATCAGCGTAGGAGCTGCGTTTGTTATACTTTATACCGATAATTATACATATCCTGCCTTTCAGCAAATTTTCCCACGATTGGATTGTGAAACTGTTCGGAATTTCCTACGAGGAGGTCGGCTCACACAATCACCTCCAGATCATCATGGAGCTCTGTGACTTCACTCTGTCCTCGCAGATCTTCCCTGGAAACGACGGCAGTCCCGCCCCTGTAGCGTCATGTAGTCAGTTCCCCCTTAAATCTGACGAGATAAAACCTTCTATGGAATTCTTCAAGAGGGTATCGACGGATGTTTGTAAGGGGCTGGTATATATACACAAGAAAAACTTTATCCACCGAGACCTCAAGCCCAGCAATATTCTGGTATGTAAGGAGATTAGTATGTAATGATTTCAATTTTCCTGTTCTCAGCTTTCATATTTTTTTCGGCGATAAATACAATTCGCGAAATTAATAGAAAATAAAACCATTCTTACCGCAGCACATGGAGCCTTGACACTAAACCTGAAATCCGGGAAAATATAGTCACGAAGAATTCATCATTTTAACAAATCCGTCAAATTTTAGGGACCGTAATATGTATTAAACTGTATTAAAAATGTATTAAAGAATTAAATTGTTATAACAAAGTATTGGCCCATATGTCAGTATCTCCGAAACTCAACACACGTGTTTCCTTTATTTCCTTTGAATTTGTCAAAATCAAAAGCACGCGTTTGCTATTTGATTGGTTTCAGGTTCAAAATCTGACCAACTGCTAGGCTGATATATACATTGTACCTGCCTTTTAAATATCACTGAAGAACAACATCTTTGCAAGATAAACTAAAGTTGTAATATTATTCATATTTTTTAATTATGTTTTGTTTTTAAATGAAGACAGTCTGATGTTAGTTTCTTAAATCATGAAAATGAGTTTCATTTATTAAAAATATGTATTTACTATAATAATTATTAATATTTAAAGCAGTGTGTATTATATTATTTTTTCATCATTATTATTATTACAGCTTCAAGGAAAACGTGCCAAAATAGCTGATGTAGGTCTGACGAGGGAGACGGACCTTATCGAAGGGGAGTCAAAGGGCACTCATTGTTACATTGCCCCCGAGGTGATCTTGATGAAGCTGTACAGCACGGAGGTCGATATATACAGTCTTGGTATACTTCTGTGGGAGTTATGGTACGGTGCCAAGGCGTACGAGCAGGATGGTATTACTGAAGACCGGATCTTTGAGCTATTTGAGCAAGTCAAGGCTGGACACAGACCGAGCTTCTACCAAGGACTGTCCCCACCGCCTGACTTACAGAAACTGATGGAACAATGTTGGCATGAGGATATTAGATGCAGACCTCAGGCAGGAAAAGTTTTCGATACAGTCAAGGATCAGAGTTTTTTAACCAGATTGGATTGAGTGCCAAGCTTTGCGATGTTGATGCAATACCTTCTGTATTACAGATGCTGAGGAAAACGTGAAAGCATGGAACAATGGTATTACGCTGGAAAATTGTACGATGTTTTAAAGACGAAATTGAGATAAAAATGACCAAGCTAAAGTCAGCTAAAGTAACGCTTTCCTCCTTACTGGAACTGGGAAAATTCTGTTAGCATGGATATTTTGTTGACCTTTATCAAAACATTGAAAGGGAAAGTTAAGTTTTAGTCAAATAATAAATAACTTTTTTTTTGCCGACCTTTATTAAAACATTGAAAGGGATAAATAACTTCTCGGTTTCTGCAGATGATTGCCAGTGTTTTTTCTGAACAAACTTCCCACTCTATTGGTACACATTTTTCCATCGGTGTAGACTGAAGATGGATTTTTTTTAATAAAAAGATATTTTATAAAATTTTAAAAGTTTGCTCAATCAATGATTGCCTTGCTCATAGTTCACACGTCCAACATTGTCCTCTTATTCAATATTGGGACTTTGCATAATTAATAATTCGAAAAATAATCACTAGATATGATGAAATGATGCTACGGAAATATTTTAAATAGAAAGTTTATAGAAAGTTTATAGAAAGTTGAACGCATGGGCGTGCACGTACAAAGATTCTCTAACGTAATGTGGGGTATTCTGGCGCCTGTTGACATACATGTACTTATCAAGTGCCATGCGTTTTCAACCATACACCAACATGCTGGCCACAGAGAAAAGCTTACAGCATAGAATGAAGCTGAGATATCACTACTCTCGAAAACAGCGTTTCAAGGCAAGACGTTTATATAAGGAGCTATAACTGATCAATAATTTAATCAGTCTCGTATGTTTCATAAATCCAAAAAATCCATGTTGTGTTGTTGTTGACATTTCCTAGATGTCAAAATAAGTAGCTTGACAAAAAAACATTCCACTCTCGGTAATGATTAGAGAATTTCTACTTCAACTGCGCTGGTGATTTACGCTTTGTATAGGAAATTTAATTTCTATCAATATCTAGCGTAATTTAACCAGAAATGAAAATTGCACTAGATCCCGAACGAAGTAATATTTCACTGACACAAAGCGTATTTTGTGATGAGTCGTCTATCCTGTAACGACAGTGTTTAAATGGTTCTCGAGTTATCTGACTAATCGTCAAAAATCTGTTATCTTTGGGAATAATGCTTCTTCTCTAAAATGTGTATCTGTGGGTGAATCGCAGGGATCTGTTCTTGGTCCTCTGTTGTTTTTATTTTACAATAATTTGATCTTGTTGATCCTATGAAAACATTTACTAGGCTCTTTGTCCATGATTCTTCTCTCCAAGATCCTTCTGCAGACTTGAATGTGATCGACATAATCTATACCATGATATTCAAAGCTTTGAATTGTTCATCTTGTCCACTTGATATAAAACCTAGCCTTGCTTGTAGTAAAGAACCGCTTCCTTTCACGAACTCTCGTTGTCATCTTGGAGTGTTTCTTAGTAGTAACTGCAAATGGCATGACCATGTGCATCAAATTATCAAAACAGCTTCTTCTAAAGTCTCTGCATTGAAACAATTGAAATATGAAGTTAGTAAGGATACATTAAATACTATATGCATAAAGAACTTTGTGATAAAAGTGCTGAATTTGAACTTTAATATCTCATTATATTCGTTATTTTTGCATATTTTAAACTACAAACTTTCATTTAATTTATTCCACAGTGTGACATAAATATACTTAATATCCTGGAATTATTTTATGTAAATTGTTTTTCCTTAACTTGTATCAATTTAGATCACTTCTATTTACGAAGCTTTTTCTTAGAAGCATGGGTGTGTTTTTGGATTCTCCAGAAATCACCCACCGACATAGAGAAAGTTACTCTAATAAATATATATTTGGACCATACAACATCTCCAGAACTTTTACATTTCAAATTAGATAACAACACCCCACAGAAGTGTTGTAACAATTGATGGAGTAATCCGGAGTAATTTGACTCATTAATTTGTGTTAGTCAAGTTGGGGACAAGATCCCGAACCTGCACTGTCAAGCGAGATATCTACCCACATCTATAACCACCAAGACAACAACCCGAAGTTACGTGGATTAGATCTACCATGTTTCATCAGAGGGCTACCAGCTCATCTCATCAGACTCCTCGACGTTTCTGGAATAACACCGGAACCGTACAAAACAGCTGGGTATTGTAGACCGATAGACATTGCATCCGATGCGGCTCAACTTTTCATAACGGCCATCTCAGAACATGCCCGCAATATTGCCCCAGGTTTTGAAGTGTGGAAAAAATTGGACACTTTTCTATACTCTGTTTCTTAAAGGGTTGCCGACGACGAAACTTCCGTCAACCCTTGATGCCACCGAGCACCCCCTTACCCATTACTAGAAGAATCGACAACGGCACAGACGCCCAAATTCATAACGGCACCCACGCCAGAATTCGCAACCATAGCGACACCCCCTTAACACCCCTTTCAGTGACATCGCAACAAACAGATAAACAGTTCAACAAAAGAAGGTCTAAATCCCGCGCCAAAAGGAGGAGAGACAAGGAAAGAACTACACTGTACAAGGAAAGAAAACATCTGCAAGGTATGCTACCATGTTCGTCAATTTCTGAGAGTGAGATACCAAAACCATGTGTTCTCACTACAACAGAAAACAATTCAATCTTAAAACTTAAACAGAAAGTTTCGGAATTATCAACTCAGTGTGAACAACCACAAAGTGACCACAAACTTTTACAATAAAAAAACAGTGACTGTGACACGTGCCTCATAACCATGGAACAAGCAACACTGTTAAGGACAGAAAATGCAACACTTGAAGAGAATTTAGCAGGTTGCAACAACCAGCTAAGCGTAGCACTAGCTTCTGTGAATGAAGACAATGAACACAAAAACAGTCTGTACGAAGTCATCATCCAACAAAAAGGAGAAGTTGGAAATGAATCACATAAACTACAAGGTGAAGAAGAACTGTGTGTGCAAAGCAAGATATTGCTGGATATAAATGACAAACTTAAAACTGATACATATGAACTAAAGCAAGAATTAAGCGCAGTGCCACCTACGCCGGCCTTTGTAAACCAACGAAACTACGATAGAGGAAATCATTCCCGAAATTATGGACGAGATTTCTATCGTTAAAGCAATGCCGCGGGACGCGTCTTTACCAGAGCCGGAGGGAAATTATCATAAAGAAATGTATGATAAAAGTGCTAGATTTGAACTTTAATCTAATATCCCATTATATTCTTTATTTTGCGTATTCTAAACTGCAAACTTTCATTTAATTCATTCCATCGTGTGACATAAATATAATTAATATCCTGGAACTATTTTGTGTAAATTGTTTCTCCTTAACTTGCGTCAATTTAGATAAGTTCTATTTATGAAGCTTTTTCTTTGAAGGCGACATGTATAATTCGTTTGAACCATTGTTGTCAGATTAACTTATGTCTGAACTTTGTCAATCGTATACCATATATTTTAACTCAATTGTATTTCGTTGTTACGATTAACTGGTATTACCAGGTCGGACACTGCATCCAGTCTCGGACAAAGGACAGCTAAATTGGCTTACCTGGTCGGGTACGGCCTCGGTCTCAAAGGACGATTGCTATGAATGACAGATGTCACTCAAACTAATTACTTGATTGCTATTGTGTAAATGTAACATCAGTTAGGACCCAGTTCGGACTGTATGGGCGTGTTTTTGGATAGTCCAGAAATCACCCATCAGTTGTATCTGGTCTATCCTGTGTCGCCTCTTGTGTATGGGATGGTTGTTCTGGCGAACTGTCAAATGCCCTGGAGAGGGTGCGGTTAGAAGGAGCCAGAGTTGTATCTGGTCTACCCTCTGTCGCCTTTTGTAGGCACTACTTTGAAACCGGATGGATACTTTTAAAATCAAGGAGAGAAAAAATAACTTTCTACTTTTGTATAAGATGCATAATAGATTAGTACCAGATTATCTTCATAATTTGCATCCTTTCAGAAGAAATGACCTTCATCGTGATTTTCGTCATCCATAATACCACGCTGTAGATTAGATATTCTTAAAAATATTAATGAAAATTTATGTAAAAGCTAGACTTGATGATTCTGTTAAAAATATCTTATCATCTTCTACATTCAATATGAAAATATCACCTGTACCACGCGTTTTACCGAAATATTTAAATGTTTAGCACGAACTAAACATAAATATAGTGGTCTTAAAAGTGATTTATTCCGTGTAGATATTTGTGGCACACCTACCTGTCATTACGATGATGGTAATGAAGATGCATATCATTATTTTTGTCTGTGCACAATTTTCAAATCCTCGAATAAGGTTATTAGATAGAGTCCAGTGTAGAGGAGCTCTAACGGCTTCTGTATTGGAGAGTCAGCTCCTGTATTGGAGAGTCCAGTGTAGAGGAGCTCTATTGGCTCCTGTATTGGAGAGTCCAGTCAAGAAGAGCTTTATTGGCTCCTGTATTGGAGAGTCCAGTGTAGAGGCGCTCTATTGGCTCCTGTATTGGAGAGTCCAGTGAAGAAGAGCTCTATCGGCTCCTGATTTGGAGAGTCCAGTGTAGAGGCGCTCTATTGGCTCCTGTATTGGAGAGTCCAGTGAAGAGGAGCTCTATCGGCTCCTGTATTGGAGAGTCCAGTGTAGAGGAGCTCTATCGGCTCCTGTATTGAGGAGTCCAGTGAAGAGGAGCTCTATTGGCTCCTGTATTGGAGAGGCCAGTCAAGAAGAGCTCTATTGGCTCCTGTATTGGAGAGTCCAGGGAAGAAGAGCTCTATCGGCTCCTGATTTGGAGAGTCCAGTGTAGAGGCGCTCTATTGGCTCCTGTATTGGAGAGTCCAGTGTAGAGGAGCTCTATCGGCTCCTGTATTGTAGAGTCCAGTGTAGAGGAGCTCTATTGGCTCCTGATTTGGAGAGTCCAGTGTAGAGGAGCTCTATTGGCCCCTGTATTGGAGAGTCCAGTGAAGAAGAGCTCTATCGGCTCCTGATTTGGAGAGTCCAGTGTAGAGGCGCTCTATTGGCTCCTGTATTGGAGAGTCCAGTGTAGAGGAGCTCTATTGGCCCCTGTATTGGAGAGTCCAGTGAAGAAGAGCTCTATTGGCTCCTGTATTAGAGAGTCCAGTGAAGAAGAGCTCTATTGGCTCCTGTATTAGAGAGTCCAGTGAAGAAGAGCTCTATTGGCTCCTGTATTGGAGAGTTCAGTATAGCGGAGCTCTATTGGCTCCTGTATTGGAGAGTCCAGTTACGAGGAGCTCTATTGGCTCCTGATTTGGAGAGTCCAGTGTAGAGCAGCTCTATTGGCTCCTGTATTGGAGAGTCCAGTCAAGAAGAGCTTTATTGGCTCCTGTATTGGAGAGTCCAGTGTAGAGGAGCTCTATCGGCTCCTGTATTGAGGAGTCCAGTGAAGAGGAGCTCTATTGGCTCCTGATTTGGAGAGTCCAGTGTAGAGGAGCTCTATTGGCCCCTGTATTGGAGAGTCCAGTGAAGAAGAGCTCTATCGGCTCCTGATTTGGAGAGTCCAGTGTAGAGGCGCTCTATTGGCTCCTGTATTGGAGAGTCCAGTTACGAGGAGCTCTATTGGCTCCTGATTTGGAGAGTCCAGTGTAGAGGAGCTCTATTGGCTCCTATATTGGAGAGTCCAGTGTAGAAGAGCTCTATTGGCTCCTGTATTGGAGAGTTCAGTATAGCGGAGCTCTATTGGCTCCTGTATTGGAGAGTCCAGTGAAGAAGAGCTCTATCGGCTCCTGATTTGGAGAGTCCAGTGTAGAGGCGCTCTATTGGCTCCTGTATTGGAGAGTCCAGTTACGAGGAGCTCTATTGGCTCCTGATTTGGAGAGTCCAGTGTAGAGGAGCTCTATTGGCCCCTGTATTGGAGAGTCCAGTGAAGAAGAGCTCTATTGGCTCCTGTATTAGAGAGTCCAGTGAAGAAGAGCTCTATTGGCTCCTGTATTGGAGAGTCAAATGTAGAGGAGCTCTATTGGCTCCTGTATTGGAGAGCCCAGTGTAGAGGAGCTCTATTGGCTCCTGTATTGGAGAGTCCAGTCAAGAAGAGCTCTATTGGCTCCTGTATTGGAGAGTCCAGTGAAGAGGAGCTCTATTGGCTCCTGTATTGGAGAGTCCAATGTAGGGGAGCACTATTGGCTCCTGTATTGGAGAGTCCAGTCAAGAAGAGCTCTTTTGGCTCCTGTATTGGAGAGTCCAGGTTAAAGGCGCTCTATTGGCTCCTGTATTGGAGAGCCCAGTGTAGAGGAGCTCTATTGGCTCCTATATTGGAGAGTCCAGTGTAGAGGAGCTCTGTTGGCTCCTGTATTGGAGAGTCCAGTTACGAGGAGCTCTATTGGCTCCTGATTTGGAGAGTCCAGTGTAGAGGAGCTCTGTTGGCTCCTGTATTGGAGAGTCCAGTTTAAAGGCGCTCTAGTGGCTCCTGTATTGGAGAGTCCAGTCAAGAAGAGCTCTTTTGGCTCCTGTATTGGAGAGTCCAGTGTAGAAGAATTGGCTCCTGTATTGGAGAGTCCAATGTAGAGGAGCTATATTGGCTCCTGTATTGGAGAGTCCAGTCAAGAAGAGCTCTTTTGGCTCCTGTATTGGAGAGTCCAGTGA